ATATATACAAAAATATGCAATTGACTGAAAAATAGAAAAAAAAATCATCATACAGAAATGACTCAAAAATATCCTAAGGACTCTAAGACACACAGATAAACAACAAAAAGACACAAACAGAGACTCAATTATACAAACAGAAAAGAAAATAAAAGAAAAGAAAAGAAAATAGAGTACTTCCCTGAATGATCATGGGTTCATGAATGGGTGGGGTGGTCTTTCCAGTTGCAGTGATGGTGGATATCTTCCCTGACGTCTGCGTTAAGAAATTGCATATGTGCTCTTTGCATTAGCCTTGCAGCAAGGACTGGAAAGAACCAATTCTTTTCCCTTTGATTGGCTACATAGATATTCACATGCTGTCTGATTACTTCAGCCACATCAAATGGGATATTGAGGGCTAACGCGAACAGCAGGAGGGCTGTTTCATAAGGCACCTTGTTACGATATTGCAGTAGCATGATATTGCTGCATATCATATGGTACCATGGCTTTGTATTTGGCCTTCAAATCGGATGCTAGGGACTGTCTCAAGATGCCATGGCGTGTGGTCCAGATGACATTTGCAGGGTTAGAGTATAAGGCATATGTTAATTCTTCCTCTGGGATATCATCCATAGCATTATATGTCCATCTACATAATTAAAATCAACTTCGGGGAGTTGCATAACATCTTTGATGGCCGTTGTATTGATGTCGACAATTTGCCCTCTTACTGTAATTTCATCCCTTGGTACTCCTCTCATGTTAGTGTAGAATTCTCGAACAGGGCTGAGATTGGTCTGGTTGTAACATTACACAACCCTTCCAAATGGTGTATTGCTATGTAGGAGTTTGGATCTGGATGACTTATCATGCCCCTCTCTGTAATTGCTCGTCGTTCCCAATCCTACCGGAAGAAATTCTGTTGCTGCCTGATTAACGACCAACCCTGAGTTTCCTATATTCTGGATAATATTCCGGTGGGTTGCTCGCTCTTCTCTGGTTGGTTGTCCTTGGAGATTTAGTGGAACCAATGCCATCCCTTGTAATAGCACAACTCTTTGTCTATCTCTAACCATCGAGATCTCCAGTTGTGGTTTAGGGATGTATTTATTAGTAGAGGAGATGGTTTTGGGAAGATGAAGTGGGAGATGTGAATATGGGAAGAGTGTCAAGTTTATGGGGGTGTGGCTTGCAATTTCATAAAAGAAGAGATGTTTTTATTCCTCCCGTGTCATTTATTCATGACTCTTCTTCCCACCAATCACATAGGAGTTTTGAAAATGAATTTTCTCCCTTTTTGGGTTATTAAGAAGTAGAGCAAATTTGGGGGATTTTGACTTTGGTCGTTCTCAGTTAGACTTCTCACTTGCGCGAGTTGTAGATGTCACTTGCCCAAGTGATCAGCTGACTGTGTTTTCTAATTTCAACAACTCCCTCCTTCTTACTTCCTCAAATCAAAACAATGGGTGCATGTTAAATTTCCGGTTCTTGTTGGTCAATCATCTTACTCGCGAAAGTGCATTCCTCACTCACCTAAGTGAGATGACCAATCAATTTTCCCTGGTGTTTAGGTATTTGGACTGAAGTGTTGCTACTTCATCATATTCAACAAGGCACTTGAGTCAAATGATCTAAACTATTCACCTGAAAATTTTTTATAGGAGTGCTGCCACTCTTTCTGATTGCTGACAACAGATTGCTTAATTGACAAAAAGATAATTAAATTTAAGAAGAGCAAAATAACTTACCTTGGGTTGCCTCCCAAGTAGCACATTGGTTTATAGTCCCATGACGGACTGTGTGGTTTCCTTGCTTTGATTCCTGCAGTTTCAGCACATCGTTGTGTCGCCTCTCTAATTTTTGTGCAGAGTTGTGTGCTTCTTTCCTTTTAGGATTTCCCAGCGTGTCACTTGGAAGTGATCCAGCAGGTCTATCTGGTATCCTTCTTGCCATCTGCCACTTGGTTCTGCATATCCTTGACAGTTGCATCCAGACTTGCAAGAACATTACCAACCTTAATCCAGTCATCCTCCTTGACTCTGAATGGTTAATTTTGAAAACCAGGAGGTTGAGCTAGTCTTCGGTAGCTCGATTGCTAGTTGTTCCAGTTGTTATTCTGCTGAGGCCTCCAATTGTTGTAATTATTGAAGCCTCCTTTGTCATTTTCTTGCCTCGTGAATTGGACTTCTTCCATGGTTGGTTGACATGTAGAGCTGTTGTGAGATCCTGTGCAAATCTCATAGACATCTGCCTTGGGCTTGTAGATGTTAGCTATTAGCTTTGATATCTCACTAGTGATAGGCGCCATATGTGCTTGCAAGTGAGTTGTAGCATCAAGCTCCAATACACCTGCTTTCTTAGCTGTAGCTCCAGGCTCCTTTTGCCACCTAAAATGATTAGCACACATATTTTCTACCAGCCGGATTGCTTCATCTACTAGTTTTAGCATGAATGCTTCTCCAGATGATGAATCAAGTGATTCTCTGGAAGCTTATTGCAATTCATTGTAGAAAATGCAGAGTTGCATTGGTTTGTCAAGCCATGCTGAGGAAATTTCCTTAATAGGTCCTTAAACTTTTCCCAGGCCTCATAAAAAGTTTCTGTCCCATGTTGCTGGAAAGTCATGATGGCTGATCTTGGAGCAGCAGACAGGTTGGAAGAAGTTTTGTGAGGAATGCTTGTCTGAGACCGGTCCAGGAGTTGATTGAGTTGTTGGGCAGAGTATCCAACTATTTTGCGGCTATATCCTGTAGTGTGAATGAAAACAGTCTTAAGTATACCTCATCCTTTGACAAACCTTGTATTTTGAATCTGATGTTCAGTCTCACAAACTTCCTAATGTGCTCATTAGGATCTTCACTGGGTAGTCCATAGAAGGGACAAGCAGCTTGCACCTGTTGAATCATTTGAGTCTTTAGTTCAAAATTCTCTACCTCTACATCATTGTATACCAATGGAGTCTAAACTTCCTCCTCCTGTGGTACAAAGTCATCTCGGAGAAATCTAGGTTGAACTGGTTGTAGCTCTCCTTCTCTGACTTCATTTGGCTCTACTACTACTTCTGTCATTGGCTTCTGATATTCTTCTAGAATGCTAGCAACATCTTCTTTCCTTTGCAGGTTTTTAATTTTCTTACCATGGCTTTAATTTCTGGATAAAAAATCAGCTCTCCAGATGGATTGTTTCTTGTCATAAACCAGAAGTTGAGCGTGATGTTAATAATATAGAAATATGAAGTGTGATTGAAAGTGTGAGTAAAAGTAGAAAGCTAAGAAAAGAGGAAAGAAATAACAATAAAGATTTTAAGGATTTTTAACCCCCTCCCCGGCAACGGCGCCACTTTCGGTGGGGCGGTCGTTGACACCTCCTATAAGAAATAAATACCTACTTAAAATTATAAGCTAGTGGTAAGTAGGGTCGATCCACAGAGACAACAATGAACTACTTAAAATCTGATTAGTGTGCAAGCAGAGAAAAATAAATTGAAAAAATTGTCACTTGAGAGAGTGAGAATAGTCACTTGCCAGAGTGAGATAGTAGAAGGGTCATCCACCTTCCTATCTATATGATCCGGTTTTGATTCATTATAGTCCTTATTACCTATGATTCATTGCTTGATCATTCACATTAATTCCTTACCTTCCCCTTCGTTACCAGTAAAGAGCCCCAACTTAACCAAATTACCTCTCTTCCAGTGATAATTATTCATTAAACCAAGCCATTAAGTTCCTAAGCCTCATTGACCACCTATGCTAATCAACTAACTCTCATTGATGATTGAAACCAAAGGATTTCAGTCAAAGCTGTCTCCTTGGTCATAGACTAGTTTAAGCCGTTCTAAAACTATGTTCAGCCTCTTAGGATTCCATAATTATGCAAGCACATATAGCTAGTTGATCAGTCTAACTAAAAGGTTAATTAAAGCACTGAAACTAGGAACACATAATCATATAAGAAACTAAATTAAAACCTTCACATATAGATAGTCGGGATTAGACCCTTAACTGAGTTTAGCTTCTCATGTTTATTGAGTTAAACATAAAGCAACTGAGTACAAAAGATAACATATGAATAGGCAAAAGGTTAGAGGATAGAAAGATGAGAGTAGCAGCAGGGCTGATTATGTCTGCTTCAATGTGGGAAGTGTACTTTGTCACTTGTCCGAGTGATAGTCTACTCTTCCAACTGCAACTGCTACTCTGTTTTCTATCCAACTAACTAACTACTTGTCTTTTTAACTGATTCTAACTACCCAATCTATTCTTTTACAACTGTTATTGGCTATTCTATTTGTAGAGAATTGGAGAGGCTTGGATTGGTTGCTTTTTCTTGCTTTTCTTCTGGGCAGCAGAGAGGAGGAGGCAACTTGCAGTAGCTGAAGTCTTTGTTTATTCAGCAACTTGCTCAATTTGCAAGTTGTTGTCTTCCTTGGCCAGCTTTGTCCTCCTTCAAAACCCTCATAATCTCCAATCTCAGAAAACCACCTTTCATTAATTCCTCCAAATTCAACACCTTGTTTTACTTTATCCATTTCCCAAAACAAGATTTACTATCAAATTGGCACTCTTTCCATGACCTTGTTGCCATATAGAGGCCATGCAAATCAGTTCCTTCTTCCACCATGATTAGATTTATTTAATAAAATAAATATTATAGTTCTTTAAATCCAACTTTTAACTTCCAACATCAACAAAAAAATCTTCTCTTTTGTTTCTTAGTAGTTATTTATGAAAACTCCGAAAGTTGTAGTGGTACTTTCCCAGGTGTTGGAACATTAAAGTACACAGATTTTATTCAAAAGGCTTTTACCTTTTTAGCTGCTTCAACATTCATTGCACGGCTCAAGGAGTCATGCAATTATTCCTCCGACTTCATTTACTTTTATGTTCATTCCTTTCTCAATATTCCTTTTGTCTTCTTTTTTTTGGAACTTAGATCTGAACCCTTCTGAGTTCTCAATTCAATTTTCCATTCATCTTTCACTTGGCTTTGATACAACCTTTCTTTATTTAATCATGAGACATTGGCATGCAATGGATAAAGATTTGGTGACTGTCATGTCAGTTCAAGGTTCAGAGTTCTCTAAAGAAGACCATGACTTCAGAATGGGTGTTGACATAGATCCTCGTTCTATTGCTCTGCCTTATCTTCGCAACAGTAACATGAAAATCTCTGATGCCGCTACCAGCTTATCAAGAGACAATCTTCAACTTTTTTTGCTGGGATATCCTATTAATGATCATGAAGTGAATGATCGGGCCATGCAAAAGTATCTCACTGATAACTAGCCAATGTATACAAGGGTCTTACTCTATGACCACAACTTTCTTATCATCAAGTTTCTATCCAGATCTGATCTCTTGATGGTACTAGATAATGGGCCATATGTTCTGAAGGGTGGTCTTTCTATTCTCAGAGCTGTTATGATCACAAGGACTTGGCGTTAGATAGCATCAGAATTGACAAATTCAGTATCTGGGTTCGCATGCATGGAGTTCCAATCTCAATGATGAAGGGGTTGCAGATGTTGCAAGCAGAGTTGGAGATGTGGCTCTTATCAAAAGAGATTTTTCTCTTTAAGGAAGGCTACTTATGTCAGGACAAAGGTATGGCTGAATCATGGGGATCCTTTAACCCCTTGTTTTCATTTTACCAAAAGGAATGGGAAATTAGGCAAAATTATGTGCAAGTATAAACAAATGCATAAATACTATAAAAGATTTGGTTGATTAAGCCACCCAAATCAGAGATGTTATATGTTAGAACCAAATGCTTTAGAACAATTTCTAGATAATTTTTTTCGGCAAAAGCGGCCAAGTTTGATACTCCTATGTTAATTGATGTCACAAAGCCGCTTTACACTAGTTTTTAGCAGATGCACACAAGCAGAAACCCTGTACCAGAATTCTAAAGTTTAAGGCAGAGCAAATGGCTCATTTTTATGCAACGGCCCCAGAGCACTATATTTAGGATGGTTTTACTATCACTGAATTGGAGGAAGACGAGCTTGTGCCTTGGTTTCCAAGTCCGCCACCCAGTGAAAATGATGGAAACAGTGATCAAGGGGATGAAGATGATAACGAGAACTAAGATCGCGATGATCTTGATTATCAAGCTGATATTAATGCCGATTATTTTTATAACGATGACCTTCAGACATGGAATGACTTGCTTCCATCATATCATATCACTGGTCCATCTGGTGCTATATCAACTATTTATTATGATTCAAGTAGAATGGCAGCACCAGCAGCAATGGAGGACTTAGATTCCAAAGTTAGAGAACAGAGGGTTGATATGGAGGATCTTTACCAGGATGACTCTAGCTCTTTTTATGGTAACTTTCATTCTCTTCCTTCTACTTTTTATGAAACAGATGATTTGTTGATTTTTGAGTCTTCTAGTCAGATTCATATTCCTGCCTTTTTCTATGCTATCCCTAAAACTCCTCATGATAAGGACATGTTGTCATACGCAAGTCATGTTCCTAATGTTTTTGTTCCTAATCCGTCGGATTACCCTCCATATCAAGACTTATCACCCACCTCTATTTTTAACGGTATCCTTTCTAGTAGCTCTATTCTAGATTTTAGTCTATCTAGGGAGATGAATAGAGCTGTTTACTTCTCTTTGGAGGGTCTAGTGAATCTAAGTCTAGAACAGGTTCATCTCTTAAAACTAGCGGAAGATGGTTCAAGAAGAGTCAGAAACAAGATGTGGTCAATGGCTGTTCTGGATCAAGTAGTCCACTGGGATCAGGTTGGTCTAGTGATGAGGAATCTGGGAAGATGAACATCCGTAGAGCAACATCAGAGACATAACTACCATCTTTCTATCAAATAGTTGTACCTCGCAACAACAGGTTTGTAAGAAGAGAGCTAAGAAGAACGGAAAGTCCAACAAGCAACCCTCCCTTGCATGGCGCATGGAAGTTGACAGTGACTTTGATCTTGACTATGAGGCTTCCATTAATAGCGGGAACAGGGCTTCATCAGAATCAGATGAGGTTCATACGAGAACAGGGAAAAAGATGACAATGTTGTTAAGGAAGCCACTGATAGTTGAAGCTGGAAGCAGTCAAGTCATGCAAGTGCAAGAGCAAGCTGACAAGCTGAATGGGTTTGCGATGGTTGTAACAGATCAACCGTCTTCACCATCATGAGTATTCTTGGAATTGTAGAGGCATCAACAATGCTTCTACAAAGCAATGTTTAAGTAGATTTATTATGCATTATAAGCCTGTTCTATTGTTTTTAATGGAAACTAGGACAAACTCTAAGACTATGGAACTTTGGCAAGAATCTACTACTTTTAGTAACTCTTTTGTAATAGACTCGATAGGCTCTAGTGGTGGATTAACTCTATGGTTAAATGCCGTGAAATTAGATGTTGTGCAGGATGATGCGAATGTAATAGTAGTTAAAGTAAAGAACTCTTAGGGGCTAAGTGGATAGGTGTTTTGTTGTAAGGTCTGCCTTCTCGTCAAGGTAGGACCAAATTTTGGTCTCAATTACATATCAAACTCAGCAGCTTGAATTACCCTATGGTTGTATTCGGAGACTTTAATCAGGTAGTTAGTCAGATAGATAAAAATGGTGGTAGATTAGTTAGAGAGCAAGACACTAGACCTATTCAACAATTCATGTCCAACAATGATCTGGAAGAACTTCCTCATACTAGTTGCTGGTATACTTCGACAAATAAGAGACAACATCAAGAGGCCATTTAAGAAAGGCTTGACAGAGCTTTTTTCAATAGACAATAGCTTGTAAGATTTTCAAAAACGGTAATTAGAAACCTTCCCATCATGGTTTTTGATCATGCTCCCATCTTTGTCTAGATCAAAGAGAATAAGCAAACACCAATGAAGAATCATAAATTCGAACAGTTTTGGGCTAAGCGTCCCAGTTAAACTTTGGTTCAATCATCCTGGACTCAAGGTACTTTACAAATCCAAAATAAGCAAGAAAACTCTCTCATCAACTGAAATCTAGCCTGGTCAGTCTTCATAACTGGAGTAAGGATCAGTTTGGCAATCTTGATAAGCTTGTAGCTAAACTTACAAACCAACTAGCTACCTTGCAATTGCAATTGAAAACTTTACCAGATGATCCTTACATGTTCTCCCAAGTTCAAGGCAAAAAGTTAGAACTAGAAGAAACCATTCAACATCAGCATGACTACTCACATCAAAGATCCAAGCTGATATGACCCCTACAGGGAGATAAGAACACTAAGTTTTTTCATAAGTGGGCCACCAAGAGAAGGAGTACTAATTGGATAACAGAGTTACAAGATCAAAATGGTTGTTGGGTTCAAGACTCTGACCAAATTGGTAACCTTTTACAATATCATTTTCAGGATATTTACTCTAAGACACAATATCGTTCTCTACCAACTATGGGTTTTCCCTTCATGGTCCAACTGCTGTAAAATGTACAGGAGGTTCTAACATCGTCTCAGGTACAAGTTATGACTCATCCTTTTACATCAACAGAGATATGGACACGATTAATCAGATGGCTCCTTGGAAAGTACCAAGTCCAGATGGTATGCCTGTTAGCTTCTATAAGACTTATAGGAAACCTAGCCACTCCAGCTGATTTTTGTCCAATAAGTCTGTGCAACGTGAAATACAAGGTCATCACTAAAATGATCACCACAAGGCTGAAAGCCATCATTCCAGATCTTATTGATGAATTCCATATTGGCTTTGTTCCAAGTAGAAATATTAGTGAAAATATTCTCCTGGCACATGAGGTCATTGAACATATCAACAAGAAAGAGGGAGATTTGAGTCTGGCTGCTATAAAACTTGATATGAGTAAGACTTATGATCGGGTTTCCTGGTCATTCCTAGAGGCAGTTCTTACAAGAATTGGATTCCCAATACGTATCATCAAGCTCATCATGTTATGTGTCACCATAGTGTCTATTCCATTCAGGTTAATTACGAAGGGCTTTCCTATTTGTCCAAAAAGAGGTTAAAGACAAGGATGTCCATTGTCCCTGTACTTATTTATCTTATGCCAGCAAGTTCTTTCTTCCACTGTCATAGCAGAAATCCAGACATTTTCAGGCCTTGGTATTAAAATTAGCAGACAAGCTCCACTGATTAGCCACTTGATGTATGCAGACGACAATCTATTTTTCGTCAAATGCACAGATGAGCCAATTTAAACTCTTACAGGTATAATTGAAATGCATGCACCCTACTCAGGTAAGAAAATCAATTATAACAAATCCTCGATTCTCATAAGCCCAAACACTTCTTTACACATGAAGAATTTCATACATTCATCTACCAAAATATCTGAGGGTGCCTTCCCTAGCAAGTATTTAGGCCTTTCCCTAGATTTTAAAGAAAAGAAGAAAGAAATTTTCAAAGGCTTTACAGCTAGGTTGACTAATGGATTTGCAGCTTGGAAGAAAAAACTTCTCACTTTTACAGGACAAGTTACCCTAGCTAAGTCCACATTTTCTGCCATGTTAGTGTATCCAATGGGAGTGTTCAAACTCCGAGCATCAACCCTGTGTACAGCTGATAGCATCATTAGCAACTTCATCTTGAAAGGTGAATCCAGAAATAAAGGCATCCATTGGCGATCAAAGAATAAAATCTCCAAATCCATGTTTCATGGAGGACTAGGGCTGAAAGCTACACAGGAATTTAATCAAGCATTATTGGCAAACTACACCTGAAAGATCCTCTCCCAACCAGATTCACTGCTATTCAAAGTATATAGAGCCAAGTATTGCTAAACAAACTCTTTTCCTCAAAATTCTTCACTAAGTAATGCAACATGGGGCTACAAAAGTATCCTCCGGAGCAAAAAGTTACTACATCATAATACAAAGTGTGGTTTCTGGAATAAATATACATATTGCGGATGATTGGATTCCAAATCAAGTAAATCCAATTCAAAGGAACTTTTTTCTCGCAAGACATTCTAATCTTATAGTCAGGGATCTCATTTGATCAGATGGCCAATGAAAAGTTTCATTCTTGAGGACCATATTCCCAGATCATATCATTCCGTATATAACTGGAATCTTCATTGATTCAACCAGGAACACATAGAATGATAAGCTTGCTTGGGTGTATACATCTCATGGAAATTATACGGTGCAATCGGGATATCACATTGCCTGAATGCAACAGAGTATAATTCATCTTAGGCCCAACGTTTGCAACAGAGAGAAATCCTTGCATGGAAGAAACTACGCAATTCCAGAGTTCAACAAAAACACAAACTACTTTTTTGGCGGGCAGCTTTAAATATGCTCTTCCCTCTAGAGAAGGTTTAAAAAAAAGACGAGTACAAATGGATTCACTATGTCCAAGATGCTTTACTCAGATTGAAGACAACCTCCGCCTATTTTTTAAATGCCCAATCTCTCAAGCGATCTGGAGTTTTGCTTATCTTACTTTCCAATCTATATTGGATGGGAATTATCAGTCTTTACTGGAATGGTTTGTTTGTTGGATATAGACGTCTCCTTCAGCGGATGATCTAGATCTCTTCCTCTTGATCTTCTGGAAAATATGGATTGAAAGGAATGATAAGGTTTGGCGTAATGAAAGTATGGATCCAGTTTGGTCCTGGAGACTTAGCAAACAGGATATTGAAGAACATAAGGCAAATCTCTTAAGATTGGCATCCATGATCCATGCAGCCTTCAGCCACACCAAATTCCAGGTCCCAAGATCATCAAATTGTTATTTCCTTCGATGGCTCCTTTCATCCCAGTACTAGAAATGCGGCTGGTGTCTGGAAAATCAAGACAATAACAAGACTCCTTTTGCAAACTAAACCTATATCACTGGCATCTTTATCAGCCTTTCAAGCGGAGGCAATGACATGCCTAGCTACTTTTCAAGAAGCATCAACACTTGGTTTACAGAATGTGCTAGTGCAAACTAATTGTGAATTATTAACTACAAAGCTACCTGTGAATCGGTTCCCCAGTGAAGCACAAAGAGTGGCTTCTCAACTACGTAGTCTAATATCTACTTTGCAATTTTGTATTTTAATTAAGGTTAGTAGAAATTATGTTAGCGAACTTCATAATCTAGCTTATGCTAAACAACTTTGTAATAGTTTAGGTGCTTTACATTAATATACAGGTACCGTTCCAAAAAAAAAAAAAAACTATAGATACCTCAAACCACTCATTATAAAGCATGAAAAATTTTGAATTCTAATTCACAAGTTCTCTCCAACTCTCTTTGAGTTCTCATTCTTTCCTCTCTTTTTTTTCCCTTCAAATCTTCAACTTTCCTTTTTGGTTCTTTTCGAGAGTTTTGAGGAGTTAGAATTCATCATTCGTGGTCTAAAGTGTTAGTGTCATAAGGTTTTAACTAAAAAATAATTAGTCTGTGATAATCGTTTCTGCTCTGGAGGTTATCGCTAACCTGAATAAATAGTATTTCTTTCGTTCTGAAATAATTGTTCAGTTTAATTTTTTATTTTTTAGTTTAATTATACTAAGAGTGAAATTTCCGGTTAAAAAGAAAAACAATGAAATTCCAAATTGAGAGATAGGGTAAAACTTAAAGTGATAAGAGGCCGAGCCAACTCATCCGAAGAGGAACGCGAGACCAAACCAAACACCACCACTTTCGTAGTCATTATACGCCCAATCCAACCAGCCTCATTATATCTTGAGAACTTGCGCCGCAGTCGAGAGATTTCTGAAACCCTAATCTCTCTTTTCTGATCGGATTGCTTCGGAGGCTTCCCAAATGGGGAACAACAAGAAGAACCAGAGAAAGAAGAACAAGAAGAGGAACAAGATTGAGGGGCCTCCTCTCTGTGATCGTATTCTCTGTGATCGTATGCTTACTATGGAGGTGTTTTTTCCTTTTCACTAGCTTGGGGTATCTTTTTATGCTCCTCTTAGAATAGTTTGCCCTTTATTGAATCAGGTGACCATAATTGTTTTTACCTTTTCTTGTTTAGGATCTTGATTATGTGAGACGGGGTCCGAGCATAGATCTGTTGTATGGCCCTGATATCATTAAGCGGAAGCAAGGTTCTACTGAGGTCTGTGATTCTTTCAAACCGTTTTCTATTGGTCTAGATCTATTGTATTCGATTCTAGGTCAAAAAAGGGCAAAAGGGATTCTTGAAGGTACTGTCTTTTTTTTAATCTAATATTTCTTTTGCCATTTTAATTATTATTATTATTTTTGTTTGGGATATCGATTTTCAGAGGTGGAAGATGATATCTAGAAAGGAGGTTCACGAATTACTCTCAAGGGTACATTCTAAGCGTCTAGAAGAATGCTCTGTTGAGGTTTGTGATTCTTTCTTAAATCATGTTCTGTTCATTCCGGTTTTCTCATTAAAGATAGTATTTCTTTTTCAATTATTGAATCTTAGAAACGTTTGATACGAGGGTGGGGTTAATTTGGTCTCTGTTTAATGTTCTTCTGATTTCTTGAATCCTATTAGGATATAGATGCTATGATTGCCAGTCTGGTAGCATGTATCAAGAAGCTGTCTGAGGATTTCTATGATATAACTCTGGATGTTTTGAAGGTCGCCGATAGAGTCAGACTAAGACAACTCAGGACAACTCAGGTAATGCTTTCCCCGGTAGATCTATATTCCCGATGATGCGTACATACTTTTGCCCCTTAAATACATACGAATATTGTGCTTAATGATTGTCTGAAAGAATAATGTTCCAATTGCTTGTATACAGGACCGCTTCCGCAGGAGTCTTACTTTGAAAGGTCAGGAGGAATCTGTTGCTAATATGGGGGAGAGCTCTATTTATTGTGGACAGTGAATTTTCATGTATGCTCTATTTTGTGCTCTTTTGTTTTCACTCCTTGACAATATTGAATTTAGTAGGGTTGGTTCCTTGTATTATAGGTTCTTGATATTTATTCAGTCTTGGCCCTTTATTGGGAGTGAAGTTTCTTGCATTATGCCCTTTTAATTAATCGAATCGAAAGTGTTAAAATTTCATCAAGGAAGTGAACAGCATACCTACAAAGACTGAAAGACAAACTTGTCTCAATCGGATACCCCCCTCCGTTTCTAGGGGAGGAAATCTCAATTTCATGAGTAAAAACGCTTTTAATTTGCTTGTCTCATTCGTGTGGTTGACCTGATGTATTTTCCAACTGCCGAGCATTCAGGTGTGGTCTCAGACGTACACCATCATCTATCAATATTTTTGATAAGGTATACTTCTTGGAATTGGATTGAGAGTTTACACAACAATATATCTGGTTCCAGCATCATATTAATATTCTCTATTATACTAGTACTGTACCCGCGCAAGATTTAGTTTTTATTGTGTTATAGTTTAAATAATATTAAAGTCTCCATGAAGATTTTAATATAAATGGTCCATAAATCTAATCAAATATATAATTTCATTTGAAAAAACGTCGAGGATTCAATTCTCACTCGAATCATAAAAAAAGAGTAATTTTTAAAAGAAAATGTACAAAAATCTCTATATTAATTATCAAAACAAATTAAAAATCGGGGAACTTAAATGTTAAATGTTTTTCTGTTTTAAGTTCAAAATGTCACCAGTTTGTCATGAAGATTTCATTAGTTCGTTTTTAAATTATAAATCAAATATATTATTGGCATTATAACAGTTAATTTTATTCATTTTCAAATATCAAACAAATGCTTTGATAAATTTTAAATAGGATTGACTATAACTAAAATGTTTAATTTATAGGGTTGAATATAGATTTTAATGAAAATAATCGAAAAAAAAATACATGACTAACAACAGAAGCTCTATCATCATTAAATAATTGTAGCTAGTCCAATAAAAAAAGAGAGAAAACTATGACCCTGATCTCTTATTACCCTGCAAAGAAATCGTAGAACATCAACCAAAGAATAAAAACAATCTGGTAAAATCTATTAGAGAAAAAGGCTGCACTCTGGAATTAATGTAAACAATTGAATCCTCTGATGTAACTCATAAAGCCAAAACTATGAGGATTTAAAAACCCACATTATCAACTAAAAAAAAGAAATATATTATGCATTCAAAAAATTGAAATTACTTTCACAAAAAAAAAAAAAAGAAAAAGAATTTCCCCTGCAATGAATAAGGTCCCGAATTCTTGATTCAAATTGCAAAAACATATCTCCATGAATTATAATCTGTGGAATCAACAATACTAATAGAATTAACAAAAACATAAATTACTAAACTACCCACAAATGCAGAAAGTCATCACTGAGTATTGGATACTTTCAAGAAGTACCCCAATCAATGATGGAAGTGAAGCTGATTTTTTAGAAGGAAAAACCCGCGATAGAATTAATCAATGATTTTGATCGAATTACATATTGAAGTATTGGATCTGTACTAATCAATTTCTGATCACAATATATCAGATTGTCGTGCTTACCTATCCAAATCAAAGCACGAATCAACTATCAAACTATTTATCATAATATGTAAAAATAAATAAACTTAAAATAAAAGGGTTTAATGAATTGAGTAGCATCCTTTTTTCCTAAAACAACAGGGTGATGAGGAGAGGACAAAGGCGATGCCAAGATGAGGGTAAGGAACAAATTATCTCTGCCTTTTGATATTCTCGATGGTCTAGTGACCTTGCGATTTTTCTGTCAATAATCAATAGTTAGGTATCAGGGGGATTTTGGCATTGATGGCCAGCCGCAAAGCTGCGCCGTGTAGACGATGCTTTTTGGAACGAATTGCAGCAGCACAGCTGGCCTCATGGATGAACAAGATTGAGCTATACGGTGAAAGCATCCACAAGATAGGTTATATATATATATATAGTGGATTAGGTTTTCACTTTGTTGCCACGATAAGCATATATATTATCACATTAATTAATTGTAATTTATCTTTTCATAATCATCAACATCATATCCCTAATTTGTGATGATTTTGATAGTTTAAAATGGGAATTATGAAGTTCATTTTGTTTGAAAATTTTATTAAATGGCATATACAATACTAACCTTATTTATCGTTATTATTCAAATTTCAAAATTATGATTATTTCCTTTTGTTGATGTATTTGAAAAAAATATTAGGAAAGAGACTTTTATATTGATATGTGTGACTTATCATCAATCCGTATAATATGGTTTTTAATTCATGGTATTTAATTAGTAATTATCATTATGGTTAAAATAAGAAATATTAATAGTTTAATTTGAGAATAGTGGAAGAGATTATATTAGTTTACTTTATCATGAATAAATAAATAAACGTACCTTACCTATTTACCCGGAAAAAATAGAAAAAGCTATCCCACCATTGTTTTCTAAGATGGATGGGATTCTGTTTTTGAAGTTTTGACCACGAAGTACTCACAACAACCGAACGTCCGCCGAGACCACAAAACCTACACCACCGGCAACCTCCTCATGCTCACTTCTTTCCACCATATTCATCACCAAAGTTTGATCCACGCACTACCATCCTATCACCTACATCAACTTCAAGTGGTCATCAACTTCTTCCGACCACCAAATTCACCAAAACATTCAATTTTCGCCGAATAATAGTCCGGAGATGGAACATTCAATTTCCGGCAGGTATCATCGTCAGTGATCTTATTGGGAAAGATCGAGACTCAAACCCATAATAGAATCGCGGGAGTAATACCCTTTTGATCCAAATATATGGGAAGCCGGAATCATATTGGTCCAGATGCTTTTTACTATTAAGGTCAACAACATCGGAATAATTACCGGTGAAGATAATCTCAGGGCATCAGGGCATATGGTTTGGAGATACTTACGCCGTAAATGATTCAACGCCGGCGGAAATAGGGTATGAAGATCTTACGGCGGCAATGAATTGTGGAAGTGGGATGGCGGTGGGATTAGAAGTTCCGATATATGTTACATGTCATATTAGTTGATAAAGATTTAATATAAAATTAACCCGAGGTAAAAGATTAAGATAAAATTATTATAACATTAACTATTTTACATTAAAAATTTACACTCAAACTAATAAATATTCCCTCCATTCCAAAATAAGTGTCGTTTTAACAAAATAGAGAAATTACAAAATAAGTGTCGTTCTCACATTTCAATGCACTTTTTGTCAAAAGTTTTCAAAAATTTTCAAAATTACCCTCAAAAGAGTTGATGCTATTGGTGGACCAGAGTTGATGCTATTGGTGGACAATTTTATAATGGGATTGGTTGAGGATATTCAAATAATTTTATTACCCCATTTAAGAGTTTCTTAAATTATGTGCAAAGTGTAGAACGACACTTATTTTGGAATGGAGAGTATCTATCCTAATGAAATATATGTAAGATATGGGGAATTTCAACCTGCAAGATGTTATTTCCATGACTAGAAGTTACATAAGTAAAACTGTGAAAGATTCACATTGATTATTGATGGTAGTTAATGTGATCACTAGATTTGATAGTGTTATTGACAAATGGATTATTCTCATCAAAGATGTTTTCGTTCTTTTACTCGATTATTATTTGTTTATAATTTAAGCTTAGTAAAACCAGATTGAGTTGGGTCATTGAGAGAGATATGTGTCCAAACAACTTCAAAATTATCACCGGAAAATTTTGGGTAAGAATGGATTTCTTCCAACTCCAGAAAAGTTACATCAATCATTTTGTAAACTACGACTACTAGAAGCTTTTGCCAAATGCCAAACATGAATTTTCCTTCTAGTGTTCCAAGAGAAAGATACGTACATGTGATAACCTTGTTCTCTATCCCAAAATGAATGTATTGGAAGAATTATGTAAAAACTGCAATTATGATTGCCATACGTAGCAATTGTGTAGTAACGATAAGAAGCAAGAGCTCGTATCTTCAGGACCTTCAACAAAAGTATCACCAGTTAGCATGTTTAACAGCTACATGACTGCGCTTTTATCTGCACTATGCTGAGAAGGAGGGTCAAGATATTATACTTAACACAGAAAAATTGACATTTTTGCTTAAATCAAAAATTGAAAAATCCTTGACCAGTTCAGGAATGCAAGGAAACCACACATCTTAAAACATAAATGGCTAATCCTGGAAGCAAAATTAAACAATTTGTTTCTAAAGATCAACATTCCCACCTTTCTTAGAAAGCCATTTCCCCGCAAATTTCCTCTTAGAATCATTTCAGAAGGCAAACAAACACACATGCTCTTCTTCCATGATTCCCTAAGCACATAATGAAAGTAAGTACAAAGACAAATCCACAATGTTCACCACGGCAAAATTCATAAAATTAACTTATAATAATCCAAAATAAACCACAATAACTGCGGGAAAAAACACATAAGAAATCCACCAAAAGAATAAGAATCAAGAGCAAATACTGAAATTAAGACTTACCAGCAAGCACCAATTTCAGCTTATTTCACTGCAAGAAACAGAACAATTTAACTCATTAAAATAATGCACAGATTCTCGACGGGAGAGAAAGAGAGAGCTTACCTGATTAAAAAAATTTTAAAAAAAAGAAAAAACTCCAAAACCAGATTTTCTAGTTAAAAACTGATGAAAACCAAGAGGAATTACATTGCACATTTGCCAGGCTTTGCCAACGTTGACAGTGGCCAAGATTTCCACCCCGAGCCTCTTGACAAAGAAAGGCACATTATTCGCGATGTATCCAATTGCCCCAAAGGGCTCGAATATCCCCATGCTTCTGGTATCCAGGAACTAAGAATCCCACGCAATAACATTCAAAAAAAGAAATAATTATAATCGTCCTTTTCACATTCCGGTGATATATCAAATGAGCTAAGGTAGACAATCGGAGAAGAAAAATACACGAATCTTAAAATAGATCACAACCTCATGATGCAAAAAACCAACGCTTCCATCAGGAAATTACGAAATTGAAAGGCCGAAAAAAGAAAAAGGAAAGAGAGCATACCACGATTTTAAGGAGCTTGTTGGAGGAGGATCCAAAAGTGCCTTGACAAAGAAACAATGGAAGGGGGCAAAACGGCGGCCGATCCAGGGCGTTGATTGAAGGTTGTCGAGGTTCTTGTACGGATGAAACCTATTACAATTCTAATAGGCGCGACGAAAGCGGCAAAATCGTCGAGTTCTAGAGATGGAAAATATCGTTTAACCCGATGGAACGGCGGAGAGTAGAAGAATTAGCCGGCGTTTTAAGATTTTATACCCATCAAAACTGATGTTGTTTCGGTAATTTGGGGTTTTCCCGGGTAAAACCGAAAGTGGTAGGACCTCTTCAATTGAATTGGGGAAACAAATGTGAATGGACAATTTTGTCCCGCTCAAATTAGAGATGGCTGGGTGAATTGAACCCTTCGATCTCCTACGGAGGAGATCGTCCAATTAATACTTAGGTCTTGTTTGGACACTTTTATTTTATCATTTTATCTTATTTTACCTCTTAAAACACTTCTCAAACAAAAATTTCAATACTATCCAAACAACTTTTTAATTTACCTTTCAAAAAATATTTCAAAAATTATTTTTACACAATTTTCGTCCACCTCTACTACCACCTGCCACCGTCGGACCGCCTACCGCCGCCGTTGGACCGCCGCCAGTCGGTGACCGGCCGGCCGAATTCCGGCCAACTCGCCGGAATTTAGCCACAATCCAGCCGGGCGACGGCGATGGAGGTGGTCCGATGGTAGTCTAAAAATATTATAATTTTATTTAAAATATTACCCAAACAACTTTTTTAATTTTATCTCAATTCACATTTTAAATCACATTTCAAACTCAAATTAAAAACTAAAACAAAATGTTGGTCAAACAAGCCCTTAATATCTTAGTCCAAGAAACTTACATGTGAGTAATAATAATAATATAGACTACTTATATAAACTACTTATATGTAAGTACTAATATAGAGTAATCAGTCTTGATCTTTGTTTTTCTGGGTATATAACATCCAAAGCAGCAACAGCAACATTGCTTCTGTAATCTCAAGATCATTGTTTGGCTTTTTGTTTTTCTGGGTATATAACATCCAAAGCAGCAGCAACAACATGGCTTCTGTAATCACAAGATCATTGTTTGGCTTTTGTACTTAATGAGGTTGACGGTTTGACGAATGGTCATTGAGAATCCTCAACATCACAACTCGTAAACCCAAAAAAACTTCTCACGCAGGCTTAGTCTTAATAATGGATCGGTTCTGGAAGTTTTCGTGAACATTTATATAAAACTCCTCCACTTTGAAAACCAAATCTTTGGGTTTCGTTTGCTTGACTTTATTCTAGATCAAGACTTCATGAACATTTACACGAAATTTTCATTTGATTATTCTGGTGCAAGTTTTGTAAGATTTTCGGCCGAGAATGATTACACCACTTTGAAATTAACTGAGTCCATTTGATCACAGTATTCCATTTATGGCAGTGATTTTCTAATATGTTTTATACCAACATATATCGAAAATATATATATTCACTACAGGGCAGAATATAGAAACCATCCGTGCGGGTTGCTCTAGTTCCTAATAAAGGACTAAGAAACTTGAATAAATTATCAAGGACCTAATACAAGGAACTTGCATAAAACGTGCTCTGGAGCTAGAACAACTAGACACCAGATTCACACACTTATCTTTGATCCACAATACACAAACACATACTACTACAGTCGTAATAGGGATGAAAACAAAAGAGAGAAGAAAAGGCTACTTAATATAGCATACATGAAAATTCTCTCCACCGCTGGAAGAGCATTCCTCCACATTAGCACTTAAGCTTTTCCAAATTTTAAAAAGAAACTCACTCGATAGGTCCTGCACACACAAACAATTGGAACATCATTCATTCATTCATTCTGTCATTTAAGTTCAATATTCAGTATATATTCAAGGGACAGAAGTGTGCATGATGATTTGGAATATAGATCTACCAGGAAATGCATTACCTCTTTATGTCTGAGGCTATTAGTGAACTTTGAAATCTGCGTAGCTGTAGAATAGAAATCCGTCGACAGCTTCTCAACACATGCTGCCAGACTTGTAACAATATCACCTTTAACCTAAAACAGGATTCAGCGAAATGATTTTGACATCTAAACAGAGAGAACAAATTAACACCAGTACTACCACCCTCGTATTGAACTATTATTATACGATTTAATAATGATAATAAAAAAAAAATTACAATCTTCAATTAGCTAACCGGAATGAATATAACACGATTTTAGAGAATGACAAACCTCAAGTGAGCATCCTCCACTAAGCTTGGAATCAACCTCTAAGAGCAAATCGTCAACCTCCTTTTTAGTTATCTTGTTCTCCAGAAAAGCTGCCAACGACCCCTCGTCCTGAAAATCAACAGCCCGAACCAAAAATAAATAAAAAATGAAGCAATTAATATGGCAAAAGAAATACTCCTACTCGATTAGAAAAGGAAAGACAGTCCCTTCAAGAATTCCTCTCGCCCTATTTTTAACCTCGAACCTAATCCAATAAATCTAGACCAACAGAAAACGGTTTTAAAGAATGACAGACCTCAACAGAACCTTGCTCAAGCTTAGAGCTCTCAGCGGGCAATTCCCCAGCAGTATCTTCGGCAAACTTTGACGGGGACACCAGATCTACTTTCGGAGCACTTCGACATGTAAGATCCTAAACAGAAACCGGTAAAAACAATTAAAGTGCCACCTGAGATTCAATAAACGGAGGAACAATATCGATACCCAAAGCTAATGAAAAGGAAAAAATACCTGGACAGTAATAGTAGAATCCAAGAGAGGAGGCTTCTTGTTCTTGTTCTTGTTCTTCTTGTTCTTTCCCATGTGGTAAGCCTACGAAGCAATCCGATCAAAAAAGAGACACTAGGGTTTCAGGAGCGGCGCACGTTCTGAGGTTATGATTATAAGGCTTGGTTACATATAAATAAGGACTTCGAAGGTGGTGGTGTTTGGTGGTCACGAGTTCCTCTGTGCCAATTTTATTTGGGAAAATACATAACAATCCCCCCATGCTATTGGAAACCACACGAAAACCCCCGGTGGTTTATAATGCACATTAAAACCCCCTCATGCTTTGCCCAAATGTGTTAAATAGATGGAGATGAGTAGGAAAAAATTGGCCGATCTACCCAAAAGTTGATATGCGTTGTCAATTTTACCCTATTTTTTTGGTTTGTCGATATTACCTTAAGCTATCCAACCGTTAGCCGATTTTGTCCAATTTGAAAATTTTCGTTTAAATTAACGGAGTTTTGTTAATTTTAATTACAAAAAATACCCTAATAGTTTTTAAAATTATAAAAATGACTTCAAAATTTTGTAAAATTTACCAAATAGTCTTTTCACTTTTTATTTAATTTTTTCTGTTTTTTATTTCTTTTCACTATTTCTCATAACTATAAAAATATATTATATAATCTTTTCAAAAAAACTATTTATTTTTAAAACACTATTGTGCAAATTTATAGATATGCATATTCGTAACTCATTGTTGATTTACATAAACATATTAAGTTTCTAATAATATAGTTTAACAGTAATGACATTATTTTTTTAATCTATTTTTTTCAATCTAAAAAATAAGATTATTTAATTAATTCTAATTTTGCACAAAAAATAAAAAATTTAGCATAGATTAAATTTTTTTTATTGGTATACTTTAATGTAATATTACAATATAATTCAACAGAATTTAGATTGTATTGTAAAATTAAAAAATTAATTAAACTAAAATATACATTTTCTTTAAAAGGCCAAGTACAAACAGAAAGTAAAAAAAAATGGTACAAAATATTTTATAAAAAATATGTACATTTATCATTACGAGAGTTTAACATTTCATGATAATTTTTTTGAGATATTATCATCTAACTTTAGGAGGAAATTTTTTTTTAATAATAATAAAAAAAATATGCTTCAGTAATGAACTCCAGCTTTAAAAAAAAAAGATCGCCCCAGTGAGAATTAAGGCCTCGAACACAGTAATAATCATCTCCCCTCTTAAGTCACCTGACCATCCAACTCAACCCTCTCACCTTTAGTAAACCATGCATAAATGTGAATAAAATCACTCTCCCGGTTAAAAATCCTTGGTGAGAATTAATCTTATATCTACTATCATGAAGCTCAACACCCTAAACACTAGATTGTACACTATATTTTAGTTTAATAATTTTTGAATTGGATAATACAATCTATAGTTTGTTTATTCAATTTGTAATAAATTAAAATGTACTAATATATTAATTCTTAATCTATGCTAAATGTTTTACTTTTTTGTAAAAAATTGGTTTTTAGTCAAAAAATATTATTCATTAAATTGAAAAAAGGATTAAAAAAACTAATATCATTATTGTCAAGTTATATTATTAAAAAATTAATATGTTTATGTAAATCAACCATGAGTTACAAATATACATATATATAAATTTACACAGTAGTGTTTAAAAAAAATAGTTTTTTTAAGAAGATCATATAATATCTTTTTATAGCTATGAGAAATAATAAAAATAAATAGAAAATAGAAAAAAAATTAAATAAAAAGTGTAAAAAGACTGTTTGGTTATTTTTACAAAATTTTAAGGTCATTTTTATAATTTTCAAAACTATTAGAGAGTTTTTTGTAATTAAAACTAACAGAATTCCGTTAATTTAAACGAAAAGTGACCAATTGGATAAAATCGGCTAACGGTTGAATAATTTAGGGTAATATTGACTAATCGAAAAATAATAAGGTAGAATTGACAATGAATGTAAGCCTTTGGTTAGATCGGCCAATTTTTTCGAGATAAGTACAACTAGCAGAATAATAACGGAATCCCTTGAAATTACTTATACACCCTCATTCACATATCTCATTTGATTAATTCCCCGAAATTACTTATACACCCTCATTAGTTTCCATATCCTTTTTTCTTTCCATCTTAGAACTATATTATTGATTTTTCAAATATGTTTTCTTATCTTTTTAAATACATTTCTGCCTTTACTAAATGATTAACAGAGCTAACAAAAAATTGGTAAAAAAAATAAAAATAAAAATCTAGGCAAACTAGAAACTCATTTCAAGCACACGAAGTCACGATCAAAATTCTCATTTTTCTCACTATTCTTCTACAACAATTTGAGGCAACTAACATTTTCAAGAAATCCACATTCTAACTGTAGATAAAATGTCTAATCAATGCTAGCGAAAAAGCTATAAAAAAAGAAGAAGAAAAACTCATCCAAAATCTTATGTAAACAAATATTCCACCAAATTCAAAAAAAAATTCATCATTAGTCATTGCCACAAATATATTCGAGAACCCCAAACTCCCGCAGGTCGTCAACTCTGCTTTTTGCCATCAAAATTGCTGAAAACCCCAATTTTTTGCAACCAAAATTGACAAGGCCACGGTTTTGATAGTGAATTAGTGATGATGATGATAATTTGGGTTGTCGAGGTCGTTGTAGCGATAACTCGAAGTAGAGCGCCTGAAAAAAAATCTGATTTACAGGAGCTAGAAGCTTCTGGTTAGAAAAAGAAAAGATAGAGATAGATCATGTAGAAAGATGATGGAATCATGGAGAGAGGAAAAAGATGATGGGCAGAGTTGGGAGTATTGTTGTGTACTAGCCGATATCTACTCCGCGATTACATGCTCGTTAGGTAAATGTTAGTACACATTTGGAGTTCTATTTTTGTGTATCTATGGGCTGATGTTAGTTCAATTTTTCCATGGAGACCTAAACAAAAAGAACTACAGAAGAGGAAAAAAAAAAACTACAGAAAAAAAAAAACATCAATACATCTTTGCCTTTGTTTTTCTTTCTTACTTTGAGGTCAGCAAGTTTGAAACCCCAATTGGAGACCTGTAAGACAGCTTCCTGAACAACTGAACCAGCATTTCCTTGTCTAACTGATTCTTCCACCTCTCTCTGGCAGAACTCTTCAAACAGCGGATGCTCTACCAGAGCCTAATCCTGTACATTTTTCCATGTATTCATAAGAAAAAGTATCTAGGACCTAGGAAGAAATAAATTTTTTACAAGTGGAGAAACTAAATTTCTGATCAAGTAGTTCACAAATTTCATTCACAAAATCTCAATCACCCTTCACGGAAGGAACTTCAAAAAGCTATGCTCTAGCATCTAAAATTAGCACCACAACTACAAGTCAAGATTACTCACCCTATTTCCTAGTGACAGAGAAAGCACTTGTCAATTTGACCATGTTTTCCGGACAGATAGTTTCTATGATAGAAGTACGGGAGAAAGCTATTCCTAGGTCATACAAGGTCATAAGGATTAACCATTGGGCAATGGAGATGGCATCTGCAAATCAATGAAGAAAATCTGAGCTAAATAGAAAAAATGGTATTCATTTTATGTCTCATCTCAAACTGCTACAATATTTTTCTATCGATATGGCTTTCCCTAAGCTAAAGTACTTAGAAATTGGCTTTCCCTATGCTGCAATAATTTATTAGGGTTCAGGTTAACTTTGAAATATACAGCAAGAAAATGAAATGAACTAACCCTGTTCTGAAGCAAGTTATCCCAAGCTCTTCCACTGAGAGCATATCTAATGGCAAACTTGAAGAGATCAAGTGGGAGGTAGAAGATGATACTGTATATCCAAATCACTCCTGCCCATCGCCCCATCCCCATCCTATTCCACGGATCCTGGCAAATTCCTAGTTTTCATAAACAACCAGCAACGTTGCTATCTGTTTCCCGGTTTGCATACAAATTCATACTTGCATATAGAAAAGCAGAGAAAGAGAAATGATAGTACGCATCGACATTACAATCAGTGGAATGAGAGATCAGGAACCGAGATGGACTCTAGATTAGGGTTTTTCTCTAGAGAATCTTCCAAGTGCATCAATCTTATCTTTCCAAGCACCACCTCCACCGCCGCTACGGCCTTGGCCTTTTTGCCTATCCCTATTACTATCATCTCTCATACCTTGTCCGCTTCCTCTCCCTCCACTGCCAAGAAGATACAACTAATCAAAATAATGAAGAAACAAAACAGAGAAAGAAATTCTAGCGTAACATAAGCAAGCTCAGAAAATAGGATCATGAAGGGAAATACCTACCTATGAGAGGAATAAGAGGCTACAGAGAAAGATGAAGAGGGTTTATGGGACACCATGAATTTGAAGAAAACAATACTATCACTAAATTTCACGAAGGCATAAAACAACCTGAATAAAGCGCAAAAAGAGGTTGAGTAACATGAATTACATGATCAACAAAACTTTTAACTATTAGAATCAGGCTTAAACTACATCAATGTACGGTCTAAAAACCACCTACAGATTATGATGAAACCCACTCTAAACTTTTCAACGTTTTTAAAGTCTATGTGCAAGAAGAGCTAAACAGACAAAAGCAACAAACGCCACAAAAATTCTTCGACTGAATAGTTATAGTTCGCACATTTTAACTCCCAAAAACAAAATAGAGATTCCAAATTAACGTAGTAACTAAAAGATTCGTACAAAAGGTATATAGCCAGTTTTATGGAGAGATTCCCACGACGGTACATTATTTCCATAAAGAGAGAAAAAGGTAAGAACTTCTTTTCTAGATAAATCACCAGCATTTCACAGAGAGTCCCTTGTCAAACATAAAAGGTCCTAACTTTCAATCTTCCATAAGACAAAGTTGTGGCAATCACAAATCAATTAAGAAATCAAATTTTCTCATTTAAGTTTACTGAATTGGATCCCTGAAAAACGTGCATCAACCATCTTTGCAACTGAAAATTCCTTAGCAACTTCATCCATGGGGATTTAAAGAGGGCTTTCAGTTTGAGAAAATAAGCTACGAAGGGGAGAAAATGGGGCCAAATTGGATGTTTTGAGAGGCAATGGATCTCATTTAACGGTGAACCAAACGGACCCAATGAATATCCCATACCTTTCTTTTGTTGTTAAATAGCATAAATCTACGAGGAACCAATGCAATCTCCTTCGAGTTAACACAAGCTATGTTCACTATGGTTAACATACTTTTCAACTGATGACAGTTTATTCAGGAAATTCTTTTGAACAAAGACATGTGAGCAATTACTATACCTAGCTCCAAAGAAATGCCTTCAACAAAAATGAGATGCACAATTTCCTGTAACAAAACGACAAGACCTTTGTGAGCCTTCTAACTATGTTGTGGGCTATTTGAGCGCAATAAAAACCGTCATGATGGATTATCAAAAAGCTTACATCAGGTTCAGCTACTTTAGAAATTTTAGAGACAGAGATCTAAGAGGCCTTTCCTCCCCCTCCCCCCCATGTGGAAGATAAGATAAGAGAAGACTGAAAAAGAGAAGAGGTGGGAGGGGGCAGGAGAAATAAAACATAGAGCTGCTCAGATGCAAATTTTAATTTGCCTTTTGCCTCCACCATTTGTATCATTGTCACTTTCATCCTTCCCTCTGAAGGAGATTGCATTGGTGGTATCCATTTGTTGCTCAACATCCACTTTCTCCGCCATTTCCCTTGAAAAATCATTGCATCTCTGGTGTTAACCTGTAACCAGGTTAGAGTTCAAACAACAACAGTGAAAACACATCTTATACAGCAAATATACTCGAAAAACTAAGGAAGTTAAAAAGAAAATAGACAATTTGAGGACGGAAGCTTCACGTAGTATCTCGGTTAAATGATCTCTATCATTTAGAAAAGATGACTTAGTTATCGGTTTATAGAACCTAGCTAGAAAGTTTCTACTTTTTACCAACTCTTTCACTTAGTCTGAAACATTATACATTTTTTCCTAGATATAACTAGGTCTGTGATTCTATCATTCAACCAATACTGCCCAAATCAATCCTGTAAAAGCAACAAAGATGTAATAATGAGACATATTGCAGACAAAGACCTGAAGTTAGAAGCAATCCAGCACCTTCAGGTGGATCTAATTGTAGGTTATTTCAGTTGCATCTTGAAGAGAGTGAGTTACACTCTCCATTATTGTTTGTTTATTCCCTCGCTTTACGCATTTCGACAAAGCACGAGAGGGTTCTTGTGTGCCTTTTAAACTATTGGGGATTTCCTGTGCGGTTTTGAAAATCACGAGTGGTTGTCGTGTATTACCCCTTTTTATTTTCACTACTAGAGTACGTATTTGTTTATTATTATAGGTTTAAAAATATCGAATTCTTTAAATAATCCATTCTTTGGGGGTATTTTGGTCATTTGAAACGCATCATTCTTTTTTTCCGGTGAAAAGTTAAATTTGTATTAACTTCGCCACAAAACCAGTTTCTACATCAAAACCCTGCTTTACACAATTCACTCAACTCTAATTCTACACTACTACAGAAAACTATTACATTAAAACTCTATCAATACTTCATACATCAATGCCTATCTTTGCTAAAAACATCTTCTCACTAGGTCTGTATATCTTACATACAGCACTCACCCTCCATTTCAGCATTTGTCTAATCTGTTCCTCCACAACTCCAATTTCCATCAATTTATGGCCATGCTGGACTTTATTCCTCACCTTCCAGATCTGGTAAACAGCTGCTACTAACAAACTAAAAAGTACTCTCTATTTACATTGACAATTCTGCCATATATTTCTCAGCCTAGTCTTCCATACAGAGATATTGTCGGGTATTACAGGGCAGCCTATCCATCTTCTCAAATTCTGTTACAGCTCTTTAGGGAATTGGCACTGAAAGAATAGATGATCAAGGCTTTCCTCTTTAGCTGAGCAGAGAACACATAACACTGGCTGGCTTATGATATTCAATTTCTGTAACCTGTTTGATATAAGTAGCCTCCCCCTCATAACTAACCAAAGGATAAAACTATGCTTAGGAATATTGTATTTATTCCAGATCAGACCAGCTTCCTGCATTCGTATACCTTCTCCTCTAAGCCACATATAACCAGATTTTGTCGTGTATGCACCAGAACTGATCCCTATGCATTTCCCTTGCACTAGCCCATCCTTCATCCTATCTTTTATTTTCATCAAACTCTTCCAATACCATCACGCCCATAGGGATGTTTTATAATTCCATACATTCTGGCCTTTTAAGTAGTATTCGTGACACCATTTAACCCAGAGGTTATCCTTCTTGACTGCTAATTGCCATACTTGCTTACCTAAAGCTGCCTGATTCCATGAACTAGGTTCTTTGAAATTTAAACCACCATGTTTCAATGGTTTACATATATCATCCCAAGCCACCAAGGCATGAGCTCTGCCTGCCTCATTTTTCCCCTAAAGAAAGTCCCTACACACCCTCACAATCTGTTTTATGACACTTTGCGGTATTACAAAAATTGATGCCCAATATGTATGCAAATTTAGTAAACATGCGTTCACTAACACCACGCTTCCTGTGTAGGATAAGTGCCTAGTAGTCAACACTTAATCCTAGCAGTGACTTTGTCTACTAAAACTTGGCAATCCATAGCATTCCACTTCGTAGGAGATATTGGGACTCCTAGGTACTTCATTGGAAATGAACCTCTACTAAACCCTGTTATTTGCTGGATTTCCAGTTTAGCTTCATCACTAACACGCCACAGTACATATTAGATTTTCTTAGATTAGCTTTTAGGCCAGTAGCAGCAGAAAATTCATCTAAAACTTTCTTAACCTTCTTAACTATCAACAAATCTGCTTTGCAGAGGATGATTAAATCATCAGCAAAGCTGAGATTTGATCTGCAATCTTTTACATTTAGGGTGTTACCGAAAACCTCCTATAACAGTTTTAAATCTAAACAACCTATTCAAGTATTCCATACACAATACAAACAACAAGGGGGAACAAGATCCCCTTGTCTTAAACCCCCTGTCCCTTCAAAGAAGCCTGTTAGTCCCCTATTTATAAAAAAGAAAAAACTACAAGTCGTAATACATTCCTTAATCCAAAAATTAAACTTACTTGGAAACTTATAGGCTGTAAGGATTTCTTTCACAAAACTCCAAGCATTGGAATCATAAGCCTTTTGGAGGTCCATCTTCATCATACACTGTGGCGAAGCATTTTTCCTATAATAAAGTTGTACCATTTCTTGCATTAGGAGGATATTATGTATAATCAGGCGATACTTGATGAAAGCTCCCTGACTCTGATCCACAAGACAAGACAGAACATTCGATAACCTGTTACTGAGGACCTTCGTAATACACTTGTACACTGTATTACAACATGATATCAGTCTATACTCAGCTGCTGATTGAGGGGCCTCCACTTTCGGAATCAATGATATTACTGTCGCATTAATTTGCCTGAGTAGTCTCCCTGACTTGAAGAATTCCCCAACTGCTTTACATGTACTCTTACCTTCCACTTCCCAAGTCTTCTGATAAAATCCACTATTGAAGCCGTCCGGGCCTGGACTCTTAGTGTAATCAATAGCGAACATTGCATGTTTTATCTCACATTTTGTGACATCCTTAATAAGTTCTAATTGCTACTCTGTTGACAATTGAGGTCCCATGTCACATACTTCCTGCTTTACTGCCACCATTTCCTCTTCTTTACCTAGCAGATTTTGAAAAAACCTTAGAAAATGGTCTTCAATTTCTTTCTAGTCTTCCACAATTGTTCCATCCTCCTTTGTATATGACAAAATTCGTTTACGTTTTTGCTTTTTCCTTATAACTGCATGGAAAAAGGTCGTATTTTCATTCCCTTGCTGAACCCAATTTTCCTTAGCCTTCTATTGCCAGTAGCTAAAGGCCTGTGAGCTCAATTCCACATACTGATGTATTGCCTCCTCTTCTTTCTCTTGCAGCTCAACGTTCTGAGATTGTATCTGTAAGGCTTTCTGCAGGTCCTCCATATGAATTTTTGCTGCCAGCCCTTGTTGATCAATATTAGCGAACCTGGTTTTATTAAGGTCCTTCAGAAGAGGATTCAACAACTTTTGTTTTTGGACCATTTGAAACTGCTTACTGTCTTCAATTTCTTGATTCCAAACCCCCTAAACTAAACTAAGATAATTCTCTGCTTTTGACCACATGCTGAAAAAATAAAACCATTTCTTTGTATTGCATGCTGCATAACTCCACTTGATCACCAGAGGACAGTGGTCTGATAGTCCTTCTGGCTGAATGGTCACAAAAGTCTCATGGCATTTCAACAGCCATTCATCATTTACCATCACTCTGTCCAAACTAGCGTAAATTCTTTGATCTCCAGATTGCTTGTTGTTCCATATAAAGAAACCCCTATGCGAAGTAAGATGTTCCAGTTGGCAATCCTCCACCATCATTCTGAACTCCTCTGTATCTGCAACTGTGACTGGTAATCCCCCAACTTTCTCCATCTGGTTCAATACATTGTTAAAATCCCTTAGGATTACCCAGGCTTACTTCATATGTTGCTCTATACCTATTAATTTCTTCTAGAGCTGTGACCTCTCATTTGATCCATATACCACTGTCATATAATATTTTCTTTGTGCCAATCTGTCTTCCACCTCGCAGTGTATGCATTGATCATCTACTCTGAATATATTCATCTTTTATCTCTTACTCGTTCCACATCACAACTATTCGATTCCTTCCCCCATTCTTGCTATTTCCTTGATATTCATAATCTGGCCAGTCTTTCTTCATGAACACTTCCAACTTCTCTTCTTTCATCTTCACTTCTACCACACTAATTATACTTGCGTAGTTTAATGAGACTAAATTTTTTAGCTCTCTTTATTTCATGAAACTATGCAAACCCCTTGGATTCCACATGATGATGTTATTCATTGGGAACAATCCCCTTTGTTCCACCACCATGCCCCCTCCTTACTCACCCAAATCCTGTAATCATTCAACAGGTTACCACTATATTGATTATTCGCCTTTGGAGCCTTATTATCTTTCTCTCCACTTGTACCAGCCCTTAGCTCTGTCTTCCCCCTACTTGATTCAACTGCTTTGGTTGTATGGATCTCATTCATCTTTGCATGTGGATTCACATTCTGCTCTATTTTAGCTTTCTTCTCATTTTGCACTTGCAGAGCTTTCTTCTTACATATTTCAGCAGTGTGTCCATATCCTTTGCACTCTTCACATCTGGTCGGCTTCCATTCATACTCTATGATATGTTCTTGAACCACCTCCTGCTCATCCTCAAAGCAAAGTTTATCAGGAAGGTGTTCTTTGATTTCCACTTCAACCACTAAACAAGCAAAGTTTAATCGTTCTTTATTGACTGTCAACTCATCCATTTTCAGAGGTTTACTAATAGTACTAGCCAGTCTACTGAGTGTTTTGGGGTTCCAGTATCTCAACTTCAAGCCAGGAAGTTTAATCCAGATGGGAACTTTTAGAACATCCTCATCTTGAAGCCAGCTTCAACCGACCAATATTTTACGATCAAAGGTTTACTATCCAAATGAAAATGGCTCCCCAGTAATACATTCTTACCTTCTATATTTTTAAACCTAACAATAAAGACCTAATTATCTAACAATAAGATCTTATCCACCCGCCCCAAATCCTTCTCATAAAACCATTCATGACCCACTAAGGTGGAAAGCCCCCTAAGACATAGCAGGCTACAGAAGTACTCCAGTATTCAAATTTCATCCTCTACCTCATCCTTCGTTACTTGGGCAATCTTCTTACCTGCTACAACTTTTGGGTCTACAAACTGAAGATCCAAAGGCACAGTCCTAAGTTTATTAAGGTTAAATCGAGACCAATTCAAATCAACCCTAGGTACTTCCGATCCCCCCTTTAAATGTTCCAATTGATTTTCCGAAGCCACAATTTTATGATTACTGAGTTATTCTAGCACCAAATTAGCACGAGCAGATAAGGAAGAAGCATTGGGGTTACTCACCGGAGTTGGCGTTCCCAGATCTGGCTCTTGCGCTTTTTTCAGAGTAGACATGCTTCCCGACGATTCCCCAGTAGTACTCGCCACCGCCTGAACAACCTTCGTCGGAGGCCTAACTACCACTCTCTTGCCACTCTCACGATTTTCACGGTGGAACAGATAGGATCAAAGTGGCCGGAGATTTGGACCTTTATAAACTGTTTGTTCCTTCTCCTCCTCCTCCTCATCTCATGGCGGCCGCGGCAGCTCGCTTCCAAATTCTCCACCCATATCCAATACTTCCATCCACTCTTTTCTCAAGGTTCCCTCCCTCCTCCCCATTTTGCTCTTCATTCGGTAACAATCAGCATAACGTCGTTCACTTCCGTCGGCTCTGTTCCAGCTCCCCCCACTCCGTTCCCGAGGTCTTCCTCTTTTCGATTCTATTTTTCTTTTTCTCGCTTGCGCTCCTCAACATTGTTTGATAACTGTAATTTAACTTTGTTTTTGTAATGCAGAGCTCTTTGAATAAGTCCATAGTTGGCGATTTATTGGATTATCTCACGAGTCATGGACTCAATTCCATGCTACTGGTAAGAGCTCTCTTGTAAGTTGTAACCATAAATAATTACCTTGACCCTTGTAACTTCTTACAGCTTGGAGTATCTCTCAATTTCATTCCGTTATGACTATTTTGTAATTGTTACAGAAGTTTGCTTTCTTCTATTGGCTCTGGGATTAAGAATGCATCACATCAGATAAATATTAATGAGAATCATAACATCACGTGCTCAATGTGCTACTCAATTTTGTTTACATCTGTTATTTGCTCTCATTTCTGCAGCTGAAGCCAAACGACAGTTACTCGCCGCTGGATTTCATCTGTTGAATGAGAATGATGAATGGGATTTGAAGCCTGGTGGATGCTACTTTTTCACGCATATATGTCCTCTTTAGTTGCCTGTGCAATTGGGGAGAAGTGAGTCTATTTTAGCCCTTTTTTCATGTCAGAATAAATTAATTTGAATGTGATTCCAAGTATAGCCACAGTTAAAAGAGACATGCTTCTATGCTTTGTTTTTGAACCTTGAGAGCATATGTACTGACAGAACTATAAGTGATCTATGATCCATGTGCCAAGCCCATATGGTTAGACAAAAGCTTAGTTGTTGTAACTTATTGACATATTGATGTTTTAAGCTTTTATGAATCTCCAAGACGTGCGATTGAGTAGTGAAAGGCCATGTATTTCTAATTTTCTTCTTTTATTTCAACTTCCTTAGCTTGTTTCTTTCACTGACTGAATATGGCCAAATCGGCTTTCAGTTTTTTCCATCATTTTCATGAGCTGTTTGAAAATGATACTTGATTTTTTGGCTATACTACTTTTGTTATTGTAAATAGAAGTTATGAGATTGTACTTGATTTGCAGGTATTCCATTTCAAATGGTTTTCACATTATCGCCGCGCATACTGGTAGCCCATGTTTGAAGTTGAAGCCAATATCTGCATCATCCAAATGTGGTTGTCTGATGGTAAATGTCCAGACCTATGGTGGTGGTCTGTGGCATACTTGGTTTGACCGTGACTTAAGTGTTGCTGGTAGGGTAATTGTTAGAGCAGATGATGACAGCTTTCAGCACAAGCTTGTTAAGATAAAAAGACCTATACTGGGAGTGCCTACACTAGCCATTCATCTTGACCGGTAATAAACTCATTGGTTTTTGGCATCCAAGAGTCAGTAATTCTTGGGATTGGAATTTGAAGTTATTTCTGAGAACTTTTAATGTTTTGTTCATGCAAATTCTGTGTAATCTGTCAACTTACATTGAATCCAGGATGGTGTTTGGTTGTTAAAATGCAACAATACAACAACATGTCCAATGTATTCCCTACTTCGTTAAAGTGCAACAACCTACACCCTTTTTTCATGTTCAGTGTTTAATAGTGTTCCTAACAGTCTTTTAGTAATTCTCGGGGTTGACCTTCTGGAAGTGTTTTGCTAATCTAATTTTTATGGGGGTGGGGTTCATGCTGTGTTTCAGCACAGTGAACACGGATGGATTCAAGCCTAACTTGGAGACTCATCTCGTCCGCTGTTTGCTAAAAAGGTGGAGAACGCATTGGTTGAGACCATAGAAAAGAATAATGTATCCTCAAAAAATGTTCACCATCCACTGCTATTGCAGGTGATGCTTTTTTCACTAGGTTACTTCAAGTGGTGTCTAACTGTAAGCGTTTATGCATCGTGTCATTAGATCTGTAAGTTCTTATGATCTATGTATCTGATACTAGAACTACCTTGGATGATGTGTTGTCTTGTTTTGGGAACTTTCTTTGGTTGCTCTGTCTGACAATGAAGAGGTAACTTCGAGGCATACTTGTTTGACATGATTAAAGAGCTTATGTTTCCCCTTTCGCTTGTTCCTTTTGATTGGCAACTGTGATGCTCAATGGAATGTGGAAATTTGTTTTTTTGAACCGTTAAACTCTCTTTGCACATTGTACCTCTAAATTTGCTCTAGTTACAGAATGATCATGAGCTCTTTGTCCCCTTTGGTGTAAATTTTGTCAATTATGTGTTATGACTACAACTGCCCACAGCATTTTTGAGTTCATGGTGTTTGTTGTGTGGCCAAATTTGTTTTACTTCTAAATTTGGGGTTCGAGCATTTACACTTCATTACTGCTATTCTGTGTGAAATAAGTTACTTTACATCAACTTTACTTCTGCTGAAAGGATATTTGTAAATCACATTGAAGGATGAACACTGCTAAGCTCTCTTGCCAAGTAACTAGACAAGCAAATCTAAGGAACATGCCTTTGCTGTCTGATGGTCCACTTTACTTTCCTCAATATCTTCTAACCAACATATTCTGTTGGTAGTTTCTGTATCCTAATTTGTTTGTTGCGTGCTTTTTGTAGCTCAAATTTTGAAGCCCGCCTAACTTGATTCTAATTGCTATCCAAAAGCTTCATGTTTTTCACCAACTTTCGCTGGGTACCTAATTGCTTAAATTTTAAAAATTTGAAACTTACAAGCTTATGCTCACAGGTGGGTTAAGATTCATATCAAGGAGCTGGCGCACCAACTATGTTTGAGGGCATGAGACGAATAATTGATTGCTTAGATTCTCAATCTGTCAGAGAAAATAGGTTTGCTCGTGCAGTTCGCCCTTCCTTTTTGGGTATGTCTTGTTACTTTTGAGCTTTTATTGAATTTGTTGCGGAGGAGCTTTCAGTTTTCGGCATGTTAATGAGCTCTTGGTTGAGATTTCATTGAATAAACCATGTTCTTGTCCATCTAGCTCGCTTGTCCAAAGTGTATAAGCAATCTACCGATAGTCAGTAATTACTGAATCTTTTGTTATTGCTCGAGAAATATACTTTTACTATTGTGAAACATGCAAAAACCCATATAAAATGAGTGAAAAGCTGATAAGAAATGATAATCTTCATTTTCTAATGATCATTTAATAAATATTCCCAAGTGGAGGCTGACCATTCTTCAGAAAATGATGGGCTTTGTTTCCTAGTTCGGATCTTTGATTTTAGAATATTTCATAGCCCATCTATTGATGTGTCTATAACAGCGATAACAAGGACAAGAGGGGGGCAGGGATGGCGGGCTTTCCCGTGCACTTCTGAGTAAATTTAAGTTGTTGGAGTTTGAATTAAGTGCTCATTTGAGCCCAACTTTGTTTGATGCTAAAGTAGTCTGTCTAACAACCTTTAAGAACGTTTGAGTTCAACTGAGACTCACCCAACTTGGGGTTAACAATTTAATTCATTTTAAATTTTGGAAAGGAATGTATTTGAAAGTTTAGGCCATGTTGGACAATTGGCACCGATATAATCATTGATAGTAGTGAAAAATTCATTTTTCAGATTCTGGTCCTTCAGGTAGAATTTTCAGAGGCTGGACTGAATAATGTGGCCATTGATGGTGACCCTGGAATTTTGCTTGATTTAATTGACGTTGTAGATATATAATAAATAGAAGAAATAACGGAATATCATGTAACATGTTAAGCAAATATATCTACATATATATAGAAGGGAATGCACTTTTTGTTGCACGGTTGAAGGGGGTTGTGGGTGAAAATTGCTGACGTGGCAGCTCAATATTGGACCGCTGGTTTTTCCATTTTGGCCGTTTGTGTGTATGGGCTGACTTGTTTATCCTGTTGCCCGTTTTCTCCTGTTTTCTGGTTCGGTTTTAACTTTTACTTTTACATAGTGAAATCCGGAGGTTGGACTGCAATTTGGAATAGTTGTTTTCTTTTCTTTCTCCGATTGTCAATCTCCCATCTGTTCCAGTCATAAATTTTCCATCTTCGGTTTTATTTTTCTTCTGGCTATTTGATTTTTCATCTGGGCGTGCGAATTACCGTCACAAGCAGAGCAGAGGCGAAATTAATCATCAGTGCGATTTACCGGGGCATGCGATTTACCCAGACCTGTTGTTCGGCGTTTGATTTACCATAAGACGCTTGATTTTTCCTTCTGTTCTCCTTAAGAATCATCCGTTGGTTTGTGGTTTTGCCCTAATTTTTTGATTAATCTGGGTGAGCAGAGGCTCGTGCAGGATCAGTTGATGTAGTAAGCGACATCAGAGGATTTGAGTATTGGGAAAATCAAGCTTAAAGCTTTTGGTTCGGGTGGTCAGCAGATCGATCGGTGAGGATTTGAGTATTGACTGACTACCTGCTTTTTGTTTGTAATTTGAGCATAAAAAGTTTTTATGATGGAATGACATTGGCAAATGATTTGATTGATCAAAGGAATGGGAAAAAAAATGAGAGCATAAAACGTTTTACGCGAGGAGGATTAGGATTAACCCGGTAAATCGTCTGTAAGGCTGCACCTCGTGCGGCCCCTCTATGCTAGTGTGTGTGTGTGTGTGTGTGGAGATATCGTTTAAAATTCAATTTGTATACTTGTAGTATCCGCAGACATGGCTCATGGTGTTCATCCAAATTTTATGGAGAAGCATGAAGAACACCATCGCCCAGAATTGCAGAAAGGTCTAGTCATCAAGCATAATGCCAACCAGCAATATGCTACAAGTGGGGTTATGGCATTTCTTTTCAAAGAAGTTGCCAGAATGAATAATCTTCCTACTCAGGTGAACTCCACCATAAGTACTGAAATGAAAACTATGAATGAAAATATTGACAACTCTTTTTCTTTTGTGCCTTTTTGGACCTTTGTGAAATTGTGCGGGTTTTGTGACTTTGTCCATCATATTAACTCTAAGGTTTCTGTTACCACAGATTCCATATCGGCGCTGAAAAATTGTAATACATAAAGGAATAAATAATAAAAAACATAATTGAAGCATGGGGCAAGATCTCACTATTCTTGGCAGATCGCAGATATTGTCTCCCCAACATGAGCATTGGCAAAGCTGTAAGGCAGAGCGAACTTCATTAGAAACATAAATGGGTAGAGAGGTATCAATGCATACCATTTTGTTCTAGGGACTCATACGTGCATAATATTTTTACTTCATTCATTCCAAAAAGGTTTCCGCAACATCGGTGCAGTTCATTACGAGTTTTGAGATACAGCACATAAAATAAGCGACTATTCTATTTTCTTCTCTTGCATTACTTTTTATTGAAGTAATCTTGATCATAAAAATAGGAGTATTATTGTAACAATTTAGAAACATGACATTTTTGGAATGATGCGTCAGTGTGCGTGTGATACACCCAAATTGTGAATTGCTCAGTACTAGATTGGCAGCCTGATTTTTAACTGATTCTGATGACTGTGCATATAGTGACATCTTCGTTTTACTTAGAAAATGAACTGATAAAGAAGGGTTTAAGTTGATAGGGGGACCTAATCGGCCATGTGACTGTCCAAGATAGTTATATGTCAGATTTCGCAACTTGATGTGGTTTTACTAAATTGTTACCTTTATCCGGGTAAACTAGCTGGCAATCTTCCCCTTTTGCAGTTACAAATGAAAGTAAGGGTAAAGAAATGGGAACTTCATTCCAGTAGGTCATTCGCCAGCTTCATATTGAACTCGTGGGTTCTGCAGATATAATTTGCATTTTCCTATTCATGATTGCCAGGAATTTGTGGTGACGAATGATATGGGATGTGGATCCACTATTGGTCCAATACTAGCTTCAGGAGTTGGGACTCGCACTGTCGATTGTGGCATAGCTCAGTTGTCCATGCACAGGTATTTTTGTTTTTTTTTTTTGTATTTTGTTTTTTTACTTGAGAATTCATAGATGTTTATAGTGTTGGTAGGTGCACAGACCATTATATTACATAATTCATTGTACGGGGTAGCTGAAACATTTAGTACAGAATGCTTTACTTATTGCTGAATGACTTTGATCTTGTGGAATGGTAATCACTGTAGTTTTTGGTATACATGATTTTCACGATTGCCCTTTTCTTATAAGTTGTGTCAATTTCTTCTTCAAACTGATTTGGCTTCTTTTAGAAGTTTTACTTTTTTGTTGTTCCTTCTCATTAATCCAGTATCAGAGAGATTTGTGCAAAGGAAGATGTGGACTTTGCATACAAGCACTTTAAGGCATTTTACCAAACATTTTTGAGTATAGACAAGAAGCTCACCGTCGATTAGTAGCTTATCAACTGGTTTTTACTTTGTCGTTTATATGCTACAGTGCTGAAAGAGAGGGACAAAAAGTTCAAGAAAAGTAATTGTTATCTGAAGGAAGAAGGGCCCATAGCCTACATAAACTCAAAGTTCAATCATGACTGACAAAATCTGACTCAAATTTGCAAGAGAAGCTGATACAAATCCTGAGCAGACATAAGATGTAAGCAAAGAAAACCTCAAAGCAACAGGAGAAATCTTCTCATGTTCTGCCCGTTCTCTTGATTCTTGTTCCTGTTAATTGCAGAAGAACTTGACTCAAATTTGCAAGAGAAGCTGATACAAATCCTGCAGCTTTTTGGCTTTCTTTTTCAGCTTTTCATTCACTAGCATGATGCGGCAGTTCTTCCAAAAAAGATCGGCGTTTTGTCTCTCCATGTCAAACTGGTGAGGGAGCACCATCAATGTAACAGTAGTTAGAAAGAAAACTCAAGATAGCTAGAAGAAGAAAACACAAAAGGTAATTCTAAAATGCATCTTTCTTCAATTCATTTTCAAAAAATAAAATAAAATTCCTTCAATTCTTTATACACAGTATGTCGAAAATCTATGATTAGAAGTGGAACTTTTTGCAACCTCTGAAGTATGTTGAGATATGGAATCTATGACTTGACTACTCAATTACATCTAGAGACTACTTAAACACCTTGTATGCTTTTCTCCTCCTGTTATCTACAATCAATTCAATATCTGCACATGCTCTATTATTAACAGAACTTACCAGTTACCACCAGCGCGAAAAAAATAGTAACTTCTCTGTTTCTGGAAAATCGGTAGTTATAGTAAGCTGTATCTATAAAATGCTAATTGTGTGCTTTGCATTGACTGCTTCCTAGCTTATTTATACTAAATTAAATGCACTAGATATCAAACGCTACACATGAAGAGTTTCACTTACCTACCTGTAAAGCCTATGTTTTGTACTTTGGTAGCCGGACGTGTATGCTAGGCTGGACAATAACCGTGACATAAAGATGAGAATGCTCGTTTTTCATGACCGGAACTCCTGAGGGATGGCGTGATACTACATGTGATCCTAGCATGTAGACAATGATCGTAGAACTCCCTTGCTGAGGAAATTCCGGGGACAAAGGAGATGATGTTGAGATCTTGATTTGTCGACACAGAAAAGTGTCGAAATTTGTTGTGTAAAGAATGACGACAAATGCATATGCAGGCTTTTTGCAGTGGAGAAAAGCATGTTGAGGTAGTTGGGTATTTAGCGAAGGGAACGACTTTGATTCTAGGATGGTGTTTGGTTGTTAAAGTGTGTCAGTAAATCAAGGAAGTCTAGAGTAGATAAGATTAAAATAAATAAGGAAAGCTGCATCATAGGAGAAATCTAACCCTATTCCTGATTGTTAGGGATTTAGGATCACTAATCCTTTATTGAAGGGATTTGTCTCCTATCCTTTTCCTATAAATGTAGTAGACTCTGTGTATTCTGAATATACTGTAATGCAGAAATATCATTTCCTGGAGTCTATATTCTTCTAGATGGTGTCAGAGCTTCAGGCTCAATCATGAATTTTAAGGCTGCCATAGCTGGCTCCGTAGGTTCTAACAATAGTGAACCATCTTCAGAGCAAAGCTCTCACCCTTCTGTTTCTGAAAATTCCCTTCAAATTACCAATCAAAAGTTGAATGGGAAAAATTATCTAGTGGTCTCAGTCTTTACGTCTGGTGGTAGATGGCAAAGGAAAACTTGGTTTTTTGAATGGGGGAATAAAGCTCCCTGCCACAAATGATCTAAAATATAGGCAGTGGCGATCAGAAAATTCAATGGTCACAGCCTGGTTGATCAATTCTATGGATCCTGCGGTTGGAAAACCTTTCCTTTTCTTGCCGACTGTCCAAGATATCTGGGAGGCAGTTTGAGACACCTACTCAGATCTGGATAATCATTCACAATTGTTCGAGTTAAATGCTCGAATCTGGAAGATGCAGCAAGGTGAACGTTAAGTGACATCATATTACAATGAGATGATGGCTACTTGGCAAGAGCTGGACTTGTTTGAAGCAGAAGAGTGGGAAAGTCCTAGGGATAGTGCTCGGTATGCAAAGAAGGTAGAAACAAGTCGGGTATTTGTTTTCCTGGCTGGTTTAAACAAAGATCTGGATGAAGTTTGAGGACGTATCCTAGGGAGAAAACCCTTACCCTCTATTAGAGAAGTTTTCTCAGAAGTGCGCCGAGAAGAAGCACGGCGCAAAGTGATGCTGAGAGAAATTAATGATCCAAAGGCTTAAGTTGAAGGGTCAGCCCTAGTGGCAAGAAGTGCAGATGTGGAAGGTGATAAAAGGGGAGGAAAACAAAAGTTTTGGTGTGATCATTGCAAAAAGCCATGGCACACCCGGAAAAATTGCTGGAAATTGAACGGCAAACCTGCAAACTTGAAAAAGAGACAAGGCTTTGATAACAAGTCAGGGGGAGAAGTTCATGCATTTCAAGTAAGCAATGGTAATCCAGGGCAACAATCATCCTCGGAATCTCTTCCCTTCACCAAGGAACAAATGGAGCACTTATACAAGTTGCTTTAATATTAATCCATAGGAACCTCTACCCCATCCTGCTCTCTTGCTAAATTAGGTAAAGATTGCACCCTTCTTCTTGTTCGTACCAGTTCAAATGAATACTACATCCTAGATTCAGGCGCCACCAATCATATGACTGGAAAATCCCAATTTTTCTCTTCTTATGCACCTTATGTAGGGAATCAAAAAGTGAAAATGGCCGATGGTTCCTATGCTTCTATTGTAGGAAAAGGAACTGTCCCTATCTTTCCTTCTCTAACTCTTAAAGATGTTTTACATGTTCCTAATCTTTCTTACAATCTTATTTCTGTTAGTAAACTTACCTGAGATCATAATTGCCAAGTTCTTTTCTCGTCTTCTAACTGTAAATTTCAGGATTTCCTCTCGGGGAAGAGGATTGGGGGTGCTAAACAGGTTGGTGGCCTCTACCTACTCCATAAAGGATCCTTTAAAATGCAAGACCAGCAGACATGTTTAAATTCTATTTCTATTTCTAATGATAGTGACATATGGTTATGACATTATCGATTGGGACATCTTAGCTTTCAGTATTTGAAGCATTTGTTTCCCAAGTTATTTATGAATAAAAAGATTTCAGCTTTTCAGTGTGAATTTTGTGAATTAGCAAAACACCAACGTGCAATTTTTCCCTCTCAGCCATACAAAAAATCAGAACCATTTACTCTAATTCATAGTGATGTTTGGGGTCCTTCAAGAATGCCAACTCTTTCTGGAAAACGTTGGTTTATCACTTTCATGATGATCATACTAGAGTCACTTGGGTCTTTCTTTTAAAAAAGAAATCTGAAGTCGCAACTGTTTTCAAATATTTTTACACAGTGGTTCAAGCACAATTTCAGACTCAAATTAAAATTTTCAGAAGTGATAATGAGAAAGAGTTCTTTAACAATGAATTAGGACATTTTTTCATGGAGAATGGAATTGTGCATCAAAGTTTGTGTGATAATACACCTCAACAAATTGAGGTGGCTGAGCGAAAAAATAAACATCTCCTTAAAGCTGCTAGAGCTCTAAGTTTTACAACTAAAGTTCTTAAGTACCTTTGGGGGGAAGCTGTTTTAACAGCCACCTACTTGATCAATAGAATACACGAATTTTGTATTTTAAAACACCCATTCAGGTTTTCTCTGATTATTTTCTAAATAATTGGCTGGTTACCGACATCCTTTTAAAAATATTTGGAAGTGTGGCCTCTGTTCATAATCATGACCCTAAACATTCCAAACTTGATTCTAAGGCACATAAATGCATTTTTGTGGGCTATCCTACCAATCAAAAAGGTCACAAATATTTTGATCCAGTTTTGAAAAAGATGTTTACGTCTATGGATGTAACTTTTTTTGAAGGAACCTCATACTCTAGTGATTCCCATCTTCAGGGGGAGAACAATAAGACTGAAGATGGTTTCTTTGATAATTCTCATTTGTCAGTTGATGTTTTGCACAACCATGAGGAGGAAATTGCAAAACCATTGGAAAATGAAAAATCAGTAGAAACTAATGAACTATTGATAATGCCTTCTGAAAATAAACCAGCTGAAGTCATAGAAATGAATACAAAACGGTTTATAGGTCTTGTATATTCAAAGAAGGGGAAAGGCACCATTCCGCTGCACCCCCAACAATCTGATGCGGTAGTGGAACCTGAACTTTCTCATGAATCTTCAACAGTTCCTTTAGAATCTAATTCTCCTAATCATCTTGATTTTCCCATTGCCCTAAGGAAAGGTGTTAGATCTTGTACAAAATATCCTTTGTCAAGTTTTGTTTCTTATGAGAATATTTCACCTCCATATTTTGCCTTTATTTCACAATTGTCTAGTGTGTCCATTCCTAATAGTATACATGAGGCCTTAAGTATTCCTAAATGGAGGGAAGCTGTTTTGGAGAAGATGAGAGCCTTGGAAAAGAATGCTACTTGGGAAAAGGTTGACTTGCCGAATGGGAAGGCAGTTGTTGGTTGTAAATGGGTGTTTAGCTTGAAATATAACTCAAATGGATTCTTGGAAAGACGCAAGGCGTGTATAGTGGCTAAGGGCTTTACTCAAACATATGGAGTGGACTATTCCGAGACGTTTTCTCCTGTGGCTAAGCTGAACACGGTCCGTATACTTCTTTCTGTTGCAGCAAATCTTGACTGGCCTTTAATTCAACTTGATGTGAAGAATGCCTTTCTGAATGGAGACTTGAAGGAAGAAGTATACATGGAACCCCCACCTGGTTTCAATGATAAGTATGGGACAGTTTGCAGGTTGAAGAAGTCTTTATATGAACTCAAACAATCTCCACGAACTTGGTTTGAAAGGTTCACAAAGTTTCTTAAACGTCAAGGATATACGCAAGGACAATCTGATCACACTCTTTTCACAAAGGTATCCACTAAAGAGAAGATCTCAGTTTTGATCGTCTACGTAGACGACATAATCTTGACCGGAGATGATGTGGAAGAAATGAATAAACTAAAGCAAAACCTGGCCAAGGAATTCGAGATCAAAGATTTAGGCCAGCTTAGGTACTTTCTTGGAATGGAAGTGGCAAGATCAAAAAAGTGAATTGTGGTTTCTCAACGGAAGTACGTTTTGGATCTCTTAAAAGAGACAGGAATGTGTGGATGCAGACCAGCTGATACTCCAGTTAAAGTAAATGTCAAACTTGGAGATTTTGAAGATGGAATACCAGTAAATAAGGAAAGATACCAAAGACTAGTTGGAAGACTAATCTACCTATCACATACACGCCCTGATATTGCTTTCGCTGTCAGTGTGGTAAATCAGTTTATGCACTCACCACGCAAATAACATCTTGAAGCAGTGTACCGAATACTTCGATACTTAAAAGGCACCCCAGGAAAAGGGCTGTACTTCAAGAAAAATGAGAAGAGGGAGATTGAAGTGTACACAGATGCTGATTGGGCAGGATCTATGACTGATAGAAGATCAACTTCTGGATATTGCACCTTTCTTTGGGGCAATCTGGTTACTTGGAGGAGCAAGAAACAAAAGTGTAGTTGCCAGAAGTAGTGCTGACGCTGAATTCGGATCAATGGCACAAGGAGTGTGTGAGATTCTTTGGCTAAGAAAGGTTCTTTGGGATCTTAGAAGGCCAGTACAGTTTCCTATGCGACTATACGGTGATAATAAAACAGCTATCAGCATTGCTCATAATTCAGTTCAACATGATAGGATAAAACATGTTGAGATTGACACACTTCATAAAGGAGAAACTTGAAAAGGGAATAATATGCACTCCATTTGTCCCAAGTACACAGCAGCTTGCAGATGTTCTAACTAAGGGTCTCTTGAGACAACCATTTGAGTTTCAAATTAGCCAGTTGGGCATGATAAATATTTATGCACCAACTTGAGGGTGGGGTTCATGCTGTGTTTGAGCACAGTGAACAAGGGTGGATTCAAACCTAACCTGGAGACTCATTTGATCCTGCTGTTTGCTAAAAAGATGGAGAACACATTGGTTGAGACCAAAGAAAAGAACAATGTATCCTCAAAAGATGTTCACCATCCACTGCTATCATAGGTGATGCTTTTTCAAGTGTTACTTCTAGTGGTGTCTAACTGTATTTTTTTTATTTCACGGACTGTAATTTTTATGTATCGTGTCTCTAGATCTGTAAGTTATTACGATCCATGTATCCGACGCTTCAACCACCTTGGATGATGTGTTGTCTTGTTTTGGGAACTTGCTTTGTGCTCTACTCAGTTGCTATTTTTAATTCTGGTCTTCTTTAATCTTGTCTACCTCTATCATTGAAATTTTATGGGGACCTTTGGATTGAGATTCTTAGTTTATGAGTGGTAACATGCTTCTGTGGTTGTGTATTATTCTTTTCTGCTTACCCTATGACTGTCATTTGTAGATCTTGTCAAATGAGTTGAGCTGTAAAGTTGACAACATATTAACCGTAGAGTTGAATGTTTCCGATACTCAACCTAGCTGTCTTGGAGGTGCAAATAATGAATTCATATTCTCTGGAAGGTTGGATAATCTTGCTTCAAGCTTTTGTGCTCTACGAGCTCTTGTTGATTCTTGTGCTTCAGCTGGAGATTTGTCCAATGAGGGTGCTATGTGAATGGTGGCTCTTTTTGACAATGAAGAGGTAACTTTGAGGCATACTTGTTTGCCATGATTAAAGAGGTTATGTTCCCCCTTTGGCTTGTTCCTTTTGATTGGCAACTGTGATGCTCAATGAAATATGAAAATGTGTTATTTTGAGCCGTTTAACTCTCTTTGCACAATGTACCTCTAAATTTGCTCTATTTACGGAATGATCATGAGCTCTTTGTCCCTTTAGTGTAAATTTTTTCAATTCAGGGTTCGAGCATTTATACTTCATTACTACTATTCTGTGTGAAATAAATTACTTTACATTTTACTTCTACGTACAGGATATTTGTTGAATCACATTGAAGGATGAACACTGCTCTTATCTCTCTTATTAAATAACCAGACAATCAAATCTAAGGAACATGCCTTTGCTGTAACCGACACATTCTGTTCGTAGTTTCTGCATCTAAATTTGGTTGTTGGCGTGCTTTATGTAGCTCAAATTTTGAAATCCACCTAACTTGATTGTAATTGCTATCCAAAAGCTTCATACTTTTCACCAAATTTCCCTGGGTATCTAATTGCATAAATTTTTTAAAAATTTGAAACTTACAAGCTTATGCTCGCAGGTGTGTTCAGATTCATATCAAGGAGCAGGTGCACGAACTATTTTTGAGGGCATGAGACGAATAATTGATTGCTTAGATTCTCTCACTGTCAGAGAAATAGGTATGCTCGTGCAGTTGGCCATTCCTTTTTGGGTATGTATTGTTATGTTTCAGCTTTTATGGGATTTGTTGCAGATGCGCTTTCAACTTTTGGCATGTTAATGAGCTCTTAGTTGAGATTTTCATTGAATAAATCACGTTCTTGTCCATTTAGCTCTTTTGTCCAAAGCGTGTAAGCAATCTAGAGGCAGTCAGATAGAAGCCTTTTCACATCCCTTAGAAGTTTTTTATTACAGAAAAGCAAATATTCGTGTTCAAAAATTCTAGCATGCATAAATAGTCAGTAATTACAGAATGTTTTCTTCTTGCTCCATAAATATACTTGTACTATTGGAAAATATTCACAAACCCAGGGAAGACGAGTGAGAAGCTGATAAGAAATGATATTCTTCATTTTCTAATGTGATTATTTGATAAAGTATATCCCAAAGGAGGCTGACCATTCTTCGGAAAATGGTTGGCTTTTTTTACAAGTACGGGTCTTTGATTTTAGAATATTTCATAGCCCATCTACTAATGTGTCTATAACAGCGATAACAAGGACAAAAGGGGGCCAGGATGGTGGGCTTTCCCCTACGCTTCTGAGTTAATTTAAGTTGTTGGGGTTTGAAATAAGTGCACATTTGAGCCCAACTTTGTTTGACGCTAAAGTAATCTGTCTAACACCCTTTGCTAACGTTTCAAATTTGAATTTAACTGAGACTCAGCCCACTTGAGGTTAACTATTTAATTCATTTTTAATTTTGGAAAGGAACGTATTTGAAAGTTTAGGCCATGTTGGACAATGGACATTGATGTAATCATTGATAGTAGCTATAAATTCATTTTTCAGATTCTGGTCCTTTAGGTAGAATTTTTAGGGGCTGGACTGAAAACTTCTTTGCTGGATAATGTGGCATGGGGTGGCCCAGGAATGTTGCCTGATTTAATTGACATTGTAGAGATATAATAAATAGAAGAAATAACTGAATATTACGTAACATGTTCGACAAAAATTTATATAATGTATGAGATGTCATTTAAAATTCGATTTGTATACTAGGTTGTTTTATTTAATATATTTTATTGCATCTTGTAGTATCCGCAGACATGGCTCATGGAGTTCATCCAAATTTTATGGAGAAGCATGAAGAACACCAGCGCTCGGAATTGCAGAAAGGTCTAGTCATCAAGCATAATGCTAACCAGCCATGTGCTACAAGTGCGGTTACGTCATTTCTTTTCAAAGAAGTTGCCAGAATGAATAATCTTCCAACTCAGGTGAACTCCACCATATGTACTGAAATGAAAACTATGAATGAAAATATTGACAACTCTTTTTCTTTTGTGCCTTTTTGGACCCTCGTGAAATTGTGTGGGTTTGTGACTTTGTCCATTATTGCCTCTAAGGTTTCAGTTATCAAAGATTCCATATCGGCTGAAAAATAGTAATACATAAAGGAATAAATAATAAAAAACATAATTGAAGCATGGGGCAAGATCTCATTATTCTTGGCAGACATCTTCTCCCCCAACATGAGCGTTGGCAAAGCTGTAACGTAGAGCGAACTTCATTGGAAACATAAATGGGTAGAGAGTTATCAATGGATACCATTTTGTTCTAGGGACTCATAAAGACATAATATTTTTGCTTCATTCATTCCAAAAAGGTTTTCCACAAATAATGTACAGTTCATTACGAGTTTTGAGATACGTCACATGAAATAAGCGATTATTCTACTTTCTTCACTTGTATTACTTTTTATTGAAGTAGAAGTTGATCATAAAAATAGGAGTATTAAAGGAACAATTTAGAGACATTACATTTTTGGAATGATGCATCAGTGCATATGTGTGATAAACACATATTGTAAATTGCACAGTACTGGAAGGGCAGCCTGATTTTTAACTGATTCTGATCACTGTGCATATAGTGACATCTCCGTCTTAAATAGAAAATGAGCTGATAAAGAAGGGTTTAAGTTGATAGGGAAACCTAATCGGACATGTGACTGTACAAGATAGTTATATTTTAGATTTCGCAGCTTGATGTGGTTTTAATGAGTTGTTACCTTTATCTGGGTAAACTAGGTGGCAATCTTCTCCTTTTGCAATTACAAATGAAAGGATAAAGAAATGGGACTTCATTTCTGTATGTTATTCGCTAGCTTCATATTGAACTCTCTGGGTTCTGCAGATATAATTTGCATTTTTCTATTCATGATTGCCAGGAGTTTGTGGTGAGGAATGATATGGGATGTGGATCCCCTATTGGTCCAATACTAGCTTCAGGAGTTGGGATTCACACTGTTGATTGTGGCATAGCTCAGTTGTCCATGAACAAGTATTGATTTTTTTTCTTTTTACTTGAGAAGTCGTAGATGTTTTTAGTGTAATTCTATTCACAGTAGGTGGACACACCATTATGTTACATGATTCATTGCACGGGATAACTGAACCATCTGGCAGAATGCTTTACTTACTGCTGAATGACTTTGATATTGTGGAATGTATATAAATCACTGAAGTTTTCTGTATACACGAATTTTCAAGATTGTAATTCCTAAGTATGCTTTTCTTATGAGTTGCGTCAATTTCTTCTTCAAACTGATTTGGCTTCTTTTAGACTTTTTACTGTCTTGTTGTTCCATTTCATTAATGCAGTATCAGAGAGATTTCTGCAAAGGAAGATGTAGACTTTGCATTCAAGCACTTTAAGGCATTTTACCAAACATTTTCGAGCATAGACAAGAAGCTTCTCACCGTCGATTAGTAACATATCACCTGGTGTTTACTTTGTCCTTTATATGTTACAGTGCCAAATGAGAGGGACAAAAAGTTCAAGAAAGTAGTTATTACCTGAAGAAAGAAGGGCACCTGGTCTTCATAAACTCAAAGTTCAATCATGACTGACAAATCTGACTCAAAATTTGCAAGAGAAGCTAATACAAATCCTGAGCAGGCAGGAGATGCAAGCAAAGAAAACCAGGCAACAGGAGAAATTTTGTTCTTCCCCTTACGCTTGATTTTTGTTCCATTTGTTTACCGAAGAACTCTACTCAGCCCTATTCCCATTTGGGATTAGAACTCTCAGGTTCTATACGCATTCTCACTTTAGCTGCTAACATCTGGTTCTCCTGCTTCAGCATTTCGGCTTTCATTTTCAGTTTCTCAAGCATGATTCGGCATTCTCAGAGTATGTTGAACATCTATGTTTAGAAGTGGAATTTTTGCGGCCTCTAAAGAATGTTAGATATGTAATCAATGACTAGACTACTTAAACACCTTGAATACTTTGCTCTTCCTGTTATCAACAACCAGTACAATATCTGTGCATGGTCTATTATTACTAGAAATTACCACTTGCCTCCAGCGTGAGAGAAATAGTAACTTTGTCTGTTTCTGGAAAAAAATGGGAAGTTATAGTAAGCTTGATGGAACGACTTTGTTAGTATTTTGACGTAACCATATCATGAATAGAAATTGGTCAAACTATTCTTCCAAGGGGATTTTTTTCCTCTGTTACTTCACTTTACTCTTGCTTCCATACTATCAATTCCAATAGTCGTCGACTATCAGTTCAAACTGTATGAACCGAACCACATCAGTTTCACATTTTAATGAAACAACAAGAACCAAATTCTGCAAAACTTCAAGACCGACGTCAAGGTTATGGGTTAAAAGGCTGAACATGCTCTGTATAAACAAATTACACTTGTGGCTTTCTTAATTATATATATAAAAAATAAAAATAACTTTATTTCATAAACTGCCATTAATTCAACAAAACGGCTCCCCGTTTGGTATGACAGCCGCTGAAACAAATTAATCATACGAAATACTCCCTTCATTTCGAAATGTAGGTCATTTTAGGTTTGGAGAAATATTTCAAATATAGGTCGTTTTAGGATTTCAAGTCAAATTAAAAATTAATTTCCCAACTTTGACTCCAATAAATGATGCTAATCACTTTTCATCTAGTTTTGGTTATAGTTCCAAAATAATTAATGAAGGGTAAAATAAATATTTAACACAAAAACTAATCATTAAATAATTATCTCCTTAGTTTACGTGTAGAGCCTTTTAGCTTTGTTTGGCCAACCTTCTATTTTGTATTTTGTCTCATTTTATTTCTTAAACACAAAACCCAATGAAAAAGAAAATATCATCCAAACAACTTTCTGATTTACATTTTAAATTCCAACTTGAAACACTTTTTGTTAATGTAATGACCATTTTAGAACTACAAATAGTTCAGTGACAAATTTGGCAGGATTCCTTTATTGAGTGATTGTTTTTGGAAAAGTTTTTTTTTGCAGTGACTATAATTGACAGTATTTAATCATTTAGTGATGACTTGTACTTAATATTTCAAAATGTAGTTCAAAATACTTTTTTTCAAAACCAACATCCAAACAACATTTTTATTTCTCATTTAGTTTTCAATTTGAAACACTTTCCACTTTTAAGTGACAAAATAAAATGTAAGTTGACGTACAAATAAGTAGTTACATTTTAAAATGAAGGGAGAGTACTGGTTAGGATTTAGGAGAAGCCTTTCGATAACCAAATAATCAATGCTTTCAGTAAAATAAAGCTTTGTTCAAGAACAGTGGTTTCTGACTTTCTGTCATGTAAAGTCGGGTTGCATAAGGTTCGGGTCAGGGTTAATTGCAATTAAAGGTTCCACATTAAGAAAGCAGGACCACGTCGTTTTGGTGGATTGCTGCGCATGCAGCTCATACAGACGGAGGAAGCTTCTGGAAGTTGATAGTTTTCACTATATTCCCGTTTAATTTCCAGTAATCACGGTTAAGAGTCGATGATTATCTCTCTCCGACCCCTCTCTCTCACACTTCACTCAATCTTGACCTTTCATCTCCCTTCCCATTTTTAACCCTAAGGAATGCAAACTTTTGCTTTTTACCAAATTCCACCTCTCGCAGTCCGCCCTTCTTCTTCCTTTACATAGCAAAAGACCATATTATCTTCCTTTAGGTTCCATTATACTGCCTGGCTGAAAAACCTAGAGAAGAAAAGAACAAAATGGCCGAAAAGCATAGCGAAGAAGAAGAGGTGATTACTGCGAAAGAACCTAGCGGAGGAGACGAGCCGTTTCTTATCAACGTAGTCAGCCAGAACACTGACGATGCACCAGTACTTCTCCAAGTACGGGGCACCGACAAAGTTGCGGACGTCGTGGCCAGGCTCGAGGTTCATACATTCTTCTGCATTTTGCTCTGTAGATAAACTACTGTAATAATAGTATATGTAATTTGCTTTTTGCTCTGCTTTTTGTGAAATTTGTGAGGTTCTTGAAAATTGTAGAAGCGATCGTTAATATATGTTTTGGGTAACAGGATAAGGCGGGGATCCCTCGCGGTAACTTACGGCTGCTTCTTTCCGGCAAAGCATTGAGCAAGGACTCCACTATTGAGGAGTGCCGCATTGATTCCAAATCTGTTCTTAGTATGTTTGTGATTTTCAGAGTAAAAGTGGGCCCTGCGACTGGATTTAATTTCTTTCTAGGTGATGTTATTGATCCTGGTCAACCGATCAGCACATTGAAGGTTAATTTTGCATTTCATTCGTTGAAAAAGTTCAACGAAAAAGGAGTTGGTAAAGAGTTTCGTCTGCAAAACCTTAGGTTGGTTTATTAACTCTTGCTACATTTCATTCGTGATGTTGTCTTGTTGTGTGAAATTTGATTAGGTCAAATCTTGACTGTTTTGGTTTATTAACTCTTGCTACATTTCATTCGTCACTGTCGTCTTGTTGTATGAAAATTTGATTAGGTCAAATCTTGACTGTTATCTTGTTTCGCATATTGTGTGAAAATTTGATTAGGTCAAATCTTGACTGTTATCTTGTTTCGCATATTGTGTGTTTTGTTGCAGGTTTCTTTGTAATCGTATAGTAATTGAGGACCATCATTCGGTTGAAGAATGCAACCTTGATTCAGAATCTTACGTTGTGTTTGAAGAAATTTCTACTCCAGCACCTGAAGAACCTGTGCCTGCACTTGAACTACCTCCTGAAAATGGAGGATTTCCTTTAGGTGAGATTATTATCATTTTAAGTTTATCCTCATTTAGTGTTTGCTGTTTTTTGCACAATTATGCTTATTTGAAATATTGGAATATCAGCTTTTTTCAAGTTGGTTAAGAATATTTTCAAGACGTACAAGACTCTGTTAAGGAAGCCCTTGACTATGTACAAGGGTATGATGCCCGTTCCCTGAAGTCTCTGAAAGCTGAGCTAGCCGCAGTAGTGAAGGATGAGAAGCATGCATCCAGGGAACTGAATCTATTGGCTGAATCTATAGACTTTCTCCTGCGGCAAATGGTGAGAAGGATATCAATGACAGCCTATAGTGCCTATAGTCGGGTAAAAGAGTTGGATTTGGTGTGCTGCTTTGATAAGGATGAGTGCCTCGAACGATTGCTTGACTCCTTTTCTGAGTACCTCCATCAATTTCTCGTGGATTTTGGTGTTACTGCCCGGCTGTCTATTCTGTATTTGAATCGACTGGTAGCTGACATTCTGAGAATGCTGCCTGAAAAATCAAAAAAAGTTAGCTCTAGCAGAAAGAAAAAGACCAGTAATTTTGGCAAAAACAAAAAGACCAGTGATTCTGTCGAAGATGAAGAAAGGATCAGTCTTGCTGGCATGAAGGGGTATGCAGAAAGGTTTGTCTGTACGGTGTCCCATGTACAGGAGCAACTTCTCACATATCTAGAGAGTTATATAGACTTCGTCTCCTATGAGCTGAGAAGTGAGGTAGAAACTTTGTTTGGCAGTTACCTTCAGACAAGTGAAGAGAAAGCAAGAATATCATCTGAACTGGAGTTGCAGATGAGAACAGATAAGTCAGCTCTTTTCGATATTCTGCTAAAATTCAACACAAACCGATTAGATCTCCAGGATGCTGTGCTGGGTGAATGTACCAACCTCACACAAACCCTTACGGATAAACACAAGGCCTTGATCATAAAGATAGATGATCTATCTTCGATCAAGGACTGTTTTGACAGTGTGTGTCGGAGAAACTCTGAGCTAGAGAAAAAAAATCCTCTCGAAGCTCAGCTTCTAATCGGCACTCTCGAGGAACGAGGCTTGACACTGTGGAAGATAACAAAGAATTGTGTGGAGAAAGGGAAGGATTTGGAGGGAAAGCTTGAAGAGGTTAAAGTAGTAGTCGCAGAACAACATGATGATGATCCTGAATTGTCTCGCGCTATCGAGAAGGCGGAAAACTCATCGACAAGCCTCATTGCAACCATCAGTCGGCTATATGAATACCAGAAGGAATACCAAAAGCCAAATCAAAAGAAGCGCCTGTGGATCCGCCACTGAATCCATCAGATGAAAAGGCAAATGTAGGGAGTTTGGAAAAAAAAAAAAAGGCAGATGTAGAGTAGATTCCCAGGTAGTAGGTTTTGGAGTTGAGGCCGATTTGCTTTTGATGAAATGCACTTTTGAATGCTAGTCTAGTCAGTCTTGTGTTGTTGCCTGCTTGAAAATTGGCAAATTTTGAAAGTGCGGTATGATAGTATATATCCATGTTAGCCTATGATTACTCTATATATAGTCTTCTTCAATTCCCGAGGATGATGAAACTGCAGGATAACTTGTATGGTAGTCGAGGAGAATCAGAATCTATAGTAAATCTTTTGATAGGTTCAGCGGAGAATGAACCTTACTAAATCTCATGGATGGGTTGGAGGTTCACTATGATCAATCAAATCTTGGCTTTCTGCTAAGCCGGGAACTCTCTTCAAAGAGGATAACCGTTTGGGGTAAGTTTTTCAAGGTAACGAAATTGCCTATACATTCAATGGCAGAAATAAAGTGAGGCCGCAGGATGAACCTATTGATACGAAGAAGAAAATCCGAAATAAGGACCGATAAGATTGAAAATGTGGCTGAATATTAAATTATACTTCACACGTCTATGTATAGACTGATACATTGGTAACCACAGTTTCATGATAACTAGTGATTAAAAAAGCTATTCTATCTTCAGCTAATAAAATTAATCAACAGCAACTGCTGATAAGTGAAGTAACCGGATTGGATTAGGTCACTCTAGCTTCTAGGAGTCCTAAGCACCAACCATATTTACACCCCATAATACTCTCAATCGTGTGTGGGGAGGGACTACTTGTCCCTCCACATGCACAGTGTGATGCCTCTTGTGGAGGAACTTGTAGATTAGTAGAACTCGATAAAGGTTACGAGATTAGTAATGCAGGAATAAAACTCTATAACGACCTTTGTCTATAATCAAAAAACCAATTAGACTTAATTTTATATAATTTATTATTACCAATAGATAAGTTATATATATATACTGCAAATGATTGGAATGATTGGATTTAATACTGTATATGCTTTTGCTTTAACAAAAAATTAGATGCTTGTCCGGAATGCCCGGGGGCGTCCCACCTAATAAATTGATATATAAATAATCAAAGCTGATTAGGAATGAATTTAGTTTTTGATGAAAATAATTGATTGATCGAAAATTAATTTTTTCAAAAGTCCTAAATAAATGGAGAAGGAAAATTCTATACACTGTCAAATTCAAAATTTGAATGAACATGGCCATCTGATCTCTTTGTTAATATTGTAAATATATTTTTTATTTTTAAAAGGATGTAACACGTGGCAGAATGATTTATGCAATATGGTACATTTGGAGCCAAAACATTTTAATAAAAAATTACCACATCAGCATTCTGTTTTCTGCTTTAATAGGGTCGATAAATTGTTTCTTGAAAATAATAAAATAAAATATTTATAAAGAAAAAAAGTTCAGGAACAACGGCATAGAGGAAGAGAGTTGTATTTTTACCGTTTTTCATTGGCGTGCAGACTTTGTGGTGAATTATGGCTAATATCAAGCTACAACCATGAACTGCAGCCCAAAATCATCATCTATATGTTCTGAACAAGTAGCATATATCTAGCATTAATTAATTGTACAATTTCATCAAATCTCAGCCGTCGTCAAAGAGAAGTTGATTATTCATTGCAACATTAATGGAACTTCTCCTCATCAAAGTTGTCACGTGTAATGCACACCTCCTCCATAAAATATTGGCACTCAAAAATTTGGGCGGTACCGGCCAAAAAAACACGAACCAAAGATATACACAGAAGTGGAAGAAATTACACTGTGGTTTGGGCATAATCACCTCAATGCAGAAGCAATTTTATTTGGTAAGGCAACAAATAAATTGCAAAACCAGAGAGGAATCTTATTACAGTTCTGAGTGATAGATAGATACCAAAGCGGAAGCGGCAGGATAAAATTTTTGCTGAGGTTTTTTTTTCTTCTTCAGCGAAAGATGTAAAAGAATAAGGGTCATATGTCAAAGCATAAATATTTGTTATTTTAACATTTTCAAAAATAATTTATTTGTCCCTAATCCAAATTGGCAAATTATGTAAAAGTTGTACCCTTTTTTATTAACTTACATTTTTCTACTACCCCTGAAGGCCTTAATTCAAACCCCTTCTTTTTTCTTTTTTCTTTCCAGAAATGCTAATAGTCTCCCAATGATAAATCTGTCACAAATTGGATGACACAATCATCCAACCAACCCGTCACTTTTCCCCCAAAAGAACAAAAAATAATTACACTAAAAAAATTAACAAAATGTCAGCAATCGGTTACTGTATCACCCATTTCTTCAATAATAATTTAATCATGCGCGGTTTAAGCCATCGACTCAAATAAAAAAAAAAAAAAATACAGAAAAGAGAAGAAGAAAAGGAAGTGATTCAACCATCTTCATCATCTCCGTCGAATTTGATCGGAAAATCTCTGACCGAAGTTCGATATGGCTATGGCCTACGCTATCGTCACTCCTGCTTCCTACGCTCCGGTGCGATCGAAGTTCACCGGTTATGATTCTGGTTGCTTCCTCACTCCTCAGTTCACTCTCTCCTTGCCGGCCTCCAAAGTCCGCGGTTTACTTTACTCGGGAATCAACACTTTTTCCAGCTCTAAGTGAGTATACTGTTATTACAGCTTAGCTCGCTGTTGTTTTTCTTCATCTTTTCTTTTGTCATTAATTGGAGCAGCAGTTTATGGTGATTTTCACGAGTCATCGATTTGTGGCATTTTCGTGTGTTTGATATGAACTCAAAGAGTGTTTGATTTAACAACTTACGTATTGATTTAAACTTTTGCTCATTTTCTGTGTAGGTATATTTGTTGTACTTCAATCGATGGCGCTGAATCCTTGACTTCAACTTCGGTTAGTCGTCACATCTCTTTCTAAGATAATTTCACTTTTGTGTTTTATGTGGAAGTTGGTTAGCAAGGTCGGCTATATTGGATCACATGTCACCATCTTGGTCAACACTAGTGTCTTCATTTAAGTTTGCCAAGTACTATGACAAAAAGATAGATTCTCTGAGAATATAGAGATAGTTGATTAATCTGAGAAATTTCTTTGTGAGGTGTTCAATAATCTGTACATTAGTTTAGTGTTACATGACTACCACGAGTTGTTGAAGCTGTGTTGTTGCAAAACCATCTGTGTATTTATGATGGATTTTGTTTCATGCTTCCTGATCAGATGGATGTTGTTCCCACCCCGATTGTTATGATAGATCAAGATTCTGACACTGACGCCACCATTGTGCAAGTTAGCTTTGGTGATCGTTTGGGTGCTCTCATTGACACGGTAAAATTTTCTATATTTTATCTGTATGTTACAACTCATGGAAATTGAGTGACGCTTCTCGGTGTTCTGGAGCAGATGAAATCTCTGAAAGATCTTGGTCTTGATGTGGTGAAAGGGACTGTGAACACAGAAGGAGCAGTGACTCAGACGAAATTTTTCATTACTCTATTGTAAGCAACTATATGACTTTTGACTACTAGGAATTTCTTCATTCCTTTTATACTTATGATGAATTTGTTCATTTTGCATGTTGTGAAAATAGACATTAAAAGTTTATCTTCTGGTCTTGCTCACTCGTGCACCATAAGAATATTGAAGAAGACTCGACAGCTGTATCTGAATCAAGAAACTTGGCATGTGGCACGGAACAATGGATGACATGATGATCTTTACGCTGACTTTTTGTTGTTTTTTAGTTTTAATTCTGCATCACCAACTTCTTAGAAAAACCTAATTTAGCGCAGAACAGGCTCTTTCTTGATGAGTTTTCTCCTTCCTGATAAATGAACCATAACAGAGAAAATGTAAAATGAAAAATGAAAAGGCAGGAAGAGGGTATGTTTGGGATTTTCCATAGTGGAGAAGTGTTTAAAAAGAGTGCTCCTAATAGGTATTAAGTTTCAATTAATGGGGTGTAGTTCCGGAATGAGGATTTTCTTGTTTGCTAGCTTCTCTGGAAATCAAGCAATGTAGCCATTTATATGTCACAAGTATGCTTGCTTGACATTTTAATAAGACCGTTTCCAAGTTTTTTCAACAATTATTTTTTGATGCTTGCTTGCCAAGATTGCAGTGAAAGAGTGTTTCTGCCCTTTGTTCTCTGCATAAATCTTGACATCAACATATCTTTGACATAGGGCAAGTGGAAGGAAAGTTGAAGATCCGGATCTTTTGGAGAGAATTCGCCTTACTATTATCAACAACTTACTAAAGTATCATCCAGTATGTATATTAAAATGCGTCGTCTTGGCATGCTTGTTCATTTTGTCTCTGTTTTTCTTTTTCACAATGATTATGTGCTGGTTGATTAATGGCATACACTGTCAATGCTATAACTAATTTTGACTTGTGCTAAGTAGGAGTCTAGTGAACGTCTTGCCATGGGTGAGGCCTTTGGAATAAAAGCACCTGCGAAGAAGGTGATTATCTCTATATTGTAGCGTAAAATGCATACATATCTCCATTTTCATTTATTGCATCTTTTCAAATTGGCTTCCAACTGGTTGAAATCTCCTTGCACCCTGCATTCTGCGTATCTCTGTTGTTTTTATAGTATGGTTTGCCGATACATTGTGCTATAAGGATGGAATCGATTTTCAAAAGAACTTGTTTATTGGTTAGTCACCTAACTGATAGTCGTTTTATAAACAAAAACTCAAATGATGTTGTCATGGTATTTTGCAAGGGAGCAAGTAGGAAAATAACTGCTAAATAAAGGCAGTAAGTACGCATTTCTTACTCAGTTGGATATGTCTGTAAATGTCTAGCAATGAATCTTATGAAAGTATAGCAATTTGGGTGGGGACTCTCATTTGTATTCTTTCTCAGGGTTGGTTAATCATTTCTAGGTGATTCCAAATCTTGTTTCTAGGACTGCTTAGTGTGTGTCTTCTAGTTATTAGCACGCGAAATCCTAACTTTTTATTTTGCAAATGGCAGTTGGATGTAGACATTGCAACTCATGTCCATGTCAAGGATGATGGTCCGTCAAGGAGGTATGCATTTAGCGGTATTAGTTTTAAGTATGCCTGCATACAAGTTTGTTGGCTTTCGTTTTGGACTTGTTGCTATGATAAAGTTGATAGAAAAGAAACCAGCAGTTTGAAAAACCAATCTTGTTCCCTTTCATTTGGAAACTGTTGAATTTCACTTGAATGTACCAATTAATCCTGTTGCTTATACCTTTTGGTTCCAGCTTACTGTACATAGAAACTGCTGATCGGCCTGGGTTGCTGCTAGAAGTGATCAAGATTATAGCTGACATCAATATTGACGTTGAATCGGCTGAAATTGATACAGAAGTATGGTCTTTTCTCTCTTAATGTGTGAGCGAACACGTAGTGCACTTCATTTCTGCTCAACTAATGCTCATTTGTGTCCAGGGTTTGGTAGCGAAAGACAAATTTCATGTCAGTTATGGAGGGGAAGCACTGAAGAGTTCCATGTCTCAGGTATTCCTTTGTCTCCGGACCATTCAACCTTTCTCCATATGGTGTGAGTTGTGTGTGGGGCTTTAAGAAAGAGGAACTTACATAGTAGTTGTATGTCCATAAACACTCATGGTGGCGCTCCACTTTTGCTGAATGTTAATGTTCTATTGTGTTTGCTTAATGAGTAGATCAAGAAATTTGGTATAACTTTTGGCCAAGTAACATATCTTTTTGCTGTTTTCCTATGAAAAAAGCTCAATGCGATAAAGGGGTTTTTGATAGGGAAAATCGAGATTGTAACAATTTCATTTGTGTGGCAGGAGTGAAGTTTTCTAGTCTTCATGCTTTTAGCTATTTATGAAATTATTGGTCCAGCCAAATTGCTTACTTCTCAATTTACGATTTGAACCATGCAGGTCCTGGTTAATTGTTTGAGGTACTACCTCAGGAGGCCAGAGACTGACGAGGACAGCTATTAGCAATTTAGCAGTGTCATTTGTACCAAACCATTTATTCCAGATCAATCTCTCCACCTGTGTCTGGATGATATTAAGCCCATATATTTTCTTCCCTATTTTTGTGATATATTGGTAACTGAAGCCATTAAGACTATTACTATTCCCTTGTCCTCATCAAGGATAATAGTCTAATTTGGCATTAAAGCACGTTGCATAACCATGTACAAGACACTTTTTAGTCAAAACATGCTTTTAATCATAAGCTATTAAACTAGAATGCATCATATTACATCTCTTTGCTTCATTATGTGCCATTTCTATGAATTGCCAACTTTAACAATATCACATTGCTTGAACAAATACATGAAACTGGTAGTATTATTATGCCTACTATCTCGATTAGAACTTGTTCCGGGGTTTTTATGTATTGAACCAAATTGCTGGAGCCAGAATCTTTGCTAGTTAGGTGACTCCTTGCTGGATTGCTAGGACTATTGTTTCAAGGCAAGTTTTAGCGATAAGATAAGTAGATTGGATGATTGGTAATTTGCATTGTATTTCCATGTGCTAGCAATGAGTTTAGTTAAGCTTCATAAAAATGAAATTGAGTGCAGTCGGCCATTCTTCTTGTTGAGTTGTCAGGCGTTGTCGCTTGAGATAGAGTTTTCTTCATCGTTTTGGTTCTTTTTACTCCCAAGTGATACTCAATCATTGCTTCCTGTACATTCTCGTATTGCTTGGAAAATCTTTTCTACCAATCTGCAGTTTGCTCTGCACAGTTTCTACTTTTAACAAGATGATGCAACAAAATCCGTCCAACCCGAATTTTGGATTCCATTCTTTTGCTTAATTCCTTAGTAAATCAGTACACAAAGGGAGCCGTCACAAACCCAACAGCCTTTGTTATGATTTCTCAAATGATTTAAATTCATTAATTAATTGAATGAGATTTTACTGATTGTGTATAGAAGATACTAATGGAAATTGACTGATGATCAACATTTGAGGAAGCCATGTCCTTCACATGATGATTGATATTACAACAGCGACTTCGTCAAACTAAAGCTTCTAGCAGAGACGTACTAGTAAACGATCATCTCTCCATCAACGACCAAAATTTTCAAGCATCCGTTTTGGACACGAGCTCGAGTTTTATTCATCAAGGGATGTGTTCTTCCTTTAATGCCTGAAGTGCCTTACATTTGTAAAAACAAGTGACACTCCATACTTATCACAACAGTCAATAGCATCACCATCTCTCTTGGCTCCACCAGGCTCAGCAATTATGCTTACCCCGCTTTGACATGCTTCTTCCACAGTATCGTTCCAAGCTGTTTACGAAGTAAGAAGATTTCTTAGGAGAAGGACAAATATGTAGGAAGCCTTACTCTCTGCCTTGCCTAAAAAATTTAAACTTTTAACTGTTGCTCAAGGTGAGAGTAAGAAATGCTCACCAAATGGAAAGAACGCATCACTGGCTAAGGCAGCGCCTTTGACTTCATCCCCAGCCTTTTTCATTGCAATCCTCAAACTCTCCAAACGGTTTGGCTGGCCACTTCCCATGCCTAACATGCAATTGTTCTGACAATGGAAGTTGTACAGTTAGAACATTACTTTCCGATACTCATTGTGACAAATAAAAGATCACTAACCTTAGCAATAACGATAGCGTTGCTCTTGACATGCTTCACACAGAGCCAGGCAAACTTTGCATCAGAAAGCTCGCTTTCTTCTGGAGTCTTCTTCGAGACTGATTTAAATTCAAGATCTTCAGGAACTATATCATCTGAATCTTGAGCTAACCAACCTCCACCAACTTGCCTAAGTGAAAGTTTTCCTTTGTTGTTCTTAGAGGCCTCAAGTATTCTCAGATCCTTAGATTTCCCACGTAGAACCTCAAGCCCCTTTTTGGTATATTTGGGTGCCACGACAATCTCATAAAACATTCGAGTTTGATTGTCAGTGGGGCTTCTAAATTCTCGAATGTCCCTAGCCAACACCTATGGAGAAAATTTGAGAATTGTATCAATTAATTATGGTTTGATCACAGTAAAATTATGGTTTGATCACAGTAAGAACATCAAACTCATATATGTCTACCTCCCATTTTTTGTAGGACACGGCCACTTGGGCACATTGCCATGAACTAATCAGAAGTCCACAAAACTGGGGACAGAAAAAAACTAAATGTAGAAAGAGAAGAATATAATAACATTCAATAATGTCATCCGAAGTTACCTCATCAACTTCAACATTGAAGGCCACTATACCACCAAAAGCACTAACTGGGTCTGCTTTCACCGCCAGTCTATATGCTTCAACAATATCATCACGCGAAGCAACCCCGCAAGGATTCGTGTGTTTAACAACCACGCAAGTGGGTTTACTAAACTCAGTAACACAATTCCATGCTGCATCTGCATCTAAATAATTATTGTATGACATCTCCTGCACCAAAATGTACAACTGATATTTAGTCAAATGCTAAGGTGCATTGTTAAGCAACCTCTCCCCCCGCCCCCAATAAGTCAATATGCTAAGCAGAACAATAAATACAAACTGAATTGTCATAGTCGAGAAGAAGAATGAATGATGCAAGCAAATATTCCAAGTGCCCAATAGTAAACATTTCCCTGGGTGTATGACGAAGGTCATAAATTTCAAAGATCAAAGTTATTAGATTACAATATCCATTTCTTGCCACCTGAACTGTGACTTGTAGTCCGCAAGAACTACCATCCCTGGATGTCATTTGCAGAGGCATTATGCACACATGGAATATTGTAAATCTGCTCAACTATATTTTTTGTTTCGGCCTGGAGAAGAAAACTTGTACAACGTATATAATAGAAGAAGGAAGCATTCCATACTTCAAAATTTGATTTTTAAAAATCCCGAAGCACAAATCTAAAACATGTCAACATATACCTCCAAAGCGGAGTAGTGGTTTTAAAATCAAAGGTAGTAGTTACACTGCATCAACAGCACAAACCAATATGATATACTGCTTACGATCAAGAGACCTAAAATCAAGAACAATCATCATGTATGGAAAACAGTGGTCTTACCTTTCCGTGATGTTGAATAGCTGTTGCTATCCCCCCAGCATTAACCTCAGACAGAGATTTATCGACATAAAATGCAGCTTTTTGGTGAGGGTTTTCACCATAGCGGAGTGCACTTTTCAGTGAAAGAGAAACTGTCATACTGGGAGGAAATTTATCTTCAAATGCACAAGAGAACATGGTAATCAGTGCGAAGGAATAGCTAATAGCACACATTACAAAAGCTAACCTCAGCTGTCAAAGCTTCAATTTAATGCATGGTTCCATGTATTTGAGTAATTCCCTACAAAACTAAGTGGACCGAAGTTTTTACCTTCTGTTGTTTGCTTCCATAACCACTCCGAGACAGCAGTGTCATAAGAAGCTACATGTTGAAAAGCCTTCTGAGCCAGCTTTCTCCTAAAATGTTGGTTGTCTTGCTTACCGCGAAGAGATTCTAGAAGTTCAGGGTAATCTTTTGGATCAACTACCACCATAACATCCTTGTGATTCTGAGAACAGTAACAAACATAGTCATGTTGGAGTAAAGCAAACAAGGACGCAAATTGCAGAAAGAGCTTGTACAAATAATAGAGAACTACATATAAGGATTGATACAACCTAAACATTTTAAATATGAGATATTATTCTATGATTTTTTATATTATTAACCAACAATATGGCTCCCATTCTTGGGGGAAAATAGACTGAGAAGGCAGCCTGTGTGACCAAGAATCAACCCCATAATTATGTATTTCTACCTTTTTCCCCACTGCTTGCTGCAGAATGAGTTGGTGCTAGTTTAAATGCACTGACAATGTCTTAAGCATTTGATACCACGTACACTAGCTTCCAACCAGTTGAGATTTTAGAAAAAACTTTACTAAAGTAGCACTTTTTAAAGACCTTCAGGGGTGTTTAAGATATGCCAACCTCAAAAGAATGAGGTTTTGAATTCTTAAACACCTACACTGTAACAAAACTAGAACGAGAAAAATAAATCACCTTTGCAGCAGCTCTAATCATGGCAGGGCCACCAATATCAATATTCTCGATTGCATCCTCAAATGATATTCCACTTGAAGAGGAAACTTTTTCATAGAAGGGATATAAATTTACCACCACAACATCAATAGTGCCTGCAAAAGCAACTGCTTTAGATATATCTGAAGTGTGTAAAACCAGTCAGATCACCAAAAAACAAAACAATTGCATAAACTTTTACAGTAAACATGCTCAAAAAGATCATTTTCTTTGTTAAACTGCAGGTGAAAACAAGTCATACAGTGACAATATGCCTCGCACTGGAAGCTCTTATACCGAGCGGTTACAGCAATATTTCAGCAACGAAAACTAATACTCCATCAAAAGGTAGGGCTTAACAAGAATATGAAAAGTTTGCTAGACATGCTTCAATCAGTTCTAAGTGAAATTTCAGCAAACAAATCAACCTGGCCCGGAATATTTTTCCACTCATATGCCTTAAAGCCAGTCATCCAGATTTGAAAAATATGGTCCAACAGTCACTGAGAATTAGTTCAATTAATTAAACAGGTCAGGACTAACCCTTAAGTTCAGTACATCAATAATAAAAAAATTAAATAAATAAAATAAAATAAAATCTTAAAAAAAAAGATAATTTTTTGAAATTCCTCTCAGAAAATCTGACAATTATCATGAGACTCAACATAAGGAAGATAACAACCCAGATGAGGGGAAACAACAAATCAAATTGTTCTGAAGTAGCTATAATGCAAACATTCAAACGCACCAATTTTGTGTTTGTCAAGAGCTTCCATGTGATGCTCAAGATCTCTCCTTGCAAGAATACCCCCATGTATGTTTGGATGTAGAGTTTTAACACGACCATCAAGCTGCAGAAGAGTAGAAAGAATCAAGAAAGATAATTAGTAAAACAACTTCAGCAATCCAAGGACGAAAACAATGAGGCTCACCATCTCAGGAAAACCCGTAAGATCTTCCACTTTAGATACAGGCACTCCTTCATTCGCCAAAGAAGATGCCGTTCCTCCAGTTGAAACAATTGTGTATCTAGGATAAAAGAAAAAATTAGCATGAGTGTCTTCCTAATAATTAGAGGCATCAGTTTCCATACTGAGTTCCATAAAGCTAAATATGAACGAGTGGAACACTTGAAGAGCCTTGGCATATACTAACCACTGTAGATAACTGAAGATAGAAGTTAAAAGTTCGGTCCAATTACCCCAATTCCTGAAGTCCGCTGCCAAGGATAGCCAAGTCCCTCTTATCCGACAGTGAAATCAATGCATATTTCCTCCCTAAGATTGAAGGATTAAGAGATTACAATTTCAGAATAGGTCCTTAAATCACATGAAGAAAAACTACTCAGGTATCAAATTAGATTAAAATCAAAACTGCCAGCTTCATTTCATCTCAAGCAATTAAGGTTATTTAAATTATATAAGTAATGCTAGAAAGAAAATGAAAATTTTCATCACTCGCTCAAGTATAAAGGTCAAAATAACACCTTCAAGACAAAAATTAAGAGAAAAGTAAGTTAATCTTCAAACCCTCCAAAAATGTCATAAGACTTAAAAGCAAACTAAAATCGAAAAAGAGAACAAACCTTGTGTTGTTGATGTTTCATCGACAGAAGTAGTAGTTAATGGCGTGGTAGCAGCTCCAGCTTCAGCCATGGCCTTAATCGGGTGGCACTTCAACCCAGACGAATTTTTTGCCAGAAACTGAACCCACAAAAGAAAAACATAGAATTGAGAGCTCTTTATATTAAAAGTAAAGCATCAGGGGGAATGGAAGGAAAACAAGCAACTCTAAAGTGGTTTTGTGTTCAATGTATTTACACCTGTAGGTTGGGAGTTGAGGTAGTTTCAATTGAAGGAGTGAAGGATGACGGAAAAGCAGCGGCGGCGCGTGGCGGGCGAAGAGGAGGGAGCACGGCGGATAAGGTGGCGGCTTGGGAAGAGGCCGCTGCACTAAACCTCAGCATTTCTTGACAGACCAAAAAAAATCCCGCAATTTTGAAAGGTTTTCTGCTGTAGAGAGTGTATGACACGTAAAAGATCGGACCAAGTTCTTTTAAGAAAACAGAGTTTGTGTTAGAACTTGGAACTGTTTATCGTGGTACTAGGTAGCAGCTCGAAAAAAAAAAAAAATTACTGATTAAACCAACACTTTTACTTACTATTGTGACTGGTTTTGGAGTGAATTTACGTCGTTTTGAACTACAAGATTTTGTTTGAAAACAATACTAATACTTCGTGATTAATTTTTAGTTTATTGTGGCTTAATATGGTTCGGTATTAATTTTCTTATCATTTGTAATAAATAATGAAATAATTTGATTTAGTAATAATTATCATTTCTAATCATAACGATAATATTGACTTAATAAAAAAATTATGAATAGTATATTTAAACACAAGAGTAAAGTGTCCTATAACTTATTTCGTGTGTTTTTTTTTTATTTTTATAGTACTACTAGTTTATAGGGTGCTGCAACTATTAGAAATATCTCCAAATTAATGAACCAATTGTGAATCCCAATTTGCCATTAGTGTGTCACGGAAAGGAAAGAACATGTTTGGTCCTTTATTCCAATTATATGTTCTTTTTATTAAAATTTTGGTTGGTGCAAAAGAAATGAATGTATTAACATGGCTGTTAAACCAAACATCCACCAAAAGGCAGTTTCCACGTATATTATTTCACTATGATTTGAGAAACGTTGGTAATGGATACCAAAATGCTCCTCCGGCGACTGGATTGGACTTAGGGTGCGGAACGGTAAGAAAGCATTTATCCGATTATATACATATGTTTGAAAGTAATAAATGGAGTAATACTAAGGAGACATTAACAAAACACCAAAGAGTAGACTAAACTGGTTTCTAATTCTATGCAAAATTTCGTAAAATGCACTAAACACTGTCGGTTAAAGTCTGCCATTAGCTAGCCTTTTGAAAATTCGATCCTAACTACTTTATGGTATGTTTGTTTCATTTTTTTAGTGTGTATTTTTAGATACTTTTTGTATTGAAAATATAAAAAAATGTATTAAAAATATAAAAAGATATACTGAAATGAGACAGTTATTATTAAAATAATCTAAAAAACTATCCAAATAACCAAACAAACTGAGCCTTAAAAATCTCTAATACACATGGAAATTTGGAAACAAATAGTACTAAAACAAACGATGGTCCTTGCAACTTGCAAGTTGCAACCCTTGTAAAAAAAAAAAAAAAACCCACCACATTGCTAGTAGTAGTAGGGTTTTCATCGGTGGAGGTCAAGACTCATGAGACTGGTTTTCCTTTTTAACGTTTCTTTTCTAATCTCTACGTCTGTTTACTTGGTTTTTTATGGTTTTTTCAGATTATTTTAATAATAACTATCCCATCTTGCCATAAATTTTTATATTTTCTATACATTTTTTGACATTTTTAATACAAAAAATATCTAAAAATACACACTAAAAAAACAAAACAAACATGCCCTCTTTTTTTTTTTGTACACAGAGAGAGGTTAGTAGCCTAGTTACAAGCTATTGTTTTTGGCTTTTATCATGCGGGTAAAAAAAAATAATGAAGAAAGGTAAACACATAATCGTACATCCATGTTTGACCCGTATTCATTGTGTATGACAGTATAAACAAAACATTTGAAAAATCTATCAAAGAAGAATAATTCAATATTTTAGACTATGCTTGTGGATGCAGCCAATGTCTGACCCCAACTAATCTTCTGTATCTTTGTTCCCAAGCCAACTGCTCCATATGATGAAAGCCGACGATTTTTCTCAATGTGGACAGTATACAATTTGGAGGATTTCAGGATCAGGAATTTTTTTTTCTAGCATTTTAGTTAGAAACAGAGCCAAACAGAGCACATTGTAATTTAGCTCTATTATTGATTGTTTCTGAAATTCTGAAACCCATAAAAATCCAGCCTTTTTTTTTGTTTTGCCATTTCAATCCATTGAGAAAGACTCCATCATTCATTCATCAAAACATGGTTTCCTCCAAAGTTGTGAGAGTGTTCTTGGCTATTTTACTTCACAACTATGCTGTTTCATCTTCTGATCCTGATCCAATCTCTGATTTTTGCATCCCAAAAACAAACGTTTCATTAGATCATGTCCCTTCTTGTAAGAACGCATCATTAGTCACTGTTGAAGATTTTGTGTTTTCCGGCATCAAAAGCCCTGGAAATTTCAGGAAAACTGGTTTCTCATCCACTCCAGTTAACTCAGGTGTCTTTCCTGGATTAAACACACTTGGGATGTCCTTTGTCCGGGCTGATTTCGACGTCGGCGGCGTTAACATCCCGCATTATCATCCAAGGGCAACTGAGACTGCTTTTGTGGTAGAGGGGAAGATATATTCTGGCTTTGTTGATACACAGAACAGGATCTTTGCAAAAGTGATTGAGAAAGGTGAAGTGATGGTTTTTCCAAGGGGTCTAATGCATTTCCAGATGAATGTTGGGGATTCACCGGCTACCATAATTGGGAGTTTTAACAGTCAGAATCCAGGTTTGGTTAGGATCCCTTTTGCTGTATTTGGTTCTGGAATTAAAGAAGAGCTTTTGATGAAAGCTTTTGGTTTGAATTCCAAGGAGCTTGATAAATTGAGGAAGCGCTTTGAAAGTAACTGAGACAGACTCTTGCTTACACCAATCATGCTGTACCTGATTTTGCTTCTTTTTTTTTTTTTTCGTAATATGTCCTCATTCATTACCTTAAGTTCTAGCAACATTCTGCAGTGTAACTTTTTTTTCTTAGCATAGGCATTGTATTAGTATTGCAAATAAAAATACGAATCATTTTGAAACGGAAACAATATTACAAAAGTCTTATTAATCATACTTCTGTATAAATTGCATGACAAACTAGTGAAGATCAACAATGAAAGAAAAAAATGGTACGTATTAGAGCTTTGGAATCAAAAGGTTGTATCAAGTTTCAAACCTTAACTACCTCAATCAACTTAGCTTTGTCAATGAAAAGCTAAAGAATAGATGCTCTTTCTAGAGAGATCCGAGGGACTAATTGTTTGATCTGATCACTAACTAGTGATTATTTTTTATGTGTTGGAAGTGGGTCGTCTTTTAACATGCTTTGACAATGTAGGAATTAACAAAGAGAAAGATCATCATTCCAACCACTAAAGCGAAAGAGAAGAACAAAACTTGTAGTTGAAATGATGGATGCTTTTTTTGTCCCGGGAAGACACCATTATATTTATAAACAAATTGCATGTGGAAGCAATTGCATTTATGTTGCTTCTATGGTCCCCTTACATTCATCATTTTGTTTTTTGCAATTGTAACAAAGGAATGAATGTTTTGGAAGCTATCAACAATCATTGCGTAGCGTCACAATGAACAAAATTAACAAAACGGCGAGATTCAAATAACATTTTTTCGTCCTTTTTATGAGATGAACTTAATACATGTTTAAAGATCGCAACTTTGGTTGCGGTTTTTTTTTTGTCACTCACCGAACAAAGTGATCAGTATAATCTTTTTTTTTCCTTATTGAGACACAAAATTATCGCATCCATAACTACCCATCCATAACTTTAGTAAACGATATAAATAATGCACCATTTATAACAATCCAAATAGCAAACACCAAGAAACGAGTTGGTTTCTTTCATTCATGACTTAAAACAAAAGCTCAAAGTACAACATTTAACATTTCATTCCAAGTATCAGGAACTCCAGGGAGGCACCAATGGCTACAGTCAGAGGTATACCCCTTTATAACATGCTGTTTCTGGTCTTGGCCAATGGTTTTTCCATAGACGGATGGATGACCGTCTTTTCGAAGCGCCGACAACGTCGTAATGTCCTGCAAATACACTGGATAGCTCATCTTTTTCAGAACCCCTCTTAAAACAACTAGTTGCTGAGGAACGTGCGGCCGACTGAAGTAACGCAGAGGATCTTTTTGGTTATAGCATTTCCATCCATTTTCCCTGCCAAAAAAGAAAAAAAACAAAAAACAGCATCATATTAAGTGACCCTTTGGAGCTTTTTCCTATCACTTTGATTGTACTACTTAAAACGTTCTTCTAGCTGATGATCAGTATACCTGTTATGCCTTGGAGACATGCTCCTGAAAAACACTCGGGTTCGTCGTGGATCGATGTTTAAGTCGATCCATTTAGCCCAAGTAGTTAGAGCTTTCTGGTACGCAACCATTGGATTCATAGTTGTGTAAACACTGCTTCCCTCCATAATGTAGTCCCACCTGAAACACACAATTGGTTCATATTGTTGAGATGTGAAAAAATGGTGTAAAAAGAGACATATTGAAAAAGTAAGTGGATAAGAAATTTTGTTGTTGTTGTTATTACGAGCTCCATTTATCTGAATGAGTCCACCAGTGAGCTGAATCAAAAACCAGAACATCAACTCCTCTCCAGTATTTTGCGTTGTCTTCTATCAAATCTAAATGCAACAATCTCTTGCTTTCTGGCCCTTGCTTTAGTTCCACCAGAAATGGTGCCCAATTGAACTCGATCGATGTCTCAAAATCCTGTCAACAAACAGACTTTAGTCCTTAGAGAGCTTACTTATATAGCGAACATTAAGGTAAAAGGTTTACTCACCAAAGCTTGGAAAGCCATTGTAGGACCATGGTAAGTGACTGTTTTCCTGGCAGCAGGAATGACAGATTGGACTAAACAAACAAGAGACTCCCATTGATTCCTCATGATGGAATCACCCACCAGCATTATTCTCTTCCTTCTCATCCTTCCCAGAAACTCCAATGCATCAAACCTACATTTTGTTAACTTACATCAGTAATTAAATGAAGCAATTTTTGCATAACAAAGAGGAAATCATTTACCTTGGAATAGTACAACCATCTGGTTTCCACCTCCATTTTTCATAGTCAGAATCAGGGCGGCCATTCTTTTGGCATGCCACTGCATTGCTAAGGTACGGACAACTGGAATCATAGAGCGGATAAGTCTGGTCGTAAACCCATTTGCCAGAAGTCAAATCGCATTTCCTCAATGAAGAATGCCTGCTCTGAACCATGTTAACTTCATCATCGTTTTCGTCGAGCAAGGATAATTCTTCTTGTTCGTATCTAGAGCATTCAGCAGACACAAAACAGAGGACCCAGAAACAGAGGAACAGAGCAGAGACTGAAGAAGTGGTGATCTTTGGTTTAGCCATTGTGTAAGAAAAAAAAAATCACTGAAAATTGGTAAAACCAAATGAAGTGAAGGAAGCCTTAATTAAGGTGACTAAAAAGGTAAAAGGGTTCGTGCTATTGTTCCAATATTTCGCCATGACTAGCGGTAGGATGGGCCATTGTTTGCATATTGTACTACTTCTTTTTTTTACTCTACAGTAGTACTGTGATAATTAAAGCAGTTTGGTAATGGTAATAATGTCTCTTTGTTCGAGGCAAGAATTGTCTGTCCATGTTGGTTCAGTCGCTGGTATTCTACTATTACCGCAACTTTAGCCAAATTTGTCCACTATTAACTTCAGTAGTGCTACTATGCAAAAGCTGATATCTGAATTTACCAATTTAATGAACTTTTAATTTGTTGACCATGGAAAAGTTGAAGTTCATAATGGAAGGTTAGTACTTATGATGTTGTCAACTGATATTGCGCTAGCGAAGTGTCTGGCTTGCATTTTGAAGGCTAGAGACACTGTAAAACGCCTCATCTCCTTATATAGTCACGAAACAATCAAGTCGTATTTTATATTAATATTCTATGTTTTCTCTTTAGAGTTGCAACAAAAATTGATAAATTTCATAAGAGACATTAACACAAAACAGATATACACATGACCATAAGAATTTCGATTGATTCCATCTATGATTTTGGACATCAAATATTTAATGTACAAAGAAAAAAAAAGAACTTAAAATGACAATGAAGGTGTGTCTAGTATTACCGTTCAAACAGGTTAAAAGATTTACACTTAACTTGCAAAGAAAAGGTTAAGTCGGATACTTATTGAACTGGAATGATTAAAGATAACGAAGAAACAATGAGAGTTAAATGGTGGTCTTGTTTGAAAGTTATTTAAAGGAATTGGTTTGTTGGGTTGAAATATAATTTATGCAAATCGGATTTTGTGACGAATTATCTTGCATCTTGAATTACTCTTGGTTCTAAGCACTTATAATTATTAGGTTAGATGATCTATAATCAAAGATTAAATAGTAGTTAGCTTACGATTTTATTACTATTTCTTACCCACAAACTGTTTCAGTTTAATGTTATAGACTTTATCTCTTATCTAACTTATATTTTCTTCGTCCCAAAATTATTGTTCATCTTACATTTGGGGTTAGAGGGAGTACCAAAAAACGGTCAGACAGTTTTCGTGTTTGATATCAAATAGTCTGGCGAGTATTAAAGGTCTTCAAAAGAAAGATGTGGTAGACTATAGACCGCGAAAACATGTACTTAAACCTGAACCGAGCCGGTTTATTCCTTTTCCCTTAAACCCCAATAATCAAAGTAGAAGCCCTAATTCGGTGATTTCTTAAACCCATGTTCTTCTAAGCACAGAGTGTCTCAAAAGGTGATGGAGAGCAGACTGTTATCGGCTTTAAGAAAGAGCAAAAACATATTTGCTCAAATTTCTTCAAAATCGAGATGTTCTAAATCCGGGTTTTGCATTACCGATCATCCCTCTTCGTTGGTTCACTCCAAATCCTTCTCATCTTCAACGCAAGTTCCAGCTGCCCAAAACAGCATTTTCAGAAACTTGGGGAACTTGGGATCTAGAGCATTCCGTCATCATCAACTCAATCAAAAGGTTCTATTATATTTGTTTCTCTCTTTTTTTCAGCTTATTGTTGTTGCTTCATTTTTCTAGAAATGTTTATTGTAATTCCCCCTTTTGCCAAATTATCTTCATTTGTTAAAGATTGCACCTTTGTAGGTATTGCTGGCATAGTATCGCTAATTTGCTACGATTTTGGTCCTTCTTTTGTGTTAATTAATTGTAAAACCATTAGGAATTACTGAGGTTTTTAGCCTCCTTGATGGTACAACTAAACAAGGTGTTTGTTGTTTTCTATGGTACTATACATGAAGATCTTCCTGTCCTCTTTTATTGCGGCAGGTGTTTACCAAAATGCCCAGGTTCGAAATAGTATGCAGAATGATTTAGGACCCCGTTGTGTTGAGTTCTTTAGTTTTCAATGGTATTTTTTTTTTTCTTATTTTCTTTTAGCTTCTCGGTCAGGTGGTCCTGTTGATTGTAACCATAACCAGCATTTCTGCTTTTGTCAGGGGGTTTATAGAACTTCCCATAGGAGCTTTTCCACTGTGACAGTTGCTTCTGCTGAAAGCACTCAGGGACTCAAGCTCCTTGTAACTGCTGGGCCCAGAGCACAGAAATTGGTAGGAATATGGCTTTTTGGTTCTGCAGCTTGGGTCTTCAGCATGGTGGTGCTTGGGGGTATGACACGTTTAACCAGATCAGGACTATCAATGACAGACTGGAAATTCACCGGCTCTCTTCCTCCCCTATCAGACGAAGAATGGCTGGCTGAATTTGAGAAATATAAGCAGTCGCCTGAATATAAACGGTTTGTTCAAGTGTCCCTTCCCGCTTCAATATTTCCTGATAGCTGATCAATTAGTTTTCATGAGCCAGTTTTTGTATGAGTGGAAACTTTTGTAACTCCTTCAAGCAATTTTTGCAGTGATTATGCTGCTGATGATGTTTGCAAAGGTAGTTTATCAGTTGACCAATTTCAGTGATGTAATATGATCTTAATGGTTTCACAGTATAAACCGAGGGATGAGCATCGATGATTTCAAGTTCATATATTGGATGGAGTATGCACATCGTATGTGGGGAAGAGCTCTAGGTGTCATGTTTGCACTACCATTTTCGTACTTTCTCCGCAAGGGTTATATTACATTACAGCTTGGACTTAGACTCTCTGGATTATTTGCTCTTGGTGCTGGACAAGGACTTATAGGTTGGTGGATGGTTAAGAGTGGACTGGAGGTATAAAGCATGGTTATTTTCAATGAAACATTAGGAAAAAGATTTACATTTATTGAAATGGCCCTATTTGTTTTCCTTTGTAGGAGCCTGCATCTGAGTATTCTGAACCAAGAGTTAGCCCTTACCGCCTTGCAGCCCATCTTACTTCAGCATTTGTTATATACAGTGGCCTCTTCTGGACTGCTCTTTCTGTTGTTATGCCTGAACCCCCTGCCGAGTCACTTGCCTGGGTTAAAGGTTCTGCAAAGGTTAAGCAACTAGCCCTTCCTGTGAGCATTCTTGTTGGGATCACTGCTGTCTCAGGAGCATTTGTTGCAGGAAATGATGCTGTGTGTAACATTGCTTCTTACTTCTAAGCTTGCTTATTTTTGTGATTATGTAGAGGCTAAGATTGCTTTAGAGATGTATCTGTAGTAACCATTGGCTTCACTGAAAATCACCAGGGTCGTGCTTTTAACACTTTTCCTAAGATGGGTGATACATGGATTCCAGAAGATACTTTGAGCATGAAGCCTCTTTTCCGGAACTTCTTTGAGAATACGTCAACTGTGCAGGTAACACTTTTGTCATTACACTGCCATGTACAATTTGCCTGTTTTGTTGAAGGATAAATTAGCTAATATTAGTTTGCTAGCGTTGGTGAAATTCAAAAGCCAATCTGTATTAAGAAATATGTCTGCTGTTTCCGTTATTTTGTTCTCTTAATGGGTTTCCATTTGGTCACCAGCTTGATCATCGTATACTTGCCACTTCAACTTTGATTGCAATCGGGGGCCTATGGATGGCAACTAGGAAACTGGATTTACACCCCGGTGTGCGTTCAATAATCGGTACCACTGTAGGCATGGCTGCTCTTCAGGTGGGTTGTTCTGCTAGCCTGTTCACAATTTCCTTATGCTTCGACATGATTGTTTCAGCAGAACAAAGTCAATAACGCCATGTTGATCTGCAATTGCTTTGATCCTTTTTGCAGGTCACTCTTGGAATATCAACTCTTCTATCTTATGTACCCGTATCTCTCGGAACAGCTCATCAAGCTGGAGCTCTAATGCTTCTAAGTTTGATGCTTCTGCTCAACCATACTGTGCGCCGGCCTTCATTGTCACTTCTGAAGACTCTACCATCTGCAGTTAAATCGGTCGTATAGTTGTTTGCAAACATGCTTGAGATTCAGTTTACTTTAGCATTACAACAAGAAGATTTTTTCTCTGTGTGTGGTCGGCTACTTGAGCGCTTGAGACAAAGAAACATTTATCCTGTGGGTTTGCAGGTGCTACTAATGAGGACAAGCATGACTTGAGCAAATATTGACTGCATTTGTTGTATTGTGACAAACATGACTTCTATTTTGGCATGGAATTCCTAATGTGAATTAAGCCATCTCATTTTGATGTTTTCCCCCCCGCATTTTGAATGGAAGTAGAGGTGTATAGAGTATAGAGGTTGACGAAATAAAGTTTACATCAGGGATTATATTCGGGTCTTTCCTTCTTGTCCTGATATTTATGAGATTACTCGAAATCTACAAAAAAAAAAAAACACTTTTTTCCGATGTGATTCCCTTTGCAAATGATGCATACAAATGCAACCCGTTCGAAACTTTGAATAATCAAAACGTTGTCCGCATAGTACAACCTGTTTAATTAAGACATTGAATCGAAAGTAGCTCAGTCCATTTAAAAGGAAAAAAAAAAGAAGAAAAAGGAAGTGGTACTGGTTATAATCAAGAATCAATTATGCATGATTATTGACTAATGATCATTTCTACACACCACATTAAGCGAACTGATCTCCATGTGTAAAAGACACTTCCCAGATGGTTATATAATAGTCTTACTTCGATTGTCAACGGGTGGTGTTGGGCAATAACAATCCATGCAACCAAATGAAAAGCTAATGCATGCAAACAAATGTTTACTATTGTAGAACTGTAGAAAAGCGATCATTTTCCAAGTGGCCGTGTTTGATTCGCACCAACAACACGAAAATATGATAAATAAGTATACGTAGGGCGGATGTATGTTTGGCATAGTAATTAAAAATGCTCCTCAAGTGGCATGTTTAGATTTTCATCACCGGTAGGAAAAGAATCGGATAGGCGAAGAGGTCAAAGTAAATTCAAAATCTTTAAAACATCAGAACTTTGAATAAGAAACACATCCGATCTAGTAGTTCCTTTCCTGTGGTGATTAACTGAGCAAAAGCGCTCTAGAGGAGCCAATGTATGATTTTCTACTTCTTAGATTGAGGCTCCTTTTCTCATAGGTGAGTGAAGGGAAAGAAAAATAAAAATAAAAAGGAGAAGAAAAGCGGAAGATCTTTTACTTTCGAAAAACCACGCCTTCTATATTACTTTGCCGGTGAGCCACCATTCGTCCAGCATCCGAGTTTAGAACCCGTAAATTTTAGCGGGTCCGATCCGCGTGGAATCTCTTCATTGCCAGCGGCCAGCCAGCTTCATCATCATCATCGAAGCTTTATTATTATTACCCAAAATTTCCCAAACAGGGGAAAACCAAAATTCAAAACCCAAACCCAAAAACAACATTAATTCAAAGCCCACCGTTGTTGCTGTAAAATCATTTTATTTATTCGTTAAATTAAATATAAAAATTCCCTCTTCCGTACTCTTTTTCTGTTTCTTCTTACTTCGCTTCGCTGAAATTTTTTGCGTTTAGCTCTTTGTTTGATCTCCTATTCTGGGTCGTCGGCCAATGCAGGTACTCTTTTCATGACTTCAGCAGAATCATTTCCTCCCCCCACTGCTTGATTCTGTTAGATTCTGGAAAGTTTTTCCCCGGATAAACCCTAATTTGCCCCCCTCCCCTTTTTGCTAAAGTTAGGGTTTTGTTCTTGATGTTGCTTGGCTAGCTCTGGTTATGGGCTTATTTAGTTAGTTGGCATTGGAATTTGGGGTCAATTTGCTCAAATTGATTGACTTTAGTTGAATTCCGTGTCGACTTTGCTTTGGGGTCTTGGTAGTTTTAATTTGGGTGCCCGTTTAAGTTAGTGAGTGTGGTTTGCTTTACAAATGGATTTCTGATTAAAGTGTCTTAGTTGGTTGTAAAGCTACGCCTTTGAGTTTGTTCGCCCAGTTTGTAATGCTATGAACTGGGCTTTGACATGCTCGTAAAGTATTGATTTTTTGTGCATTTTGCAATTCAGTCACAAGTTATTTGTTAACGGGTTGATGATCATGTGGATTGAATGCAACTAAGGGGGAAAAAAAACCCCCCTTTTAACTGAAAGAAATGATATCTGTAATAACATTTCACTTTCATGTTTTGTTGTAGTTTTTAAGGTTCTATTTTGAGTTCAAGGTGGGAAATTTAAATGCTGACCTTAGTCATTTTACTGGAGAGGAAAATTCTGGTTAAATAATAGCAGGATCTCATTGTTACTGTAAGTTGAGACAATCTATAACTGATAGTCCCGTGCATAGGGGTTCTTTTGTTAGTACTTTATCTCACTACAATGGTCCTCTGATCGTGTTTGTTTTTGTGATTATGAATGGTGCAGGATCAGAGCTAATTAATGAGGGAGAGAAGTGTTCATAATTATGAGTAGTTGTGATTGAGTTTCTGGAATGGCTGGCAATGCAAGGTTTGAGTTGAATTCAGCCAGCCCTGATGCAATCTTTCCTGGAAATTATGGGCAGAGAGGGGGTTATTCTGGTCCAATTTTGGATCGGTCAGGTAGCTTCAGGGATACTTCTGACGGTCGTATGTTCAGTTCTGGAAAAGGTAAAGCTAGGGGGAGTGGTACACCGACGGGGGATCAATCTTCTTTGTCCCAATGTCTGATGTTGGATCCTATTGATGGGATTGATCCGAAACAGCATCGGTCACTTGAACTAAGGAGGGTCCTTGGCTTCTCTGTTGGGAATACAATGGAGGACAGTTCACTTGGCACATCCCATTTAAGAAACTCGCCTCCAGCAGCCATAGAAGAGTTAAAAAGATTTAGAGAAAGTGTGGCTGATACGTGCATCAGAGCTAGGTAAATGCTTATACTTTGTACGGCAAACCTGTTTCCTTTTCAGTATAGTTTAGCTGAGAGCCCATCTTTTGGTTTTATTCAATGCTATCTCTATTTTTCTCTTTTAATGAGGCATCTTTTCCCTGCTTGGACTTCTCTTCAGAATCTGTTATTTATATTAAGTGTGGACTTGGATTGGACACATGAAAATTGTGTCGATCTAGTGTAGATTCAGTTATTCTGTTATAATCAACCAAGTTGAGGATGGAGCAGGTTCAATGAACAATACATTGCATGTGTATTATGTTTTTGTGTGTGTTTATTTTTTATTTGTTTAATTTCGTAATGTTTTGTCTGATTGTGTGTTGCACTTCTGATGGGCCAGTGGTAGAGCTAAAACATTGGATGAACGGTTGCATAAGCTGACCAAATATTGCGAAGGTACAACCTCCAAGAAACAACAGCGGAATGAGCTATTAGCTAGTGATAGATCTGGTAGCTCAAATTTGAAGCTAGGAAGCCAGATGCTTCGGAGCCCTTCAGATCTTTCCCATCCTAAGTTGGATGATAGGTCTAAGAATGTTGTACTGAATAAACGTGTCCGCACATCAGTTGCAGAAACTCGGGTTTGTATTTGATCATATTGAAACTGTATTTAATACCTGGCAGCTTTATTTACTTGATATCATTCCCTTTGCTTAGACGAAAGAAAATGGCACACAAGTTTCCTGGCATTCTGTTTGTAGATTTTCCATCTGATTGTATGTGCACTGTATTTGTGTTCAGGCTGAGGGCAGGAGCAATGGTCTACCTAGGCAGCCTTTGGTCATCTCCAGGGACAGAGACATGGTTAAAGATGGTAGTGTGAATTCTGGTATTGTTGAAGAAAAGATTCGAAAATTGCCTGCTGGAGGGGAGAGTTGGGACAAAAAGATGAAAAGAAAACGTTCAGTAGGTGCAGTGTGCGCTAGACCCATTGATTCTGACGGAGAACCAAAGCGAGCTGTTCATCATAAGCTAACCCATGAACCTGGATTACAGTCTTCGGATTATCAGAATCTTAGGTACGCTGCTATTATTAGTCATTCTTTCTTTGGGGTGTGGGTGAACAGGGGAACTGAATGGAGAGCACTAGAATCATTCTATGAGTTGTACACTTAAAATATCGTTGTGTAGGTTCCATCTCTGCCTTTCCACCCCCTGCCGTAAAAGTAATTGACCTCACCATTCACCATGAACATTCCCCTCAACAAACCGAGTAGAACTCAAGCCTTTTGGACCTTTGCTTCAATATAAGTTATTGAAGGATGACGCACATCTACTGGCTCAGTTTGGCTTCAAAATTAAATATTTAAAGATAAATGCACATGTAGTGGAGAAAATGAGTCATTATATTAGCTTAAACAATATAGTAAGCATTGAGTTCTATCTTTTTCTCATTTTGTGTTTGAAATTTTTGTGGAACCAGGAGAGGCTATGAGCCTTATGGTTGCTGTCCTATGTTTTGCTATGGATAACACGAAGAGTGCTTGAACTCTGATATTAAAGGGATTCTCTTATGTGATGGTTGTTGTTAACTACTCTCTCCGTTCCGAAATGAGTACAAATTGTTCTAAAAGTGAAAATCCAAACAGTACAATCATTTTGGGGCAGAGGGAGTAAACCATTTAGTTCTAGATTGACATTTTAAATTTCTAGTCTTGTTCCCGAAGATCTATTTTTAATGAAACCGTAATTTTACTAAGAGAATGAAATGCATGTGCTTTTAAACACAGGAGCATGCAAATCCTTGCAATCTTTAATTATAGCATTTATTGTTTGCTCGTCATGTTGTTTCACTATCATTCATTGGTTTAAAACTGTTGTTCCTTTAGGAAATTTATGTCCTTTTTTGTTTCTTGACTGGGAAAACTGTGTGCTCTGCTGCTACTAAATGGGTAATTAATACAACTTTACATGTACATAAGTGTTGTTGTCTCGGGTCTGATTGTCAATTTATTTTGCGATTTTGATTCTTCCTCATAAGAACAAGCAACTTGCACTAGCACTTTTTTTTATGTATTATCTTCAGTGATAAGTGACTTTTCTTTGTGTTGCAGGTCTGGAGGTCCAATGGTTGGTGTCAATAAATTGGATGGTACCTTATCACCTGCGGGATCTAGTGCTCGTTCAACAATTAAGATTGAACAGGATAAGTCAGTACTCTCTCGTGATGTCAATGCTGCACTAAATAAGGAGCGGATCCTTGCCAAGGGAAGCATTAAGTATGTTTCCACCCTGTTTTGTTTCATGATTTTTAGATTTCTCTATGTCTAGTTCACTTGTTTCTTTATCTTCCTTGCTTCTTTTATGGTAATATCACAGTAGTATTTGTTTCCCTTGTTATACTTTTGATGACAAAGATGCATTTATATCTACTTTTTAGGTTGAGCAATCGTGAGGATAGTAACCTCGTCTGTCCTAGTCCCTTATCAAAGGGAAAGGCCGCTAGAGCACCACGTAGCGGGTCAGCAATGGCAAATTCAGTGTCCAATGCTCCTAGAGTATCAGCTCCACTGGAGAGCTGGGAATTGGCTCAGAGTATAAATAAAAGTGCTTCTGGCAATGGAGCGAATAACCGCAAACGTGCTTTGCCATCAGGTTCTTCTTCACCGCCTATAACCCAGTGGGGTGGTCAAAGACCTCAAAAAATTTCACGGACAAGGAGAGCCAACCTAGTATCACCAGTATCGAATCATGAGGAAGTGCAGACTCCATCGGGAGGATGTTCTCCTTCTGAATTTGGTTCTAGGTTGGCTGGAAATGGGACTAATGTGTCTCTTCTCTCGAAGGGGTCACCAGTTGGAGCTCAGAACACCAAAGTTAAACCTGAAACAGTTTCATCTCCTGCTAGGTTTTCAGAAAGTGAAGAATCTGGTGCTGGTGAAAATAGATTGAAAGATAAAGGAGCTTGTAGTGGTGAATTAGAGGGAAAAGGTATTAATGCTCATCATAGTGGTGGAAATCCACCTGTGGTTTTGAAGAAAAATAAGTTTTTTGTCAAGGAAGAAACAAGTGATGGTACTCGAAAACAAGGCCGAAGTGGAAGGGGGTCGCCGTTTTCTGGAGCAAGCATGTCACCTTTGAGAGAGAAGTCAGATGGCTCACCCACAACAAAGCCACTTAGAAATATGAGGCCCGGCTCTGATAAGAATGGAAGGTGCTGAGACTTATTACCTTTTTTTTCCTTGTCTCTGATTTCTCTCTCCTTTTTTTTTTTAGTGTTTCTTATCGGTTTATTTATATGCTTGGGCAGTAAGTCTGGCCGTCCTTTGAAGAAGGTATCTGATCGCAAGGGCATTTCTCGTCTAGGGCATTCAACAAGCGGTGGTTCGCCTGATTTTACTGGTGAGTAATAAATATCCATTTATAGTTTTAAAAGTGACCAATGAGTTTTGCTTGCTTCTGGGTCTCCTGGCTACCTCTATGCAAATGACTTTATATTTGCTTTACTTTTTATGGGATAATTTTGTCATTATTGTTTCAGTTTAAAAACTAACTTCCTGTTCATATGTTTATCAGAATTGGATCACTACAATAAAGTATTTAATGTAAACGAGTCCTTTCTGGAATACAGTGCTTTATAAGATGTTTGGCCACAACTCTTCTTTTTTGCTATTTTCGTATTTGAATTAGATTTTTATCTTTCAGGGGAATCAGATGATGACCGTGAAGAGCTGTTGGCATGTGCAAGTCAAGCTTACAATTTTAATGGTTCGTGCTTGAATTAATTTTCTTCTCTCGAATATGGGTATTTTGTGTCATTCGTTATTTTAATACTGCTTTCAACAACAGTCCAGGCTTGTTCAAGTGCATTTTGGAAGAAAGTGGACGGGCTGTTTACTTCTATCAGCTCGGAAGGAAAGTCTTACCTATCGCAGCAGGTTGGAGCTAAAATGGAAGTTTTTGAATTTGTTATCCTCTTTTCTGCAGTGCAAATAACATTCACTCTTGTTGGTCTCAGCTAAAAGAGGCACAGGAATTGCATGAGAAGCTTGCTCAGACATTTCGGCATGGCAACTCGATTCAGGTATTAATTCAGAACACGGGCCAACTTTATGTCATTGGTGTCAATTTTTCCTGTTTATACTTTATATGATTAACCTTTATGAGCTTCGGCTCTCTCCTTTCTTTAATCTTCTAGTTGTGTATGATTCACTCATGAACAATCAGTTCTGAGCTTCTCGACTCTTGATTTTACGTGTCAATCATTTAAGCTAACGATGAATTTTATTTAGAGGAACGCGTCTTCATCATTGCTTTGTTTTTATGGCGTTGTAAGTGAATTTGATGTTACAGCTTTTGATACCAGACAAATATAAAATGACGGTTTTGAAATCTATTTGGCTATTTTCTGAACTAAATGTCTAAGTAGATAGAAACTTCAGAAACTTTTGGCATTTATCTGGATTTCTGCTTTATCAAGTGTAACTGAGTTGAGCAGTGCGACCTTGGGCTGACTAGCTGGTGAATGTGGTTCCCAATAATAGTGGTTAATGGTTGATAAATTTGAAATGCCTGAATTCTAATTTTCTTCTTTTTGGTGTTCTTAAATTAATTTGGATTTTTCGTCTTACTCTCCTTTTTATGCTAACTTTTCATCTCCTTTTCGTTAACCAATGGGTCATTGGAGTACTATTACAATCTTTGCAGCCTACTGACTTTTCGGTTTTGGATCTCTCATTATTTTCTGTCAGTTGCTTTAACTTAATCCTTTTTTTTTGCCAGGGCAATTATTTGCATGAAGATTCTGTTTGTGATTCTCTTTCCGGAGCCAGAAGTAGAAGTTCTCAAAACACAAGTGAATCAAAAGATTTGTACAATATTGATGATTCATTTGATACGTTGCATGGTTCTACCATGTCTAAAAGATTAGGTTTAGAGCGGCAATCAGGGCAATCAGCCCATGTCACTCCTATGTTCCAAAGGGTACTGTCAGCCCTCATTGAAGATGACATTGAAGAATATGATGAGAATGAATGGGGAAGATCTATGTCACATCAGAGTGCTCGGGTGGTTTCACCTGTTGATGATGATTACAAGCATGGGGATATGATTGAATTTGAATGCGAGTCTACAAAAGAGATTCCAATTTCAAGCAATGGTCATGCAAGTAATTTGTTTAATCACCACACGAGTAGTAATTACGGTAGAAAATCCAGATTAATGGATTCTCCATGTGATGGTGAACTCCTGCGTGGAGACAATGGATTTGCTCATCCGGAGGTTGAAGTGTTGGTTGGACTTTCTAGTCATGGTCGGACTGGAGTACAGAGTCATGGGAACTCTTCAAATGACTGCCAGTATGAGCAAATGAGTCTTGACGACAAAGTCTTGTTGGAGCTTCAGAGTGTTGGTCTCTATGTAGAGACAGTGGTATGCATCTCTCTTTAGAAGTTCAAATCTATTATAATTATTTTTCCTTCAGCCAATAATTTATTTTGTGTTTTTTCTGGTTTTTTTTAGTCCGTTCATTAGATGGGATATAACACTGGGTTCTTCCTTGCATTAGTTACGGGCCGACATTTTTTGAATATACGACCTCTTAGCATCAGTTCATTTTGATTATGTTGCTCTTTAATTCTTTTTACTAAGTTTTCTTCTTTTATTTTATAATTTTTTGTATAGTTTTTTTTTTTTTTTTTTTGAAAAAACAATTTCGCTTGTTCTTCTACAGCCTGACCTTCATGATAAAGAGGATGAATTGATCAACCAGGAGATCATTAATCTGAATAAGGGCCTTTATCAACAGGTAGCTAATCTGAACTTTCAGTTATTGTGAGCACTCTTAACTTTAAATTCAAGTACTGAACCCATACATGAGATTATTTCCACGATCAAGATTAGTTCTTTCTTTCCCTAAATTTTTTCTTAATTCAGCTTCTTGGTCTTCTGAATCTTGTGAATCTTGAAACTTCAGGTTGGTAAGAAAAAGAGTTGCCTGGATAAGATTTGTGAAGCTATTCAAGGGGGACAAGATGTGCAGGGGCAGTAAGTTCTTACTTTAACACAAGTTTAAGTGATAAAGTGAAACAAAGAAGTTTATACATTTGCAATTATGTTTATTTCTTCCCGGCCATTTCGAAATTATCTTCGAGTACCTGAGCATAATGGGCCCGTTCGATTTGCAGGGACCTTGAGCGTGTTGCAATGAGTAAGCTTGTTGAAATGGCTTACAAAAAGCTCTTGGTAATAACTTGTTCCCTTGCCATTTGTTCGTGCATATACTTGATCTAATGGCTCCAATTTGCTGTTAATATTGTTATGTGGAGGCATACTACTTAAAGTTTGTAGCTTGAGATATTATCTGCATTTGGCTTGGTGTGTGTATTTGATGTACTTAGCTTTCATGGATTTTTCATGTCGTTGCATCTTTCTTATTTTAATGTTTGCTTGCTCATTGAGCTTGCTGTGACCTGAATCTATTATTATTTTTTTATAGTCGTTGACGTCTGTCTTCTGTAAATTCTTAACAGGCTACTAGAGGAAGTCTTGCTTCTAAAAACGGGATTCCCAAGGTGTCAAAGCAAGTTGCATTGGCTTTTGCTAGGAGAACACTTGCTAGATGTAAGAAATTTGAAGATACCGGAGTAAGTTGTTTTGATGACCCTGCTCTTCGGGATGTCCTCTTTGCGCCACCTCCTCAAATCACTGAAGCAGAGCCGTCAAATGGTATGGATTTGCATTTCATATTTAGTAGTTTTTTTTTTCTTTCTTTTTTTTTTTAAGGTAAACAGAAAATTGCCATTAAGTTGGGAGCCTGGTGATGATGACATGCATGGTAATTTGGTGTTGCCAAACTGCATACTTTGTGTAAAGACTAAAGATGCTTTTTTGAGTTGGCAAGATGCTCTTTAAGGATGGGTTACAATTTATTTTTTCTAGGCCAGTAGAGTTCGGCTTCTTATTTGTAGATTCTTCTTGCAATGGTGCAGGGGTCAACAAGGTTGATGGTTATGGTAACCAGTCTGATCAAGCTTTTGCGAAGAATGGGCCTATTTTGAACAGGGGGAAGAAAAAGGAGGCCTTGCTGGATGACTTTGGTGGAGTTGCTGTTAGAACCACATCTTTGGGAGGCAGTCTTTTGGGTGGTGCGAAGGGAAAGAGAAGTGATAGAGACAGAGATGCTACAATGCGAAACAGTAACAGCAAAGGTGGACGCTCATCGCTCGGTACCTCTTCGAAGGGCGAGCGGAAGAATAAAACGAAACCTAAACAGAAGACAGCTCAACTATCTATGTCAGGGAATGGATTGATGAACAAATTTATGGAAACATCACCCCAAGTCTGCCCTCCTTCAGCTGGCGATATTCCGAATAACGGTGACCGGAACAAGAAAAGAGAGGTTGGAGTTCTCTCTCCTGGGAATACATCCTTAGACTCGGGGAAAGAGAAGGAAGCTCTCGAACCCAAAATGCAATTGCATGAACTGATAGAAGACGACCTAGGGGGGCATCAGGATCTGAATACGTTTTTTAACTTTGACGAACTATTACAAGACCAAGACCATGATGATGGTGGAGCTATAGGGCTTGACATACCCATGGATGACCTTGGAGATTTGCCGTTCTGCTAATAATAGCACAGTATAATTGTACAGTCTTGTGGATTATTTAACTTGCTTAGATGATGAAAAAGATTTTATGATGGATGGATTCCATGTGGGTCTGTGAGATGGGGAAAAAACTGGTAGCTGAAGATTGTGTCCCTTTTGGCCAAATAGGCACTTGTAAATTATTGTTGGCCATTCTTTTTGTATACTACTAGAAGGAGAGAGAGAGAGAGGTCACCTAGGAAATCCCCCCAATTGTTTTACAATTATGATTCTAGACAAATGTACTTTGCTTTGTCTTAAATTAAGAAATTCTAAATTAGCTGAGTTTTGTAAATTTCCAGTTAACTTAATTTAAGCAGTGATGATGATTATTAAGAGTCCACATTCGTCATTATTGTCATTATTAATCTCTAAGACTGCCTGTTTCGGAAGAGGATGGTGCGAGGGTTACACAATGTCGGCAAAAGATGTGTTCATGTGATGGTAAACTTTCTCATGAGCTCGTAAGAGCAACTTGCTGATTTATTTTTTCCTTCACGGATTCTGTTTCCGTAAGAGCTACTTGCGGTTTTCTTTTCTCCCACTTGCAAACTTTGGTTATAAAACTATTATTTTCTTTAGATTTATTCCCTCCGGTCCTTAATATAAGATATTTTGATTTTATTTTAGGTTCCACCTCGGATGTCTTTTTAATTGAAATAAAAATCTTAAAAATATTTTATAATAATTAAGGGAACATAATAATGTAAAAATATATTTTAATTTTTTTTAATTAAAAAGACATCTTAAGTTAAACATAAGACGGAATCAAAATATCTTATAATAAGGACCGAAGGGAGTATTAGGATACAACAAACATCTTATTGGACCAGCATTAAGATGAGTAGTGAAGAGAGTTTTAAGCATTGGTATGTATGATTTCATTATGAGTGAAATTTTGAGCTATTGACTAGTGAGATCAAACACATGGAAATGTACCTCCTTAGCAAGACATGATCGATGACAACGTATGTTCCACGCACCCTGACTTTACAATTTACTTAAGTGTTTGGGCAAAAGGTTTCTTCTTGCACGTATATTAAATTTGTAATTGCTCTGGTTTAAACGAAAAGAAAATGGAGTCCAAAGTAAAATTGATCAATTTCCTAGAATAGAAATGGAATTGAATATTGACAAAATAAAAAGGAGAGAAAATTCATAGTAGCAGCAGCAGGGAGAGCATTAATGGCAGGATATCTAACCTTATCTAACCTCATCTACCCCTTCTCTAACCATCTCTGACGTGGGTAACATGTTAGGAGCCAAAAAACCGACCTCTCAATAATTTTAGGTATTCAATTCAATGAATGAACCCAAAAATGAAAAAAAAAAAACACAAATTGCTGTAGCAATTCAATGTGTAATAGTAGTACAAATAAAGAATGCCCAACCGTTGCGCCTCAACAGATGTTGGAAACCTGGAACCAGAAACGTATGAAAATTCATTGATTTGGATTGGACCCATTTCTTCCCCCTCCCCCTGAGTTGACTGTTATCAATGCACCAAAAAACTGCACAAATTTTGGGTTATCAAAATTAAAAATAAAAGGTTGTCATTTTCACATCTTCAAATGGGCAAATTTGTAACTGGACGAAGCAAACCCTGAAGATTCGCCTACCTCCTCTCTGTCAATCAATATATATATATGTATATAGCCCTCACTCCGTAGCCAAAACCCCAACATCTTCTTCATCACACTTCACCACCAATTCACATTTTCTTTGCTTTTGTTGTGATCAGTTTTCCTACCCCTTTTGGGCTTTCTTCTTTTCTTGCTTAGAATTTCTCAGTAATCCAAAAAAAGAAGAAAAATGTCGACCCAGCAGCTAGTGGAAACCAACAGGGAGAAAGCTGAGATTTACACGGACCCAACACTTTGCAAGATCAAATCCAAGGAGCTGCTGGAGAAAATCAATCTCCCCAGGGGTTTGCTTCCTCTGGATGAAATCACGGAAGTGGGTTACAATGAATCCACGGGTTTTGTGTGGCTGAAGCAGAAGAAGAGCAAGACCCACAAGTTCCCTCTCATTGACCGTCTCGTCAGCTATGATACTGATATCACCGCTTTCGTTGAGGATCGCCGGATGAAGAAGCTCACCGGCGTCAAGAGCCGGGAGTTTCTCATTTGGGTCACCATCTCTGAGATTTCCATCCAGGACCCTAATTCTGGGAAGATTACTTTTGGTACCCCTACCGGGATTTCCAGAAGCTTTCCGGTGAACGCTTTTGCCGAGGAAGAGGAGAAGAAGTAGGTGGCGGCGGCGGCAGAGTCTTCGTCAAGGTGAAAAAGATGGGGTTGTTCTGGAATAATTTGTTAGGGTGAAGTTTAGTTAAATTATCTGGTTCTTATAAGGGATTCTGATCTGTGTTGTTCTGTGTTTCGGTCGATTAGTGTTGATCATCTTCTCTTCAGATGGGAGATCAATCGCTTAAATTATGTACTCTTCTCTTCTAAATTTATCAGAAAAAATTTACTACTATTAGAACCTTGGCTTGGCTTACTCTGTTTTGTTTTGTTTGACAATGGTCCACCGTATCTGAGAAATTGTTGGCTGATTTGAATCAAGTCAACCTCGCAGTCAATTACAAATTATACATTGATTTGAATCAAATTAGAGTGAACAAACTTTATTGAAATGAAAATCATTCAGACAAATCAATCACGGAATAAGCCCAATTTCATTACCATTAGACTTCACAAAGTGGATCACAAAGATGTCATATTTCATTGGCATTTCATATTCTACCGAGTCAAATGAAGTGAGCATTGACTTCAAAGTTGAAACTAGTAACATGAAGCAACTCCACAAACTGGTAGGTTCAACCTGTATTGTTGTACATTTCTCTGATATCCCAGGCACCAGAAAGATGTGCTCTGCTTTAATTTCATGTTTAGCAGCTCTGCTATTTATCAAAATGTAGCAATTTAGATTGCTGTTACTGCCACTTAAATGAGATCAGCACCCAACCAAATAAGGTACCCATGCAAGATGTCAACTTGACACTCTAGCTCAAATGACCAAACTGATAAATCATGTATTCTTCTCTCTTCAGCAGCTATATCACGGGACATCCATGTTAAAAACCATCTGTTTTCATCTCTTCTGTAGCTATTTGGGAAGTTGCCTTTCCACTAGCTTTTCATCTTCAGTCGTCTTTAGTTCTGTGGATACATCCATGTTGATTCCAGGGGATACTGTGGGGAAGGGAAGCAGATCTTCTACATGTCGGAACATCAAAGGTACATTTGGATGGTTAAGTGCTAGACTGTACTCCTTCTCACCAAAGTCTGTCTGCTTTAAAGTTTTCCTGTAACTTGTCGTAGCAGCAGCAGGATTACCCCGGGCAATCGATATCTGAATTTTACAGGAAGAAACCGTGTATGTGAGCCACAAACAGAAAAACAACGAACCAAATACAAGAGTATTAAACCACAAACAGTATAAAAGAGAAGGTTCCAGTAAGATAGTGTGATGACTACTAAACAGGGATTAGCTATATTGCTTATTATCTTTATTAGTTTCCTTGTTGTAATTTTAGGAGTCTCCCCATGTATCATACGGCGACTATCTAAGAGTCAGAGAAGATAACACCAAAGAAACATATGGAACGAACCAAATGATCTTTTTCCACTTCAAGAAGCCAAAATCTCCAATCTTTCAATTCTTTACCATCAACGACAACATAAAGATCTTCCCAGCTTGAATGATGAAATTCAACATTATCCATTCTATTTCCCACGCCAGTGCCTAGGGCCTTAGCAAATGATTCCTTCAGACACCAGTATCTGCAGAAGTTATCAGCAGCCATGAGCAGAGGTTTCTCCTTCTTTTGCTCTTAGTTATGAGAAAAGGAGAGTTAGCTGTTTGTTTGTTGCACTAGGTCTTTCATTTGTTAGCCAGTACTAATTTTTTTCACGAGCTTATAGGATCACGTTTGAAAAGCTTCACTAATTATTTCAACTTCATAACACTTTTAGCAAATTCAAAAGAATGTAGCAGAAATACAATGGCAAAAGAATAACAAATATTTGATAATGCCCACATATTCTAAGATCAGGTGGAACATTTTGTCATTTACTTTGGGTAGAGAAGTATAAATCTCCATGATTGATAGACATTTTGTGCTCAATAGATTGAAACCAGAGCGTAATTTGACCATGAGTGATTTATACAGAGCAAACAACATAATCTGACCATGACCAGTTTATACCAAGCAAACAAAGTAGTTCGATACATATTGACAGCCACTACATTAACAAACTGCAACCTCATAAAGCGTAAAAGTACATGCATAGAGTAGAGGCATTCTCATTTCTTTGACTTGTTAAATGGAAGAGCACCAGTTCAAACACAATGTTTGAGTTATTCAAAAGAAAGCCTCACTACTGAAACCACACAGAAATAACTATACCTGTAGAATACATTCAGCTTTTTTGTGGATGAGTCGGACTTTACTATATCAGACCATTCCAAATTTGAGAAGTATATTGCAAAGTTCTGGATGAAATCTTCAACAGAATCTTTCATAGGAGACGAATGAGTAGCAATATCTATCCCCACAAGGCATACAGGTTCAGAAGCTATTCCCACATAATCACCGTCATGGGATGTATTAAAATTAAAGTTCGGAAATCCACAGGTTTGGTCATCATATTCCTGTAAAAAAGGTCAAGCATTTTACAACCACATCAAGAATTGCAAGAAAAATGGGGAAAATAGATTCCCAGAAGACAGAAAATATGACAGCAAAGCCATCCTTCCAAACACCATGAAAAATGCTGTTACTCGAAAACCCAAGAACCCAAAAAAGAAGCAGCAACGAAATTGCTCAAATGCAATCAAAATGCAGTCATACCAAATAGGGTTTGCCCTCGACTGTGCGCTTAATGATTATTTCATGGAAAGGAATGCCCAAGACCTTATGTACAAGGGCATACTGCAGCAACCTGCTTATAAGAGCTCGTTTCCGATCAACCATTTTCACAAACCTAAAAATTGAACACAAATATCATTCAATCATCACCTAAGATGTCTTTCAACAGTCTCTAAATGTGAATTTTTTTTTTATTTTTTAAAAACCTCAATCATCTGCCAGAAAGGCAGCAGCTTTAAGAACAGTACAAGTGAGGTCAAGTACTCAGATGGATAACAAACTTGTGATCGAAGAGTAATAAATCCCGCTTCTTAATCAAAGTTTAAACTAAACCCGCAAAAACTAACATGAAATCAATGAAATCCAGAATGAAGAAGAGTGGACCTGGTGATGGAAGAATGCTCATGATGCGGAAGAAACGACATAACGAAGGAGAAGTAATCGGGAGAAGGATTCCAATTCGAAATGTCTACAACCCATCTCTGAACACCCTTCTCCATTTCCATTTTTGATGATTTCTTCAACACAAATTTCTAGAACAAATTCATCAGTCCAGTCCTCGTTGAACTGTGAATTCCAGAATCCGAGTTTTACGAACAAAAAGAAAATTAACTTAATCGGCCGGCAGAGACGTGGGCCTCAAAATATGGTGGTTCATTTACTGAGTCCAGTACCCAGTTGGGCTAAAAACTTGTTAAAAAGCCGTCTGAAATTGGGTCTATCTAAGATAATTGCATCGAGGTCCTATTTATTTGAGTAAATACATGAAAGGCGAGAGAATTAATCACTATTGCCAACGGTGGACACCATGCAAATATGAAAAAAAGAATACATGAAAACAATGGCCGGAAGCTTTTCGAATTAATATTTTTGTAAAGCCCCTAATGAAAAGATAGACTATGATGTAAAACATGGTTCATTTCGTAAGTTTTGACTTTTAAGTGTTTCATTTCCCCAATACATACATATATATATATATATATGAAAAATAGTAAAATACCTTGATTCTTTGAGAATTACTATTATTTTTGTCTAAAAAAAAAAACCTTGATCTTTTGAGATTTACTACTATTTCTTTAAGAATTACAAACTCAACTAAAAATAAAAATCCTCACTGAACAATAGTTTCAGGTAGCCTTGACCACGGTTCTAGAACCATCGGTTACGGTTCTAAAATCGCTAGTTTATAGTTCCAAGATAGATGGAACCATAACCGAATCATGTAAGAGACGGTTTCAAACGGTTACGGTTTGAGACGGTTCCGGTTACGATTTCAATTGTGATTTTGACTTCAGTTATGGTTCAAATTTTTTATTCGATTCTAATTATGATTTTAATATTTGTTGTATTTTATTAGTTTTATTTCTTCTTTGAAAGTTTTCTTTTGCCATGGATGACAATTAATTTCAACTTGACAAAGACTGAAGAATGATTATTTAACTTTTTCTTTTATTAATCTTGCTAAGTTAGGAGAAATCACGTAGTAAAAAATTAACTAGAAATAAATTTAATAATTAAATATAATTATTTTTTTACGATTCTAACCAGAATTGAATAGCCGGTTACGGTTCTGATTCTTATAGGGTGGCGATCGAAGAGGATCAACATATTTGTAGGGGTGCTGGTTGTTGGGTCTGGGAGTTTGGGTTACTATCTGTCTTACCGCCGAGAGAAAGAGGCAGCGCGTCTGTACAAGGAATATAAGGCCAAAAAGGAAGAAGAAAGACTGGAAACGGAAAAACAAAGACTGGAAAGAGGAAAAACGACGCCGCCGTGCCCCCAAGCCTATCTGGGCCGAGCCTCGGCCGCCGAGGACCCTACGGTTACCCGAGGATGGTAATTTTTATTTTTTCTTTAAATAATTGTGTACTAAAACTAAATTTGTTTCCTTGGATTCATGACGAGCCAAACCTGAAGTTGACTGAATCTATATAACTTTTTCTTTCTTTTCTTTTTGGAGTAATTTATTTTCCTTTTTTTTTTGGGTTTTCGAGTCTTAATATGTTGATTCCGATTTTACTGCAGCATGTGTTTGTTCTAATTAATATTTTTTGATACATAGCTAAATTCTTTTGGTCTCATATAATGCCACTCATTGTCTATAACCAATCATTGGGATGTGTATGGCAGGCACCTTTAACAAATGAACAATACATAGTTTGATGCAAACAACGATTTTGAGATAGAGGAAAATCGTTTTAGGATATAAGGAATATCTTATACGACATATATTTATTTATCTAATTATAAATAATATCTTATACAATTTATTACTCAAGTTCTACCGATCAAAAAAAGGCTAAAACTTATTGAATAATAAAGTAAAAAATGCAATAATATTTTTTTATTTTTTTAAAAAATCCATCCCAGTGAACCCCACTTAAATGTGGGTAAAACCCACCGTTCACTCAAATGAAGGAGGTACCAAACTTAGTTGAAATGAAGCCATGAAACTGCAATTAATTAATCTTGGCGGGAGATGGAAAATGCAAAATAGATGAAAATGATGAAATCAAATTTAGTTAAGTACCAAATTCGTCAATTAAAGCTGGAAAACAAGTACCACAACAGAACACTCTCTGTTAAGCAGTTTCAAAGCTTCCGGAGCAAAGATGCCAAATGGCTGAAAATAGTGGTAAATTGAAAACAGGAGTTAGGTTGCCAAAGAATGAGACAAACTGGCCAAAACTAGAACACTTGGTGACAACTTTCAATTGATATGGTTAAGCAAGAAAAAAGACTGCCATCACGGCATCCTGAATTCCTGATCATAAAAATTGACATGGGATGATTGGGAAAGGTACAACTACCTATCTACTACACTATCAACTCAAATTAAGTCATATATATTTTGGAGTAATAAATAAAGGGACTGATGCTTTTGTCATTACGTTTTGTCTTACTGATCCATCATATCAAGTGAATCAGGCTATAAAAGAGCTCCCAATTAACTGATCAAAATTCATTTCAGTTTTCCAAGTGCATCTTCTTGTTTCATTTTCTTAACTATGAAGTATAAAAAGCTTTATAAGTTCAATGCCAGTGAAGAGGTTGATGAACTGAGTCATTCTTCATCATCATCATCTTCTTCTTCTTCTTCTTGTTCACCATCATCACTACCTGAGAGGAGAAGTATATATACAAGTAACTACAACAACAACAACAACAACAACAACAGTGCAAGAAGTCAACAGAGTTTTTCCGGGAATGAAAATAATGCAGTCAAAGTGAAAAGCCTAATGGAAGCTATGCGGAGGATTCTATCAAGTACTGGAGGAGAGCAGCAAGTCAAGCAGCAAAATTCATCTGGGGTCACTGAAAATCAATCCAAGAGTTAGAGATGTCTGATCAATAATTTCAACCCTTGTTGAACCAATTAATGAATCCCTGGTTACAAATTCTGGATGATCGATGTTCTTTTATTTTTAACAATTGCTTGTAATTTCCTCTTCCCACAAAGGTCAACAAAAATTGGTTCTTGACTTCAATAGTTATGATATGAGGATATCAAAATATTTAAGCTAGAATTTGTCATACGTTTACCAATGATGACATTTTTCATCGAATTAAAACTTGATGAGCTTCAGAATTGTGTTGAAAAGAAAATCAGTAGTTGTACATCTATAATTTTTTTTGGTCGCAGAATGATTGAAAATTTATTTGAGGTGATGATGTTAATGGTGAAAAAACTCCCAGCGACATGTATTTGAAACCGGAAGGAGTGCTAAAAGAAAAAACAACAATACAATGTTATATTTAATTAATTAATTAATTTTTTTTGTAATATTTCAATGTATCAAAAAGAAATAAAGGAGGAGGATCAATTTGGAATTTTGGATCAAATATGATTGATCCTATAAATGGGTCCCTCGACATGTCCGATTGACCAATAAAGAATAAACCTAGTTCTTCGTTTTTCAAGTTTTCAACTCCCATCTTCGACCCAGAAGTCTTCGTGTTATTTCTTATTATTATTGTTCGTTGTCTGGATTCTGGAACATCTATCTGGGTTTTGTTGATCAACTTCTGTTCTTTTCATAATCTTTTGTTTCTGTCTTCTCACTTCGATAGTTGTCCTGAAACTGATTCCTCTGACATAAACCCTCCTTCAGATTCTTGCTCTTTTAGTCTAACCATATCGAATTGATCCAATTAAAAAAAAAAACATTATGGCTGTGGGTATATCTTTTCTTATTGCAATAAAGGCAGCAACTTTATTTCTGTGCTTTTCATTTTTGAGGGATCTCGGATTCAAATGGTTAGCCCTCCCGTTTCTGTATGCTTCCTTGATTAGTTTCTTGGTTTCAATTGCTTCCCATCCCTCAATCAATCTCCCTATGCTTTTGGGGAAAAGCTCAGATGGGCATTTCCCAATCTGGTCAATGCTTATATTTAGCCCTTACTTGTACTTTGTCAGAATCTTCTCTGCTTTGAGGAGACTCAGGAGTGGTGAACCTCCTTATAATGAGGTTAGTGAAGGTATCTATGTTGGAGGGTGGCCTTCTTCAGTTGAAAAGATGCCTCCTGGTAATCCTGCTGTAATTGATTGTACTTGTGAGTTGCCCAGGAAGACTGAGATTTCTAAACATGCTTATATGTGCGTTCCTACTTGGGATACAAGGTCACCTCAGCCGGCTGAAATTGATCATGCTGTGAAATGGGCTTGTAGAAAGAGGGCTCAGAATTGTCCTGTTTTCATCCATTGTGCTTATGGTAATTTTTGAAGCACCAGAAATTTGCTGCTTTTCATTCAGTTTCATCTCTTTGTTCTACTGTTTCCTAAAGTTTTTCTTTTAGTTTTTAATTGGATTTTCTTTTTGTACTAATTCATGATGGTGAACTAGTCATGCTTTGAATGGTTGTGAAACGAGCACAACAGTTGTTTAAATTAATGATATTGCACTGGGAATCTTGTGGAACTACTAAAATCCTTAGTGTCTATGTTCTCGTGACCCTTGGAAGTTCGGTGGAGATCATTTTTTGTCTGTTAAGTCAAGGTTAAACCGTGGTTTCTCCCTTTTTATGATGTTAACATGTTTGGTGAACTGTATATTGTTCTTCCTGTGGGAAGTTGAAACTAACACATTGTGATGAAGTATTGTGTCCTTTTTAAAGCTCTGACTGTTTATGCAGTGGAAGCAATGTGTTCTGAGCTTAATCATTCCTCATTGTTATTCTGAGATTGTTCTAATACTGTGAAGTTTCACCTAGCTACATTGAGATGTGATTGTAATGATATTTTGATTAATGTTTTATCAGTTGATGAATCACTACTTTTGTGGTTCTATTTCAAGAGGATAATTTTTAGAGATATGGTATTTTATATCTATTTTACGGCTACAAGAATTTAGCTGGTTATGGTAGCCAAGGTCTTTTACGCCTTTAGTCTAGCAGGAAGGGGATCTTCAGAGACCAAAAATTAGGAGTTTGTTGGGGCTTGCCTAAGCTTAAAAAAATTCTAGTTTGGAGCTTAAGTTCTAAGTGATAAGGAGCGAAACGACATTAGTGTTTTCTGTGCATAAACTAAATTTATTGATATTGAGGACTACGCTGGACATATTGGAACTGCAGTAAGTACTGACTAAGATTGGTCAACTAACATAGTAGCGGCATCTAAGATTCTGTATAGTTTTGAATGGTATAGTTCCGACTCAATCCATTTAATTGCTGCAGACATAATGTTTCTTGTGGCACATTTATATTTTATGTCTACCTCCAGGCTCCAGTCGTATTCCGTAACCTGTCTTTGTATTAGCTTCAGAATACCACTGGCATATTGGAGTTTATGTTATCACAGTTTTGTATTTCCATTAAGGTTGTGTGTTTGTTTTGGCAGTTTTCGTTTTTTACCACTTTAGATAACACACTGACCAAGTTGTGTGTAGTCCTTCTAGCTCTTAGGAGTTGACTCTTCAACTATTACTGCATTTGATGCATCTATTCCTTCGTTTTGTTTATATTCTGCTCCTCATGGTGCACTTCAATGAATATGAAGTCCTCGTTTATGCTCATGGACTACTTGCAATCAAAGCATTGTCTTCACTCATTATATTACTCATATGTGCAGGCCATGGTAGAAGTGTTGCAGTGACATGTGCTTTACTGGTAGCTCTTGGAGTCGCAAACGATTGGAAAAGTGCAGAGAAGTTGATCAAAGAAAAACGACCATACATCAGAATGAATGCGCTGCACCGCCAAGCTTTGGAAGAATGGTCCAAGCACCGGTTATCTACTCCTACAAGAAAAGAGGAAATTGGTCTCAGAATGTTACCTAAAATTTCAGAAAGTTCTTCAATTTGATGATTGGTTAAACGATGGAACCTCTCTTCAAATTTGAGTTCTCACTCTTTAGCATTGATATGAAAGCTGACTTTATTTGTCTTGACTTGTTTAGATGCATTACTATCTTATTTCAGCTCAAGTTGAAAGCACAATCCCACATTAATTGTCGAGCGGTTTTAGTTCAACAAGCAATACATACTAATTTTTCTGAGACAGAGCAGTAAGTGTACATCTTGCAAGGGTACTTCGCCAATGGTTCTTTTCTGATAATGTATAACATAGTCGGACTTTGATAAATCGCTGCTGCATAAGTATGAGTTTGAGAGAGGTTTACTATATGCTCTCTTCTCTATTGGTTATAGAAAAAAGGGTGACAAACTGTGAGCGTGACTGATGTTAGCGAGATTCAAGTGTAGAATCAGGCTGAGAAAATACTCTATGTCTTGTTTGGACAATCATTTTAAGACAAGAGTAACAATTTTACATCGCTAGTTTGATATTGTTATGCGTCAGAAGGTCACTAGTTAAAGGTAATAACAACACTTGTCCAAAATATAGATCATGAATTGGAAATTAGTACTATCTACAACACATATTACTTAAATCTGAGATCCATTATAAATACACCCAACTTTGCACCAAACCATAGTACAACACTACACAAACAAAGATACCAAGAAAGAAGAAAAGGAAAACTCAAGATTTAAAAAATTGGACAGGAAATTCGTAGCCACCATTTTGCTGCTGTTCGTTATCATCACCACTTATAGTAAGAATCTTTCTCTCTACCAAATTGCCTGCTTATTGAACATTATGAAACTAACAAATACAAGAATCATTTTGGGACGGATGGTAATATCTAAAATCGACAAATATGGGATGTTCATCGCCACCATTTTAATTTGCTGCATGATGGTTTTATAGAGATTGACAAATTCTAGGTAATATGTTATATTAGCAGGTAAGATGACGATGAAAGTGGAAGCTGGGGATGATGGGCACAAATGCTACAAGATATGGAATGAATACAAAGGCAACTGCCCAGTACCTAAAGATAAAGAGTGCTTTGAAGGATGCAAGAAAGAAGGTTTTCAGGATAGCGCTTGCTTAAAAAACCCAGAAAAGAAAGATGCTTATTGCCTTTGTTTCAAGGATGAATGTACAGAATCAGAGATGTAATTTTACAGTTTCATGCTAACATAATAAAATGATATTTTGAATGTAATTATGTGTTCTTTTTTTGGTTGTGTTTACTAAATATTCGTTCCTAAGCTTAAAGAATTGGAGCCTAAGTTTCAAGTGTGCAAGGAGAGAAACTACATTAGTGTTTTTTCTGTAATCAATAAATTCATTGATATTGAGGACTTGAACCATCCGCTGGACATATGGAAAGGACTTGAACTATACAGTAAGCACTGATGATTAAGATTGGTGAACTAACATTGTAGTATTTGTGTCTAAGATTCTTATAAATACTTTAAGTTCTTCAAATATGATGTTAAACAATGGAATCTCTCTTCAAATATGTTACTACCTAAAATTGGCATGAGAAAATGTGATGTTACCTAAAATTTCAGAAAGTTCTTGAATTTGATGAATGGTTAAACAAATGGAAACTCTCTTCAAATATCAGTTCATACTCTTTAACATTTTAATTGTTTTACTTCATCCCTCTTGTGTTCTTTAAATGCACTACTCTCTTATTTCAAAAAAGAGGTAAATGCTCTCCCTCCACCCACAATACGAACTAATTCTTCTGAGGCGGAGCAGTAAATACTAAATATACATTTCGCAATACTACTAATTTGGCAATGGTTCTTAATTTTCTGATACAGTATAGTATAGTCCTACCATTTTAATTGAGATTTTTTAACGGACTTAGATGAATCTCTCCTGTATTTTTATAAGTTTGAGACAGGTTTACTATATGCTCTCTTGGTGATAGAAAAAAGGGTGACAAATTGACTGCAAGTTATTTAGAATCACTGTAAGAGTGACTAAGGCAAGCTAGATCCAACTATATAGTAGTATTCAGGTTGAGAAATAGCAGTTTTACATCGCTGGTGTAATATTGTTACATGTGTTTAGAAGTTCACGATTAGATTATCACAATCTTGGAAGCGTTAAATAATAAGTACAAATTAGTTAGAGGTAAAAACTACACTTGTCCAAAATATAGACAATGAAATGCAAACAATGATCTAAAATATAGTAGTTTGATGGAGTGATTACTTTTTGGGCTATAATAGAGGAACATAGGTAACCATGGCTTTTGCCCCCCCCATGAATGTTTATTAACTCCCGCTAAAATTTATGGACTCTCCCCAACCTATATGTTGTATATGCAGACGTGGTATAACGTGTGCACTGAATAGTATAGATTTAGGATTGATTTCAGTGAAAATATTATGTGAGTAGTTACTACTATTTCAGTTCACCAAATATGTAAAGTCATTCTATCAATTTCCATTTATAATTCATACCCCAACTAAAATTGGCTGATTGATTAACCAAAAGTTGAATGTATTTTCTACTACTCTTTCATAAAACAATAATTATGTCATGTTAAAAAGATAACTTCATGTTCTCCAATATAAAATTGCATTTTCACTTTTTTATTTAATAAAAATATTAACCTTATCATAATTCATTATAAAAAGATTACCATTATCGTACTTAATCATTATCGAAATTCTTGTACTAATGAAATCTTGATACAGCTAAGAAAAAGAAAACGACACTGAAAGAAATATAAAATGCCATAGGTGGACTATATCATTTTCATTTATTTAACTATCTCTTTTAGAAAAAAATAAAAAAAAGGTCAAACTCAAAAAGTGCAGTAACCGATCGAGTTACTCAGTTGGCACCCTATAAAAAGAATGTTTGGTGCAAAAATGGGGATGTTATCTTGGTAAAATTTTATTCCAAATGTACATATAAATTTAACTGTTACATTTGACTTTTCATTTTGACCATGATAATTGAAATTTAATTACATACTTGTTTATTCATAAAGTCAGTAGTATAAATTAAGATGTTTAGGAACCACTTTTTCGCATTGTCAGCATTTCTCTTCTCTGCGTGGAGGGGAAATATAGTAAAGATGACAGTAACGAGGAGCTTCCTTTGCAGCATTTTGATTTTCCTCCTCTTCGTTTCTCGTAAGTTAAAGTTTCATTTTTTATTTTATTTTATTTTTTTAAATCGACAAATATGGGATGTTCATCGCCACCATTTTAACTTGCTTCATCATGCATGTTTTCATTGAAATTGAGAAATTTTTTGGTGATATATATGTTATGTTGGCAGCGAAGATGATGATGGAAGTGGAAGCTGGCGACGATGGGCAGAAATGCTACAAGATATGGAATGAATACAGAGGCAACTGCCCAGAACCTAAAGATAAAGAGTGTTTTGAAGGATGCAAGAAAGAAGGTTTTGAAGATAGCGCTTGCATAAAGAAACAAGAAAAGAAAGATGCTTATTGCCTTTGTTTCAACAATAATTGTACTTAATGAGTTATGTAAATTTACAGTTTCCTGCTAACATAATAAAAGGATATTTTTTATTTTGAATCTATACCATATCTTCTTTTTTTTTGGTTGTGTTAACTAAATATTCGTTCCTAGGCTTAAAGAATTGGAGCCTAAAGTGTTTCAAGCACGCAAAGAGAGAAACTACCTCCAATGGCAGAAGTGTTGCAATACACGTGCCTTAATGGTAGCTCTTGAAGTCGCAACCCCGATTTGAAGAGTGCAGAGAATTTAAAAACGACCTTGCATCAGAGAATGAATGCGTTTGGAGCGCTAAGCTTTGGAAGAATATTCTAAGCACTGGTTATCTACTCCTGCAAGAAAAAAGGAAATTGGTCTGAGAAATGTGATGTTAATTACCTAAAATTTCAGAAAGTTCTTCAATATGTTAAACAATGAAACCTCTCTTCAAATACGAGTTCTTAATCTTTAGCATTGTAATTGTTTTACTTCATCCGTCTTGTTTGCATGCTTTACTATCTTATTTTTTTTTAAAAAAAAAAACGGTAAATGCTCTCCCTCCACCACAATACGGACTAATTTCTTCTGAGGCGGAACAATAAAATACTAAAGATACATTTTGCAATACTTTGTCAATGATTTGAAATACAGGGATAAAGCTACATATGTCGTGACCCCCCATATCCAACCGAGTTAGGAGTATGCTGGGTACATATGTTATTGTTGTTGTTACTTTGGCAATGGTTTTTTTTTTTTTGTTTTTTTTTTCTGATACAGTCTGATACCATTTTAATGGAGATATATGTAACGGAGTTTGATGAATCTCTGTCTCATGTATACATGCGAGTTTGAACAAGGTTTACTATATGCTCCCTTGGCGATAGAAAAAAAAAGGGTGACAAACTGACACAGGTAGTTATTTAGAATCACTGTAAGAGTTTTTGAGGCCAGCTAGATCCAAGTATAGGAGTATTCAGGTTGAGAAAATAACAGTTTCACATCACGGTTGTAATATTGTTACATGTGTTGAGAAGGTCACGATTTTTTTCATTTCATGTACTTAGTTGTGTGATTATCAGAATCTGGGAAGCATTAAATGATAAGAACAAATTAGTTAAACGGTAAAAATAACACTTGTCGAACATGAACTGCAAACAATGATCTACAACACAGATTACTGAAATCTGAAAATCCATTATAAATACGCCTAACTTTGCACCAAACAATAATCACAGCATAACACAAAACAAAATACAAAGCAAGAAGAAAAGAAACACTCAAGAGTTGGAAAATGGATAGGAAGTTCGCAGCCACCAGTTTGCTGCTATTCTTTGTCATCACCACCTACAGTAAGAGTCTTTGTCTCAATACACATACTCTCACTCTCTAGCAAAATGTCCTGTTTATCTTATTTTTCGAAATTAACAAATACGAGGACCATTTTGGGACAGAAGGTGTATCTGAAATTGATAAATTAAACATGGGTTGGGGGGGTGTTCATTGCTACTATTTTAATTTGGTGCATCATTGAAATCTGTGGGTTTTTTTAATTTTGAGAAATTGACAAATTCTGTTATATATTGGCAGGCAAGATGATAATGAAAGTGGAAGCTGGGGATGATGATAAGAAGGACAAATGCTATAAAGTATGGGAGGAATACAAAGGGGGTTGCAAAGAATATAAAGATAAAGAATGTGAAGATGGATGCAAGAAAGAAGGTTTTGAGAAGAGCGCTTGCATCAAAGACAAAGAAAAGAAAGAAGGTTATTGCATTTGTTACAAGGATGGATGTACTGAGGAATAAGAGATGTAATTTTTTTATATTTTTCGACTTGACTTAATAAAAGGACATTTTTTAATCTACCATTTTCTTTTTTCTTTTCTTTTTTTTTCTTTTAGTGTTTGTGTCGATTAAATTCTTCTTCTTTGATTATAATTTTACATCTTCTTAATATTATTATTATTATTATATCCGTTCTAGTAAATGTAAACCGGTAACTCTCACAAATTAATCAGTCCACCACTGTTACAAAGACACAAAATTATTATCTTGCTGGTTAAACTTTGGGTCGGATCATGAAATGGAAATATCCTATCATCACATTATTTAGTCATAACCCGGTAAAAGAATTATAAACGATAAATTGAATCATACTTCGTACTCACTGTTTATAGATTGACGATTATACTGGTGCAAAACAATACATTTTTCACAAATTATAATATGACATTTTTTTAGACCATCGAAAAGAGTATATGAATGACAAATTTTACACGTGCTAATCTACAAGCAGAGTTTCATTACTCATTCCGATTACTGGAAAATAAGTGAGTTCAGGTGCGTATTACAATTTACATGGTTTAAAATGTTTAGTAATTCGAACTCTATGTGTAATTTCAATTAACTTCAACTTTTGGAGGATTTTCGCTTGATTAAAAAGATAGAAATTTGTCCCCAAAAAGAAAAAAAAATAAAAATCTATATCTGGTTTCACTTTTCATTGCGCTTATTTAGACTAAATATAAATACAATTTTACTTGTTTTTAAAATTATTATTATTACATAGCCAGCAAGGACATAAGCACACCAGAAAAACTTTCTTACAAAGAGAAATATTTTTATATAAGCATTTAAAAATTTTGGCCCCCTATTTTTTGTATTTTATAGTGGCCGAGATTATCAAAATCTGAAAGCAGTTGGATTATCTTAGTCCTTAGAAAGTACACGTGTTCAAAATAACGGTGCAAATTTTTTATCTGAAGAGACCAGATTACTGAAATCTGAAATATTCGATTATAAAAATCTATCTATGTTTGCACTAAAAGATACGTTTAAAAACACTAAGAGAATTGAAAATGGATAGCAAGTTCATTGCCACCATTTTGCTTCTGTTCATTGTCATCACTACCTACAGTAAGTCTGCCTCTTCCTATGATCCTATCTATCACTGTTTGCCAATCCATCTTTGGACATGCCATCCTAAAGTTTTCTTAAAAAATTGCAGTACTTAATTCGTCCAAAAAAAAAAATGATTGAATAAATTTGATTGATTTCTCTATATGGCAGGCGATATAATTACGAAGGTACAAGCTGATGATGATAAATGCTACAAATTGTCGCAAGACTACAAAGGCAAATGCGAAAATCCTCCTACAGATCCAGAGTGTGTGGAGGCATGCAAGAGAAAAGGTTTTGCGCAGAGCACTTGCTTCAGAGATAACAAAGAAGCTGCATTTTGTGTGTGCCACAATAGTCCTTGTTCTGAATCTTCTGATTAGTAATGTAATTTTTCGTAATAAACAATAATGATATAGCATTCCATTGTTGGGTGCCTTTTGCAGTTAGTATAACTCAGGACCAATGTCAGTCCAGTATAACCACTACAAAAGTAATCTTCTCAATCTTTGATTAGCTTTAATTGTTTTACTGACTCACAAGCTAAAGTCCTAAAAACGGTTGACATATAAGGTATCGTCCAAAGATGTTAAATGTGAGCCATGGATGACATCTGAAAATAGATTACGGAAATCTGAAATACTTTTAATAAATTGGCAAAGGAATATGCACCAAATTAAGAGAATTCGTAAACAAAATTACACACAGAGGAGAACCGGAAATGAAGACACGCAGCAGCGCGTTCATCAGCACCACTATGTTGCTGCTCCTTTTCATCGCTGCCAGTAAGTCTATTCCATATCTGAAGCAAAAAGAAATACAATAGGCTAACATCAACTATGTATTGGCAATTACATGTAACATTCTAGGTTTTCAACGACTCAAGATTTCAAGAAATCTGGAGTTCGTAACTGATGAAATCTAATTTAACCTGTCGCAGGTGAGATTGCCAAGGAAGTGGAAGCTACTACATGCTACCAACTGTTGCCGATCTTCCACGATGATTGCCCACAACTTATAACTCCTGCCTGCGTTGAGGCATGCAAGAGTGCAGGTTATGATGGAGGTAGCAAATGCCTGATCCTAGAACATTACGGATACTGCTATTGCCAGAAGCCTTGTACCCAATGAGATTAAATCTCATATAATCTACCTTCTTAGATAATGTGATAAACTCCAGGTCATAAGAATCTACAGAACCTATTTTCATAGGACAAAATTCTACCATTTCTTTATAAGTTGAAACTAAGATCATCACCTCATTGTAAGAATCCTTTTTAAATGGTTACAAGTTACACCCAAGAGATGGGAAATAGTTTTCTTGGTGTTTTGTCTTTCATATCACCTGAAATCCATTAATGCATATAGATAAAACATGAACAGCCATGGAGCAGAAAAGGGAAAATGATGGATATAAAGATATAAAACCATTTATGGTGGCATGCTGCTAAGATTAGATTTTTCTGTTCATGAAAGGCAAGTACATTAGACAAGGTTTCAAAATATACATTTATCACATGAACTACACTAAAGTGAAAGACAAAACTAGCATAAACTTTACTTTAAATTACACAGGGTTCATTTCTGTGCTTATGCTCCAATCTAAGCCTTCTTTATTATGTCCCTGAACTAACCCCACGCTTGGCGGCTTCCTCCCTCGTCATAGTCATGAAAGATTCTCCACAGCCACATTGCCCTTTGGAATTTGGATTGATAAAAATGAACTCCGACCTGATGGACAACAAAAGAAATATGCTTCAGATATCAGTGGAAAATGTAAATGTAGTGACTCCAAATTTGGATGTTTCCAACAAAGAAGAGAACGCCTAAATAATAAACTAAGTCTCTACACTGTTCCCTAGCCATAAAACCATACATCAATTCCATCATGTAAACTTTTGGCAGAACGGCAAAGAAATACAAAATTATCAGCTTACTTACATAAATAACGGAAAGGAAGTAATATCCAACTATCCCGAATAGACATGTTCTAAGATTAAGGGAGCAAGCTACCAAATCTGTGATGTTCAGACCAATGAAATTGATACATATATACAGACAGCAGACATCTTAAATCAAGCACCAAATTAATCACTATAACCCGATAAACAATTGAAACTAAGAAGACAACAAAACCATGATTGCGTATCATATGGACCATTCATTGTAACAGACACAAATACATACCTCATCTTGTCATCGACAAAGTCCATCTTAGTTCCGATGACATGCATAAGCGCCTTAGGATCAACCAGTATCTTCACCCCCTTATCCTCAACCAACTCATCAAACTTCCCCTTTTCATCTGCCCAATTGCCAAAAATGAGCTCTTTAAACATTCAGGATTTCAGATAGAATCTTAAACCAGCAAGAGTCTAGGATCAAAATATTAAGAGAGACTCTTTTCAGGGTAAAACTTTTCAGCAATCATCCCAATTTCCCACCAAAAAAAAAAAAAACTAAATAAAATAAAACTTGGGCTTTGAGGCATAACAAAGCAGAAAACCAGAGGTTTCAAAATGAATTATTAACTGATAAATATGAACCTAGATCACCGGCCCTCACCGGGTAAATTAACCCGAGTGCGCAGTTTGATCAAATCCGATAATCCAAGGGTATAGCAACCGGAAAATGAAAAAAGAAAAAAAGAAAAAGAAAAAAGATATAAGGTCGTTAATTCCTAAACCAATATTTCTGATATTCTAGATTGAATTGATTGGGGGGGGAAAAGGTGGGATAATTAGCAAAAATGATTCCAAGGGATAGAAGAGAAAGGGAAGCAAACCTGCATAATTGAGGGTGTAAGATAAACCGTTGCAGCCGCGGGACTTGACGCCGAGCTTGAGGAACGAACGCTGACGTTTTTCCAGCAGCTGGCGGATTCTAGAAGCCGCGGATTCCGTCAAGCTCAGAACCTGCTTCCGTATCAACGTACCCATCTTCTTCTGGACAAGAGGACGAGTTGTAACGCCGATCCTTTAGTGTTATTATGAATATATAACCGAAATCTGGGCTTAATCAATGAAGAATCACGAACAACTGAACAAGAGTATCGACGAGAAAAAAAAAACAGAGTAAAAATGGGCTACCTATAACATTCTGTTGCAAAATGGAAGAAGAATGTATCTTAAAATGGGCCGCACAGCCTGTTTGTTATCCATTTCCGTTCGGCCCAAAAATTATCCAGTATTAGATCACAAATATTACTCCACACTGTGACCCAAAATTTTTGTAATGTCGGTTGGCAAATGACATGTATAGTCGAACTTCTATAAATTAATAATGTTGACACTACCAGAATTTATTAATTTAGAGAATTATTAATTTGCGGGTATTGTCAATGGTTCCTACCCAGGTCCCAGATCAAAAGTAGCACCATTTTTTATTTTTATTTCTATGTTTTACTATATATTACTGTAACTTATTTGAAATTTGAGAGGAACAAATCTCTTTTAAGCGATAAATTTTTTTTTGTGTGTGTGTTATACAAATATTATAACTGTGGCTACATATGTTTATGTCAGGATTCTAACCAAGATCACATTGTTAAAATTCGTCCAAGACCCTTTCCAGTTTCCAGCACATTGATCCCTATCTTCGTTGTTTCTCGTAAGTTGTTGATTTCTGTTTGTTATCGTAAGATTGAAATCTTGAATTCGTGATTGCGCAATATATAACACTATTTTGATTACTATCTTCCATTCTTCTCCCAACCTCATGTCTAACCAACAACATTATTTTTACACCGTTAAATTTAAGGTAATTTAATTAAAAGTAAATTTGTTGATACTCATAATGGTGTTTATTTTCATTATTTTTATTATCAAACTTTTGTATACGTGTGGGATGAATCATAAGATATAGTGATGGCTGAAGCAAATGCAACATACCATTGAAATATTATACTCCCTCCCTACGTCTCACAAAAATAATCCACAAAATTTTATGGGAATTATTTTTGTGAGACGGAGGTAGTAATAGACCTAGTTCTTATCAAGAGATTGTAAGCATGAACGTAGACACCACAAATGTAATAGTTGCAAGTCCACAACTAATTTTTTGGGCATATCAAACGTTGTACTCCCTGGTGGTGATTTTTTTTTTTTTTTACCTGAAGAATAACCACCACTTTCCGAAAAATATCTTATATGGTTCAACGTCGATTATTGAATCAATCGTAATGTAATATTTCTTCGGCGACAACTGAGCTAATCAAATTTAATTTGGTCCATTTGATTTGCAGGTTTTGTTTAGGACATATATTAGCTCTTTAATATCAGTGATTCACTTTCATACTTTGCTTGCAATTTGCATCCCGTTAGGTAATCTTTGCCTCATATCAGCATATCTACACTATCACAAGTACATCTCGGTTAAATATTGTGTAGTGCATTTTATCAATCTAATATATTAAGAGAATAAACTTTTCGGACACGTATCAGATAATGAGAATGTCCAATCAAACAATCATAAAAATCAAGTCTAATTAGATATAATAAAAAAATTAGTAACTATTTAATTTAACTTATTTACTCATATATATTTCATTAACCAAGGTAAATCAAAAACATAATAATTAGTAAACATTGAACATGGTCCGAACGTATGACACATCATCCGTGATTTTGAAACGTTTCTAAACACTTTCAGAATTTTCAAAAAAGCACAATAAATATCATTTCCAAATATGACTTTCAAATTTATGGCATATCATGATATGATTTTAAAATTTGAAAATAATGAGATTTAAATTGATGACCCTAATTCCCTCTCACATCCGAAAATTAATAAATGAAATTTATTTAAAAAATTATGGGTAAATTAACCAGAATAATATTCCGTCCATATTCACAAACTCTCCGAATATGTTAATTAATTGCTCCAAATTCTATCAGTAAAGCCTAAAGTTTTAACATATCCACAAAATCATATAATTACTCATATAAAATATTTACCAAAAATATCCCATAACATTTTAACCCTATGACCATAGTTATCTTATGTACTATAAATAACTCAAATTAGAGGCCGTGACAGTAGTCTGGTGCATAAGCGAAGTCAATTTCCGTCCCGTTTGAAAGGTGAATTAGTCACTTAAGGTAGTTCATCCTTTTTTTTTCTGTAATAACTTTGTGTTGCAGATTGATGAGATGACCGTGCTGTTAAATGATGTATAAACGAGACCATACATTATAATAAAGATGTCGCGCCCTTTTATATGTTCTAACATATTACATATGTGTTACCACATTTAATCATAATAAAGAAAAAATGTTTGGCCATTATAGATTTCCGTATTTACTTACTGTTTAAAATCTTTTTTTTTTCTAAAATTTTAAAGATACCGTGTTTTTATTATTAACTTTTTATCAAGTTTTTTTTCCGGCATTAATTATGCCGAAATATTTTCACAATCCGGACAACGCACGGGCCCACAACTAGTAATGACAAAGAAACATGAACAATAAGAGAGTAATATAAGGGAAAAAAGTAGCGTTCAGATTTGGATAAACAAATACCGAATTCGTGATACCAAACAAATATTAAGGCGATAGCCACAAGTCAATTATTACACGATACTCTTTTTATATGCACCAGACACCTACATTTCTTTTGTCTCGATATAATTATCATTGTTTAGAAATAAGTGAAGTAACTTTAACATAAAAAACCATGAACGGAAACATTTCTCTCGATTATTCTGAATATGGGTTGTGTTATATTATTCTGAATAATTATCTTTATTTAGAAATGCGTGAAGTAACTTCAAAATAAAAATCATGAACGGAAACATTTGTCTCTTAATTATTCTGAATATGCGTTGTGTTATATATTCTGAATATCGGACGTGCTATAAACATTTGTCTCTTAATTATTCTGAATATGGGTTGTGTTATACATTCTGAATTTCGATCGTAGTATATTATTCTGAATATGGGTTGTGACTATGACATAAATTGTACATTTTCATTTGTCCGATGAATTTTTTATTTTTCTTTTTGGCAAATACTCCCTCTGATCTTTATTATAAGACATTTTGATTTATTTTAAATTTTGTTTATTACATTTTTTAAAAATAAAAATAAAATCTAAAAAATTTATTTTCACATTTATTGTGTTTTTTCAATTATTAAAAAATATGTTCAAAATTTATTTTTAATTTTACAAATATACTACTAAATAAAATTTAGAACAAATTAAAATGCGTTATAACAAAGGCAAGAGGAACTATTTTTCTTGTTATAAGTTCATTTCCTTGTTTGGGTTGTGGGCATGATGGTTCCCGCCCGGTCCCAAGACCGAAAGTAGCACCGGTTTTTACTTATACATATATATTACATTTGTATTCGCTGGGCAAATTAATTCAAATTTGAGTCGAATGATTTTTTTTTTTTAATAGAGTTCTTTTTCCCTACACGTATTGTAACTGACACCATAACTTCATGTCAAGAATATGAAAAGAGTTCCTTTTTCTTTTTTATGTAGGAGTAATTATTTATATTCCCTTAGCGCTAATATGAAAAGAGTTTTACAAACAAAAATGGCACATATCCCAGAAGATATATTTATTCCACGTAAATATGTGAATATAATTTATGCATTAATTTATTTAGGGTGCCGAAACAAAGAATGACAAGTAATTGGACTTAAGTTGCGTACATAATTATACATAAATTTACAAAATAAATTTTAAACAAGAAATTTCGAGGACCCTTAATCCTTGATCTATAAATTCACATATTTGAGAACCTCTTTTGTGCATCTTTAGGGACGTTGAGAAATATGATGAAAATGGCAACGATGAGGAGTTCCCTTTGCAGCGCATTAATCCTCCTACTCTTCGATTCTTGTAATTCATCAATTCATATTCATTCTTGTAAAAATTTGTACGAATATGTGATTGTAATAGCATCCTCTTCTGATTATCATCCTCCATTCTTCTCGCAACCTCATGCAAGGAAATTCGTATTTAAACTTTGTGATACTAATTGTTATTTTTTGTTTTTTTTTTTTTTTTTTAATTTTTTTTTTTTTGCTCTTTTTGTTTTTGTTTTGATTTTCTTTTTTCCTTTTTCGGGATGAATTATAATAGATCAAGAGATGGTGATTGAAGCAGATCGCACTATACCCTCAAAATACTATATTGGGCCTTGTTGGTCGTCGCTAGATTGTAAGCATGAATGTAAACGACAAAAGTGTAGCAGCGGCAAGTGCCCTTATCTCTTGGGTAAATGCAAATGTTGTACACCTTGCTGGTGATATTTTACTTGAAAGAATTAATGTCCAAGTTGAAAACTTATATTATTATAGTTCAACGTTAATTACTGGACTGATCTTAATGTAATGCAAGGACACAATTGAGATAATAAAATTAAAGTTGGTCTAATTCATTTGCATGTTTGGTTTTGAGATATATAAATACGTGCTCTTCCATAATGTGGTTGCTTGCATTTTGCACCTATCATATTTATCAAGATTAATCCAAAAATACAAGATGTACATGGAGGAAAAAGTTATAAGTAAATTTTACTAGGATTAAACCTTTTTATGTACTTTGAAGTTCCAGACTGTTGAAATATCGCACTGTTACTGTCTCAAGACAATTGGTTAAATACCTCTCGTTGAAAAGCAAATATGCTCACCCATTATGCAATATTTTGCAATGGAACATTTTATCGACTTTTTCCTGCTAATGAAAATAAGAATTTAGAAAACCCTAATCTTCATTAAGGTCTCCTTGCCTCGCCTCTAATCGGTGTTCGATTTAGGATTTCAGCGAAAATATTATGTGAGTAGTTACTACTACTCCATTTCACCAAATATATAAAGTCATTCTATTAATTTTCATTTATAAATTCACCCCAACTGAAATCGGCTTTGATTACCCAAAAGTTGAATGTATTTTCTACTACTCTTACATAAAACAATAATTATGTCATGTTAAAAAGATAGCTTCATGTTTTCCAATATAAAATTGCATTTTTATTTTTTAAAAATATTAACCTTAATAATTCATTTTCTAAAAATATTATTCT